CCGAGTTGAAATCCAGGGCCCCTCCGCAGAGGTAATTGCTTCTGGTAAGCTTGGTGAGGAGATCCAAAAGACTCACCCCGGCTCAGCCAACCCCTCGAGAATTCCTTCTCGTGTTCCCTCCAGCGTCGGTGACGATGAGACTACGGTAAACGGCCAGGGTGATGCCCTCGACGGTGTGGACAGCTCCAAGGATACCAAGAGCAAACCGAAGAAGGATGCCATGGAAGAGACCAAGGCCACCGGTTCAGTCAAGTGGCCAGTTCTCAAGATTTATCTTCGGGCTATGGGACCATGGTGGTTCTGGGTCGTTGCTCTGTTTGTCTTTGTTGCTCAGCAAATCTCTGGATTGGCTACCAACCTTTGGGTCAGAGAGTGGGCGAACCAATACGTGGAACAGGGTGGTCCTATGGGAATGGAGGTCAAGTCAAACGCTTACTCTACCTCGCAATTTTCCAAGGTCAGCTTTGCCAACGCAGTTCGACTGGGTTCTGCAGACGGCACCCCTGAACAACTCAATGGAGCAATCTTCATGCAAGCCGGACACGAGAACGTCAATGCTATGTACTACCTGACTGTTCTCGCTGCCATCGGAATTGCTGGTGCTCTTGCAGCATTGTTCAGAGACCTTTGGGTATTCTTGGGTTCGCTGACGGCATCGGAGCATCTCCACAACCGACTGATAGCATCTGTAACGCGGGCTAAGTTCAAGTTCTTTGATGTCACCCCGCTCGGTCAATTGATGAACCGCTTCAGCAAGGATCTCGAGGCTGTTGATCAAGAGATTGCACCCGTTGCCATTGGTGTGATCAGTTGTGGCATTTCTCTTTTGATGACAGTTGGCCTCATCACATACATCACGCCCAAGTTCCTCTATGCCGCCGCCGGTATTTCTGTGTTGTTCTACCTCATCGCTGCCTTTTACCTTCGTGCCTCGCGCGACCTCAAGCGACTCGAGGCAGTTCAGCGCAGTCCCCTGTTCCAGCAATTCGGCGAGACCCTGAGCGGCATGACAACTATCCGAGCTTATGGTGACGAGCGACGATTCATTCGAGACAATCTGGAGAAGGTTAACGTTCAGAGTCGACCCTTTATCTACCTGTGGGCCTGCAATAGATGGCTGGCCTTCCGGGCTGATCTTGTTGGAGACTTGGTTGCCTTTTTCGCTGGCATGTTCCTCATCCTTAACCTCGGTAAGACCGATGCTGGTGCAGCTGGTATTTCCCTGAGCTATGCTTTGAGTTTCACCGAGAGTGTCTTGTGGCTTGTGCGACTTTATGCCATCAACGAACAGAACATGAACTCCATGGAGCGTATCAAGGAGTATCTAGATGTTGAGCAGGAGGCCGATGCCATTATGGAGGACAGCCGACCTCCTGTCGACTGGCCGCAAAAGGGATCCGTCGAGTTTGTGGATTACACAACTAGCTACCGCAAGGAACTTAGCCCAGTCTTGCAGAACATCACTCTCAAGATTGAACCTCAAGAAAAGGTTGGTATTGTTGGAAGAACTGGCGCAGGCAAGAGTTCACTGGCTCTCGCTATTTTCCGAGCACTGGAGGCAGACGAAGGCAAGATTCTCATCGACGGACTTGATATTGGTAGCATTGGTCTTCAAGATTTGCGAGAGAACATCACCATCGTGCCTCAAGATCCTACATTATTCCACGGATCGATCCGAAGCAACCTGGATCCTTTTGATCAATACACAGATGATGAAATCTTTGCAGGTCTTCGAAGGGTACAGCTTATTGGACCTGACGAGCCTGCAACATCACCACCTACACCTACAGTTCCTGATTCGCCCACTGCCAAGACCAACAAGAACATCTTCCTGAACCTTGAATCACCTGTGGCTGCCTCAGGTACCAACTTGTCGCAAGGACAACGCCAGCTTTTGTGTCTGGCTCGAGCCATGCTGAAGGCGCCTACAGTGTTGGTCATGGACGAAGCAACAGCATCCATCGACTACGCTACCGACTCGAAGATCCAAGAGACGATCCGAGAGCTCACAGGTACAGTGATCACGATCGCTCACCGACTGGCTACCATTGTGGATTACGACAAGGTGCTGGTTCTCGACAAGGGTCAGGTGGTGGAATATGCTCACCCATGGGAGCTCATCAACAACAAAGAGGGTACATTCCGTAGCATGTGTGACATGAGCGGAGAGTTAGATGTGCTTCTCAAGGCGGCCAAGAAGAAGTGGGATTCTGGACGTCTAGTTGACGATTCATAGGAGAAAGAAAAGCTGTCACTACGGATGGAAGAGGAGGATTGACAAGTACAAAGTATTTCTTTGTATAATGGATAGGCGACATTTATATGTAAGCCTGACTTTGAATACAAAAGTATAGAAGGCATTTGCCTATTAATTAAGTTTTGACTATTATTTGTTGTGTCTAAAAGTGATGTTGTCAACGTTGCCTCCTCACCTTGGATACCTAGGTCATGATGTTGGATCGCTAGTGAGCAGCAGAAAAGTTGCACTCCTAGGTCTTAGGGTATTAAAAATAAGTAGTCTAAGGAGCATAAACTGACCTACTAATTTCATCTCTTATGCTTCCAGTGGCCAATTTTTCTGATACCCTGAGGACAGGTCATGATGTTGAATCATTAGTCACGTCTTCTGACAAAGTCACTTTAAGGCCGGTGTGGGTCTAGAATGCGGGTTAGAGAGCTTCTCCGCAATTTGGCGTTGAATTGGTAAAGTAAGGCCAACTATTTAGATTATTCGGTAGATGTAAACAGAATACGTGTTGATCATTCGTGTCTTTTAGAGCAAGCAGTTCCTTGTTTAGCCCTTGTAGAATTCGATACAGGGAGCCCCCTTGACACTACGCTCAGGCAACAAAACAAGACAAGACAGCGGGCTGAAGCGCTATAAATAAGGGTACGTATTCTCGTCTCGTCACCCACGAGACGACATGATCGACTTGGCAACGTATATATCTTTTAACTATTTGTATACAAAAACAAACTCCTCTTCCCTTGTCGTGATTTCCTTATTCACCCCTCATTTTCCCCTCAAAAAGTTAAAATCGCTACAGCCAATACAAGGCCACGTCAGTCATTGACATCTCTAGTTCTTTCTGTAGTGTTACCGCTGGGCTGTGGCGATTTTGGTTGGGCACGTGCACTCTCATTAATCCGTATCCAATTACTTGGGGTTGGACTACGACGACTCTCCTCCCGACTTTTCCTCGACATCCGCCAAAGGGCGTAAAACCCTTTCTTCTGTTTGCTGTAAATAATCTACAGCATGAATCCTCGGGTTGCCGTTTCCCAGACGCCTCCGCATCTGGATTCGGAGAGTGTAGCATCGTCAGCTCAAACATCGACTTCACACATGCCGCTTCATCACTATCCAGAAGACCAGCGTCAACATCAACATCAGCCTTATACAGATCGCTCAGAGGATGATGATCCGCCTCCTAGCTACACCGTAGTCGATAATGAAGGTCCTCACGCCAACCCATTTGACCTTTTGCCTATGAGCACTTCATCCCTTGGACTCCATCCCTTCAAGGGCACGTCAAATGACAAGACGGTTTACTATCTCGACAAGCGTCTTGATACGGACCCCGAGTTTCTGGAGCAGCACGTCAATGAACTCGCCAAGGAGCCGCCCAGACCGTATGTTCGCGTTCAGGGCGTTGACCGCAAGTCTGGCGAGAGCAAGAATGGAATCGACTTTGACATTCATATTGAACTCACCCCGCTTCTTTACCAAGAGATGGCTACGCGTCGCTCGTGGAGACGTATACGCGCCGTCAACAACTTTGACAAGGTACGTCGCGGAACGGCCAAAATGACCCGGGCACCTGGATTCGGAGGTAGAGGACCACCTGAGGAGGGCACACCAGGAGTATCGCAGTGGTGTTATCGGTATTGCTCCAATAAAGCCGGTCTAAAAGCGTTTGTGCTGGAGCGACGCATCACGGGGTGGGATTTTGCACTCGTGGGGTCAAGATTAGAAAATCTGGTTCGAGATACGGGATATCGTGGAGAGATTAACATTACGTTTCCTACGACAAATGCCCGTGTGGAGATTTACAACAATTGCCGTACCAACCGATGGCGTCTTACCCGATGGATAGTCCTGTTTTTCTACTTTACTCTCCTGTGGCTACTTTCCTGGCCATGGGTATCTCTTCGAACACGATGGTACGAAACAGTCTACGTGGAATGGTCCATGAGTCGTCCTGACAGACAGGGCACACTGCGTTATGCATGTATGAGTGAGGATCAGTGGTGTCGACTCTGGCGACGACCGATACAGCAGGCCATCAAAGCGAGACGTCGAGGACGATTAAGTCAGGATGATATCGACGATGCGTACGTTGCTCCTGGAGCTGAGGACTCTGCGAGGGGAATGAGAGCTGGTTTTGGGATTTTGCAGAGGACGTTTGGATGGGGAGGAGATGGGGAGAACAGTGGGCGACATTCGCCGTGCAATAGGTAGATGGACGGTGTTTGGGGATTCACCCCTTTTCTTCTTGGTGCATGCATGGAAGCGGGCGTATGAAGAAAATGCATTGTTTGTTTATGTATTATGATTTATGAAGATTCCCAGCTCATAGTCTTACAAATTATCATGTTATTTGGCGAATCAATTATGAAGTGCGATTGAATCAACGTGTTAAGTTACCAGCAGATACTCTGCAATAGAACCATTACATTTCAACTTCAACCACAATCTAAAATTTACTATAGTAAGATTTATTATAGTGAGATCCAGTGAATAAATACTCTACAGAGTTCGATCATGGGTACGATAATTGCTTGACGTTTATTCGGGACGCGTGCTCCAGGGTAACTTGCCCCTTATCTTATCTTTCTCTTCCCCCACCAACGGGCCGCTCACTCATCATCTACACATCCCTTACCAATCTCAATCATCAAGCTCATCCAACTTAAAAGGGTCTTTTCAACACGGACGCAACACAACATTTAAACACCTGACCATATTGCTTGAGAGAAGCACAGTCACATCTGTCATCATGGCTGAAGAAGAGATGAGTTCCAGCTCAAGAAGAATCTTGGCTGTGTCCCTTGAGAACGAAACGGCCGTCTTGTCAAAACTGGTAAAAGGTAAGTATACAGATGGATAATTATTATTCATTCTGCCTCAAGTCAAGCTTGGCATGGTCGACTAACACAGAATAGACCTCACGGGAAAAGCCCCAGAATCACCAGACCCTGCTCTTGGTCTCGCAGGCACAACACATCCACTCTCACTCAAAACACCATACTACTCTACAACAGTCCCCATCTGGCTCGACCTCATCGGATCACCTTCCGACTGGTCAGAATCCTTCCTCACAGAAGAAGCGGCCGAAGTTCTCGCCGTTCTTGGAGGTGTCATGGTTGTATTCACTGCAGGACCTGTTTCAGCTTCAAAGGACCACCCCGCAAAGGATCTGGTAGAGCATGTCGGAAAGGTCCTGAAGAAGGGACTCGGAGGATGGGAGTGGGACGGAGTCGGGTTGGCGATTGGCATCGGAGGTGATGGGCATGATGAGGAATGGGATGAGATCTGTGCCGAGGCGGGATTGGAGTTTGTATCCGTCGGAGGAAAAGGCGATACTGGCCGTAACGAGTTTGGAGGTATGCTCCGCGATATATTACTTTCAGGGGTAAATCACTGACGAAATATGCAGAGAAAACAGGAGTTGCGCGTGTAAAAGAAGCGCTCGAAGCAAATGACTGGTCACAGCTCGAGGCGCCCCTATCAGGTTCTGAATTTGGCGATTTCGAGACCAGTTCTGCGAAAGGCGACAAAGAAGAAGAGCTTGATCCTCAAAAGATGGGTTTTGGATTCGACAAGACGGATTTCGAAGGTCTGAGACGGGCAATATGGGAGGCAAGCCAGGATGTTGAAGAGCCTAAAGATGCAGATACAACGGACAAGGGCGCATCTGAAGCACCTGCTGCCGGAGGTCTAGAAGACCTTGATGAGGAAGAGATTGCCAAGATTGAAAAGATGATGAGAAAATTACAAGCGGTGAGGGAAGCGGGGGAGGGTATGGGAGAGGAACAAAGGAAAAGAATGGCTGCTAGGGCTGTTGAGGAAGTCATGAGAGATCTGTAACTGAAGATGAGTTATCTGGACGAAAGTTACATAAACATTGGTGGATAAACGATGATTTTCGTTTTGCTTCAGCATACAGTTGATGCCTTCAAAGGTTCGTGCTAACAGCTTCCTGTGCTTCAACTAGCACTCCTATCCCCATAAAGATGAACATATAGACAGGCACATCGATCTGTCGTGTCCATCTGATGCGACACATATCGCCATCACTATAGCACGGCTCGCTTACCATGGTGTTACACCATAAAGTCACATTATATAACTCTACAATCGTGATTCCAAGATCCTGGGTCCAACGTAGCACACATTTCAATAGTTGATCGTCTGACGAGACTCTTGCCATTGGTATGCAATAAACCAGGGAGCTGAGACAATTTATCGAATAGCCTAAGCGCAAGTGAACCCAACATGAGGGATTTCTTACAATTTTCGCATTCGCAGTATTGTCGTCTGGCTATATAACAACGGGTTATAGGTAAGGAAAATTGATAAAAGGTTTCGGATTTCGAACATAGGCGGGCGGGGTCCCAACTGTATAAGCATAACAAGTCCGGTAACCTGAATCGAGTTCCAATATGATACGCTTCTGTTGTAGGTTTGTGCTTCAAAAGTCACTGGCTTTGGTGACACTTGTTCTGAGAATGTAGTCAAAGCGTGCGTGCGTGCTCTTGCACAGACACATTCCGCATATCTTTATTTAGACATTGTGCGACGCATAGCCATAGCGGCATTAGCTAGCCCGCTGACTAAATGGGTCTGTTTGACAAGTTGCAGAGATCCAGTGTGAATTGTGTAGTCCCTCGATAGTTGTTAAAAGAATATGGATTGACCGTGGCTGATTCCGCCAGCGAGGGTTCGATTTCCTCCAATGCCTTTCATTTCGCTGTTGTGACGGATTTTATTGTACCTATTTGCGGATGCAGGCCAGTTACCTGTTTGCTTCATAGAAAGAAAGAAAGAAAAGACTAAACTTTCTCGTACCAGTTATTCACGTTTGGTGTCGGCGGGTCTTATGCTTTCTGACCTCAAAGATCTGGCCAGCCACAAAACTCGACAGAGCGGTGAATTGCTAGTGTCGTTTCTAATGCAAGGGAGAACCCCAAGATTGTTCTATAAGTCGAGGCGTCTACATGTGTCGTAGTGTGTTTGTTGGTTTTGAAGTTATTCTCCCATCTCAAAACGACTGTTTGACTCGACTTGATGGAGTTGGCGATCAATTATATGGGGACGACGCCAATTGAGACCGGAAAGAAGCAACCCCGGGCACCTAAGAGTCTTGGTCGGTTTAGTTAACCACAACAAGAAGCAATTGAGTCGTCTAGTTTGTCCACTTGCCTATAGTTGGTAGACGTCAAAAGTCTCAGACACCCCATTTGGGACGTGGCTAGCTTAGCTTGCCCGTCACACAACCCTTGTTTGGCGTAGGTAGCCAAGCAGGGGAGCGACTCACGTTTCAGCGCGTTTGGTCAGGAACGTGCTCAGCGCCTCACCTCACTTCAGCTTGTGCTATGGACGTTTTACGGTGCGGCTAAAGGCATAAACCCACATCGAGTCAGCGTGAGAAGCGTCGCTTGGTTCTAGGGATGTCAAAATCCGAGGGAGTATCTCCTGAATAGTGCATACCAATTCTGCAACAGTTGGTAAGGAAGTAAATAATCGGGTGGTCAAGAGGACGCGTTGACGCGCTCTCAACCGCGCCATGGATGCGTCCGCATATGCACGTAAACACGTCCCCTGTCTGTCAACTTTCCTGTTATTCGTCGGCACCGTGACCCGTTATGCTGCATGTTGTTTTAACTGAAGCTTTACCCGGATGATTGAGGTGACAACAATTGCAGAATAGTCAACCCGATAGCCATGGGTTGGGTATAACTCGATCGACAGTAGGGTTTCTCGAACCATTGACATTCGTCTGTGCTTTTCAACCTCATCAGTCAAGACAATAAGCAGATGGATTTTCGTCGCTAGAGAATAGTTTGCCATATGCTTGCCATATTCTGACTGGTGCTGTCAGGTGCTAGCGGAAGAAATGTCACCAGCGATGCATGCATCCCTACTAAAACGAAACACTTACATCCCGAGAATTTATGCAAGACGTCAGAGTTGGGGTCAACGCTTGTACCAAGAATCTTTGCTGTGGCCCAGAATCGGGAATAGATATCTTATCACACAAATCAAATGCCAGCTTATGTTGCATCATGAATGTTCTTCCCATGCCGGTGGATATGGCCTGAAAACCTTGATAAACTCAAATATCTGTAAGTTTATTTGTATACGAGCTGGGAGTGCATTCTGTATCTTTCATCCCTCGACACAGAGAAAGGAGCTGGACTTAATGGGGCGATCGGTACCCCTAGACTTGATCGGGTGAGGTAAAACTGCAACACGATGTGGATCCAACCGGAGAGGGTCGAGCGTTGGTTGGTGTGGTTGGTTTTGGATGGTGATCCTGCAAGGCACTAAAAACATGTCCCCAGATACAAGCTCAGAGAACCACGTCAGGGGTAGCGGGCCTGGGCCGGCAAGCAACACAGAACGAGAATGCTTCGACAATCAGTTTGCTTTTTGACTTGTCATGTTTGATCTTCTCTCATCCCTTCCGAACCGCCCGGGTAGAATTCGGAGCCGGTAAGAAAGTCGAATGTCCTCCGAATCATTGCCACATGTATGTCTTTGCATAAATGCATGCACTAGCGAAGAGCATTGTGTCCGGACTTCTAAGAACAGCCACAACGGTTGAGGCTTTGCTGGTGGCAAAGCCGACATGTAACAGATTGCGGTGACAACAAACCATCTATCGCCGACTTTTGGGACGAGTAGTAGTCACCTGGATGTTCCTGACTCTTTTTCTGATGCCATTCAATCTTTCCTCTATGGGTAAAGCCCCAAGTGACAGAAGCGCTAATGTTTCTGAGCCTTGACCATCGGTTGGCCCCAACGTCAATGGCCTAAACTCAGCCTCTAGGTGATTCTCTGTTAGAGACGTTGATCACAAGTATGTAAACTGGGTATTCACAAAGAAAACCGCAGTCATGGAAAAGGGGTTGCAAGCAAAGACGGAGAGCAAGTCTCGCCAAGAACAACGATCCACTGAATGACGATGGGGCGGGAGACTACTGCAGGAACAGGGTCTTAGTTTTCAGCGGCTCCTGAGGTTAGGTGAGATCTGGCGTGGTGGGATGGCCATGGCATGAGAAAGGATTTTGTTGTAAGGTACTTGGTGAGATCCGTAAGTGACGCGTAGAGGTGGGATAGCGTGATGGGATCATAAGAACCTGGTGAAGTAAGTAAGCTGTCATCCGAAAAGTTGAAGCTTGGTCCAAAAGAAGTTCTCTGAAGTAGCTTCTAGATTTAGAATATCTTTCCCTTCTTGACTCGTTCGTGCAGTTGTTGACTGACATCAGTTACTCAGAAGTCGATGGTTCGCTTCTTCAGAACCGACGTGCTGGGACTTGTACCGACGACGGTGATAATTCCGATGCACGCAGGGTTGGCTTGCTGAAGTCAAAGTCACAAGTTGAGAAATGTATCATGGATGTCGAAACGGATGCGATGTGACAGATGATGTAAAAAATGCCGATAGATAGAATTCACGAGACGTTTCTTGGTATCATCGAAACTTATTGTGGATAGGTGTTGGTTGGTGAAACCATTCGGAGAACATGGATCATGCCGCTTGATGTTGATTCAAGGCCAGGCATTCCGGCTCAACCTTGATACTCGGTATTCTCAGGCCTTGGCTGGTAGATGTTTCTGGACTCTTGTCAGCTTAGCCCCCATTTGTGTAATGGTCAAGGGTACGAGTGAGCCGACATAGATACCGAGATACAGAAGTTGACAGGAAGCCGAGACCCTTCGTACAAGTGCCGTTGTATTTTGATCCTCTAGCGCACAAGTTCACGAAAAAGAACCTCAACGTCAGAGCCAAGCGGTTTAACCCTTTTCTTTTCTTTTTTCGTGTGGGGAGTAATAGCCGATTGACGGGACCATGACACTTCGACCAACTGTGCTGCGCCGTTCTGCGATCGACATTCATCATCATGACAAAGTCAACCACGACCTTTAAGTTGAGCGGGCGCACGGTCATGTTGTAGTGTTGAGTATTGAGAGTTCAATATTTTGATAGACTGACTTTTCTCACAGTGACATTTCTTGGCGTTGTGACAAAAAATAACAATCGGGTACAAATCAAGAAAGAGCCATGGGTGTAGCGCCTGTTTGGAACGATCTGGTGACGCCTTCCCTCCTTGAATACGCGACGGTTCGATAGGGCAAGACCGGCGGCGTTTCTCGGTTTCCTTTTTTGGCAGGAAGGACTAACGTTGGAATGGCGGCCAATAGGGGTTGAAGTTGTGCAAGATACAGCACCCTTTTTGCCGCTCCGTCTTGGGGGCCGTTTCCTTGTCGTCCCCTAAACTGAAGCCACTCCGTTGATTGGCGTGTGCCTTGCATTAGTGGATAGAGCAAGGGCCCAATGAATATGCACAATGCACAAAACACCACCAATGTAAGCTCGACTGTGCACAAATAACTGACGGGAACCTCAGAAAGGAAGTCAGCAAGAGCAAGGGCCTTCCCCCTGACACGCAGGTACAGAGAAGAGAGTACCGTGCCCTACCGATACCACCCCACTCTCTGTGCTTGCAAACTCTCATGGACGCTTCAACTCCACTTCCCTACATCGCTCAACCATTCATCCGCTTCTCGCCGCGTCCTTGCGCCTTGGCTAGGACTGCTTTGCAGAGAGGTATCCGTTCTACCGTCCCGTCAAAAGTCAACTGCAGGTGCATCCATCAGCCACAGCGGATTCTTTGTTGCATGACAGATACCCTGGTCTGATGTCTGGGACGAGAACGCCGATCAGGTCTTTTCGACGTCAGTTTCTGTTGGTGTCAGACTGACACAGACTCATATGTAGCGAAGCCCAATGTGACATGTGGCAAGAGATCGAGAGAAGATCAAAAGCCTGAACTTGCAGAGATGAACCGAACAGACCAAACATGTACACACAGTGATTCTACACATTTTTGAAGTGCGACTGTGAGCAACAATGGACGTGCCAAAATGGATGATGTTTTCCCCAGCAGCAGTAGTCTTGCGGGGCCCCTGGACGTTGATCCAGGGTTGTTTACCACAAGCTTTATCACTCAGCATGTTCCGTTCCCAAAGGCGGCAACGGCTTTGCATTTCACAAAACCGAACAACGGACCGAAATCCGATCAAGTCTAGGCCAAGAGGTGTCAATACGAACATGAATCTATTTGGCCACAACCGCCTAAAATCGATGGACAAATGGATGTCTCTCTTCGCGTTGCGTTGGGAGCTGGGATGTTTGTGGTGGTGTCGGATGTGGACTGCTTGCACAGTTTAAGTGGGTGTGAACACCTGGGGCTCTCGTCGGTCACTCGTCAATGGTTCGTTCACAAAGTCTTCTTGCACTTGACTTGGGTCCGCTATGGTCTATCAGCCTACCACTTGCTAGTAGGCCCCTCCCTCGTGCACATCGTGCGGGCTGGATGTGACACGGCTTCTTGGGCAAGGAAGGGGCCTGCTAACTGCTCAGAGGAGTGCAATGATGGACAACCAAGGACGAGACAAAATTCCTCTTCTGGAAGAAATCGCTTATCTACGAGTAACGTTTGTTGACCTTGGTCTTTGACCCAAGAGACAAGGCTGAAAAGGAGGTCAATCACAACTTACCTGTGTCCCTTTTGTGTCCTCTCAAGTGTTGTTAGTTTGTACTAACCTGGACACAGGCTAGACAACGTTTCTGAGGCCTTCGTGCTTTTCTCTCAAGAGTCTGGCTCACTTGAACGACTAGTATAGTGGGACTAGGGGGTACGTATGAATGGCTAGGCTTGGGTCCATGGCCAGGTTCGGTCGGCTCCAGGGCTGCAATGCATAACCCCCTGGTCCTCAACAGCTACAGTATTGTACGCGGCGATGTGGTTTGCAACGGTCACTGCCCCTTGGCGCGTTAAGCTGTTGTCTAACCTCTGCCCTCCACCAAGGTGCGCCGCCCAGTCAGGAGACCGAAGTACCTGGGGCTAAGTAGCTCCGTCAAGCCACTGCTCAGGTACCCGCAACTCAGACGCTGAGTCGGCGCCAGGGTACTTTGGGTCGAGGTCCCATCCTTTTTCTTTTTCCCAGTTTCTGAGGCCTTTGCACCGCGTCGTGTCCCCACACCACTAGGGGTGGTACCTTGGCCAGGGTACAGGCTCCAGTACCTTTTCTCCGATCGAGGTGCCCGTGGTGGAGGGGGCGGCAGCAGCAGGTACTGACTCTGCATATTCAGTGCAGGGCTAAGCTAGGCTTCTCCTTTGAAGACATCCCCCATCCCCAACTCCCCCCCGTTTCTCTTTTCAATCTCGCATCGCCAGTCCACTCCTTCCTTGTGACCGCTTCTTCTGCTTCTTCCCCCTCGTCCTTTTGTTCATTCTTTTTTTCCTTATAGTCACTCTCTTGATATATTCAAACTTTCAAGCCATATTCGGTTCCCGTCACTCTTTCCGGGTCCATTCCTTTCTTTAGGCTCACTCAAGCTCAAACAGCTCTTACACCAGTTTTGTCTCCCGTCCGCAACGTTTTAAAAACGTCGAAACCATTCGAGACCACCAAACAATCCGCCATAACGATACTTATTCTTCCTTTTTCTAAAGGAATCAGGACTACATTCTTTATCTGTACTGATAATCGAATCAACAACCATTCACCACATACCTTGCAGCGACTTGTCGACTTCGGCTCTGTCCCTGTCTCTTAGTCTGCCTGATAATACCGATCACTTAACACGCGTTTTGTGAATCAAGCTTAATCGAACGACACCCGCTTGTATATTCGCGCTACAGCAATCGATATCTCGACCTCTATTTTATTTTATCTCATAATCTCTACCAGTAAAGTGATCGCATACCCGCGATCTACTTTTCAAAATGGCCACGGAAATGGATCAATCCATGGGTTTAGGCAGTGTCCAAGAGGTCACCACACCCACAACATCCTCACCATCTATTCCTACTCCTGTCTCAGCCGGCATGAAGAGGGATTCGCCCTCTCCTTCCAACGGTGGCAATTCTGCCTCACGACGACCCCCTCGCAAGAGCACTCTCACTCAGCAACAAAAGAACCAGAAGCGACAGCGTGCCACCCAAGATCAATTGACAACTTTGGAGATGGAATTCAACAACAACCCCACACCTACCGCTACTGTCCGTGAGAGAATTGCCGACGAAATTAACATGACCGAGAGGTCTGTTCAGATCTGGTTCCAGAACAGGTATGACACATTCCAACTCCGCTAGACGACCCTGCTAACATTACTAGACGTGCCAAGATCAAGTTGTTGGCTAAGAAGAGCCTGGAGACTGGTGAAGATATTGACTCGATTCCTGAATCGATGCGAGCGTATCTTGCCATGCAGGCTATGGAGTCTGGTAAGGGTCTTGGTGGAAGTTATCTTGGTCGCACTGGACTGGTGCCTTTCGGCCACGGTAACATGATGCTCGGCGGTGACCAAGGAGGTCAGGGCAAAGTTTGTGAGTTGGGTTCATCTATAGCATTTATGATTTGTGCTAACTTAACAGCAGTGATCCATCATCTCACTTGCCGATCTCTCAGCATCGGAAAATGGACTCGAGTTGGACAGAACACGATGGATCTCATCATCTTCTACTCACCTGACAAGTGCACCATGACCTACTACATCAACAACGAACAGGCTGGCTACAAGATCGAGTACCCCTTCTCATCCATCAAGAACATCTTCCTCGAGAACGGCGAAGGAGACCCAACCAAGCTCGGCGGAATTGTCATCGAGTTGAACAGGCCCCCCAACTTTTTCATGGACTCATCGCCTACTACCAACGGATTCTTCCAGTGTGGTGACTTTACTGAAGATCTCCAGGCTACTCATTGTCTGGTTCACCATCTCGGTGGAAACCCCAAGGTTCTCAGCGGTCAACTCGCCAAGCTCGTTTCGCTCGAGTCTTTCATGAACCGCCACAACCCTAATCCCTACAACGACCCCCACGCCCTCTCCGTGTCGGCTCCTGTCTCCCCGACTGCCCGACCCTCTTCGCAGCCCAGCTTCAACCCTCATGGGCATGTCGGCATGTTCCAAGAGCAACAATGGGGTATCCATCAGATGCACTCCGGCATGCGTGCTGGTCCTGGTCACAAGCGTCAGCGCAGTCGGTCAGTCCCTGGCCCTGTTGACTTTGCCATGTTCCAGAACCAGCCCATGCCCTCTTTCTACATCCAGCCTCCTGGGGAGATGGCTCCTCCCCCTCCTCAGCACAACCCTCACATCTACGCTCCTGTGCCCCAGCCTCCCAGCAACATGGCACCCAACCTGCGCATTGACACTCAGGCAGGCTTTGGTTTGGATATGCGCCAATATCCCATGTCGGCCACCACTGCTTCCCCTGCAGAGTTTCCTCCCAGTCCAGGATTCTTCCCTCCTGGTCCCGAGGTGCCTCAGTCTAACTACAACACCCCCTACGGCAATGGATTCCTCTCGCCCATGGGCAACGGTGAGGGCATTCCTACATCTGTGTCTCCTATCTCTTTCAACGGCGGTGAGCCTTCTATCCTGGAGCAGTCACCTCCCATGTCGATGATGGGACGTCCTGGTTCAACTGACATGTATGCTGTCAACGATGGATCATGCGCCGTTTCAGATGACGGAACTGGCCTGAACGAGATGTACTCTAAACACACCATCAACATGCCTATGCACACGCCTTCTCCTGGATATGTTCAGCATCAACAGGCTGATCTCGACATGGAACAGCTTGTGCAGTTCGACGCAGTTGATCCTTCAAGCCTATCCCCCGAGGCAATGTCCCACGCTCAAGGAAACTAAGCAAGCAATACTGGGTGGGTATAGGTGTTGATGGCGTGTTTTTACTGTATGTATCTCATACTAGGGCGTTTGGCATATTATACCATTGGGATCTCCTTTCTTTCCGCCTTTTTGTAGGCGACTTTCTTTGGACAATTTCATTCTTCACTTTTTTCAGCTTTGATGCCTACGGTACTCTGCTTGATCGATTCTCACCCCATCTACGGCCATGATGAACTTGCATGACGATACACTTCTTACATCGGTCATGTATGTCGGGCACAACACAGCGATCGTACAATTTTCCAACTCTTTTCTTGCGCGTCGACAGTTCTATTGAATCCTTTACCGCATCTCGTTTATCTCTTGGGTGGTTTTTGTTCAACACTTTCACTTTATGGACTGAAGGCATTTGCCTTTCGGCCTTTTTACCTGGAGCGACGTTGCCTGACCACCGCACGTTGTCTTCTTGGGCCTAATTTGTACGTACACATTGTTGGAGAACAAAGTATGGACGATAGTATTTTAATAAGTTGTTGGTACCGTGTCTTTGAGGTACCACGTTGGATGCTGGGAAGCCCCGGCGGCTTACTTAGGGTCTTTGGGATCATACTCTTTAATGGGGATTAGGGTTTTCTTTGTGCTTCAAGGTACGGGAAGTACCTTGTGGAGTTTATGAGCAGCTAGGTTGCTGGCCTCGGTAGGCGTCAATAGGACGTTACTTGGAAGCCTGCTGTCGGACATGAAGGCATGGGTTTTTGGTGTGGAATACTCGGAATAAAAATGGGTTTATGTTCAGTTTTTGTTTCTCTTTGTGATTGTTGTGAACCGTGATTGTGTATTGTGTCAGTGTAAGTCGTTGTAAAACAAGGTTGACACATGTGTAAGTCGAGTGGCTTCACGGATGGTTCGGAGGTGTGTATAGTACAAAGTATGGTTTAGAATAGTGCGACGGTTGAATAAATAAAGCTTGTCCAAGCTCGGACGAAATCAAGGTTGATTAATGTCTCATAATGCGGTAGTTTGTCATTCGGCTGTTCCGGTAGATGAAAGGGCCGTGCAAGAGATATCTGAAAGCGTATCGCCTATGTGCCCGCCGCTTCGTCGACTCCCACGCGTATCCGTACATGCATGTCAGAAAGCGGCAAGGTCTATTATCGTCAGTGGCTGTGAATAGACATACGTATGTTTCGAGGCGGAGGAACAGAGATGATTGGATCTACGTTGCATGTGTGATGTGTTGGTCAGCTTTGAGAGACATGTTGATCAAAGTGTATGTAGATCCTATCATTTACAAGATACAAAGTCTGAAGGTCAAATTGGCATCTCCCGAGATTGCTTTCAACAGCATTGAAACGGTTATTTCCCCATTTCTCGGAACTTGGAGAACTAGAGCTTATTTTGTTGCTTGGTGGCGTTAATTAAGGTATTAGTTAGCGACTTGGCTGGACCATACCGTGCCAATCAGGCGTGTCTTATGCGTTACAGCGCATTGTCCGTTATCAAGGGCCCTGTTACATACTGCGAGGATTTGATTTGGTTGTTTTTGGGCTGACGATTGTAGATTTGCTGCGCCTCAACACGTTGCCCATATGATTCGCGACGAGGATACGGGATGAGAATATTCTCCGACTGTCCGGACAGTAAAGAATTGTCTTTGTAATGGCAGTTCAATAGGTATTTAGTAGTTGATAGATGGCTGTTTTAATCCAAGACAATTAAATGGATTCCAAGGCTGGCATGTATTGCTTGCTTATAAACTGTGCTGGTACTAACTAAGGCTACGGGCTGCATGTAATCAGTAATCGCCGCTTCGGGCTGTATACGATCCCGTTAGTCTGATTACCCCAGCTCAGCCCAACCAGCTCAATCCTGCCAAAACATCCACATAATCTCATCCTCCCCAAGCTATTACTCTTTTTCTTACTCTCTTTTTTTTATTCGAGCTTTCGGCTTACAGTTCGAAGCACCAATACGACACACTACATCATTACTCTAGCTGAAACCGGCATCAATCTACGATCTCTCCACCCTTCGCTACGCCTATTCCAGATGCTCCAACCGTTTCAACGGCCTTAACATGGCTCCCTACCCCAGCGACAACAACGGACGACGCCCGCCACAGCCCGGAAATAACGATGATGACGACGTAGCTCGCGATCTTGCTGCACTTGACGAACGATACCCGCGAACATCGACCAATTTCTCTCGACCGCGAAATACACGACGTTCTTACACTGATCCTAACAATGATCGTCCGCCGCGTCGATCTTCTGCCGATGATACCAATGTGAGATCTGCTTCGAGGTCTCGGTCCCGACGTCCCGAAGATGGCGCACATCGACGAGCAAGCGGACCATACGAATTGCGACCAATTCCCTCGAGAACCGAATTGTCTACTGACCTTTCGGGTCCTCCCGATTATGGCGACCGAACCGACATTTCGCCTGTCGACAAGACTCGCAATGTCGCATTCAATGGCAATTCTTCAGGCGAAAAGTCTTCGGTGCGAGCCGACATCAAAAAGTACCTTCGTCAAAGGCGCGAGAAAAGAATTGGACCAAGCGCAAAGCCGACATGGAAAGAACGCACGCGCAAACAACTTGGAGAATTCCACCAAAAAGTCATTGTCGAAACAATACTTCGCCAAAAACCTCTTCAGCCTCTACCTGATGGTCGTCATGTCCCTCTAAACCCTGCACAGCGGAACGCTAATGGACTTATCGATGAGCGCGCAGGGAAGCCTTACATCAGTAACTTCATCCGGTCGAGCCGGTATACCATCTATGATTTCTTCCCTAAACAGCTCATCTTTCAGTTCAGCAAGCTCGGAAACTTTTATTTCCTTGTTGTGGGAACGATTCAGATGATTCCTGGCCTAAGTACAGTTGGACGATGGACCACGATAGCGCCTTTGGGTGTATTTGTCGCATTCAGTATGGCCAAGGAAGGTTACGACGATTATAGGCGTTACAGGCTTGATCGTGTGGAGAACCGCAGCGAGGCTTGGGTTTTAACGGATCGAGCCGCAGCCACTGAAAAGGGTCGCGTACGCCATGCTGAGAAGATGAAGAGGAGGAAGGAAAAGGGATCGAGTGGTGAAGAACACATGCTTGACGATCTTGAAGCGGGAGCCGCAGGTGCAAAAAAGGTCGGAACTAATGGAGACTGGACCTCAGTTCAATGGCAACACGTTCGCGTGGGCGATGTCATCCGGTTGCGCCGTGATGATGCCGTCCCGGCTGACATTGTGCTTTTGCACGCCACAGGTCCCAATGGTATCGCATACATTGATACAATGGCTCTTGATGGCGAGACGAACCTCAAGAGTAAGCAAGCATGCCCTTTGCTTGCTGAGCGGTGCAACACCATGGAGGGACTGCGAGCAACACAAGCTACTGTCATCTCCGAAAACCCCAACCTGGACCTTTACAGCTATGATGGCCGCGTAACTGTTGATGGCGAGACTCTACCCCTCTCTATGAACAATGTTGTCTATCGAGGTTCTACTCTTCGCAACACAGCCGAAGCGCTTGGTATTATTGTCAATACCGGTGAAGAGTGCAAGATTCGCATGAACGCAAACAAGAACGTGCGGGCGAAGAAACCTGCTATGCAATCCGTCATTAATAAGATGATTATGGTGCAGATTTTTATTGTTCTCATGCTCACCATGGGTCTGACTATCGGCTATTACCTGTGGCGAGATCGCACTGAAAACTTTGCTTGGTACATTGTGCGCCGCGGCTTCTGGAATGGCGAGATTCCATTTAAGGAAATTTTCTTTGGTTTCATCATCATGTTTAACACACTGATCCCATTATCGCTGTACATCAGTCTTGAAATCATCAAGCTGGGTCAGCTCCTTCTTCTCCAGGATGAAGACATGTACGACCCGATATCTGATACCCCCATGGTGGCCAACACGACTACCATTCTTGAAAATCTGGGTCAGGTTAGCTATGTCTTTTCCGACAAGACAGGAACGCTCACAGAAAACATCATGCGCTTCCGCAAATTGTCGGTAGCTGGCGTTGCTTGTCTGCATGACATGGATGTGCAAAGAGACCAAGAGGAGATGCGCAGACGGATAGAGGAGTCGGAGCGACCAAAGAAGGGAAAGTCAAAGATGGGAAGTCTGTCAGCAACTAGAAGCGCGGTGCCTACCATAACTGTCGACGGACAATATGACGACGGTGCTGGACTCGAAAGACCACAGCCTACAAGAACCATATCAGCGAGCCATTGGCAATCGACTGTCAACACTGCTCAAAATACCGACATGAAAACTGAGGATTTGCTCGACTATATCCAGAGAAAACCCAACACTACATTCTCTCGAAAAGCCAAACACTTTCTATTGTGTATTGCGCTCTGTCACACTTGTCTCCCTGAAAAGACTGACAAAGGCGACATCGATTTTCAAGCCGCCTCGCCCGATGAGCTTGCTCTTGTGGAAGCTGCCAGAGATCTGGGATTCTTGGTAATTGACAGACCTGCACAAGCTATCAAGTTGGAAACTCGGGACATAGATGGCTCCCTTCATACTGAATCCTACCAGGTACTGGACGTGATCGAGTTCAGCAGTAAGAGAAAGAGAATGTCGATCATCATTCGTATGCCTGATGGACGTATCTGTGTCTTTTGCAAAGGAGCCGACAATGTTATCATGCAGCGTTTGAAGTTGAGCAACCTTGCTGAGGAAAAAGCGAGAGATATCGGTCGTCGTACGAGCCAGCGAAGACTTTCTCGACAAGATCAAGCTTTGCGACGAATGAGCACGCAGCAAAGCATCAGCCCTTATGGAAGCCCACGCGGAAGCCCCCGCAACAGTTTTGGTTTCTCCAGGGCAGAATCATCATCCAACCGGGATGGGCTTAGGCTCAGCTTGGGACGTCGTTCCACTGATCTTAAGCGCTTGTCTCAGCAGCTTGCCCGCTCACCTCGCGCCTCGACAGACATGATGAGCCCGATAAGTCCCAGACAGAGCCTTGGTCACATGCCATCATTTGACGATGCCGACAGCAAGATTGATGAGTCTTTGGCGTCGAACGAAGGTGCTGTGTTTGAGAAGTGTTTCCAACACGTCGACGATTTTGCCAGCGAGGGTCTTCGTACTTTTTTGTATGCCTACCGTTACATTGACGAGGATTCCTATGCTCAATGGAAGGCCAAGTACAGGGAAGCCGAGACTAGCTTGGTCGATCGCCAGGAGAGGATTGAAGCTGCGGGAGAGCTCATCGAACAAAAGTTTGAGCTAGCTGGTGCGACCGCAATTGAAGACAAGCTGCAGGAGGGAGTTCCGGACACCATCGACAAGCTGCGCCGAGCCAACATCAAAGTGTGGATGCTCACGGGCGACAAGCGAGAGACAGCTATCAACATTGGTCACTCTGCTCGTGTATGCAAACCATGGTCAGAGGTTTATGTGTTGGACGCGACTCTGGGTGAATTGAAGGAGACTATTACCATGACTCTGAATGATGTTAGTCGAGGCATGGTCCCACACTCTGTGGTCGTTGTTGATGGTCAAACGCTTGCCAAGATTGACGAAGATGACGAGCTGTCTCTCCTCTTTTATGATCTTGTCGTGCGTGTTGACTCTGTCATCTGCTGTCGAGCTTCGCCCTCGCAAAAGACAAACCTGGTGCGTTCGATCAGAAGATATGTGCCAAAGAGTATGACTCTAGCAATTGGCGACGGCGCAAACGATATCGGCATGATTCAAGCCTCCCATGTTGGTATCGGTATCTCTGGTCGCGAAGGACTACAAGCTGCTCGAATCTCAGATTATTCAATTGCACAGTTCCGGTTCTTGCAGAAGTTGCTCTTTGTCCACGGTCGATGGAATTATATGAGAACTGGCAAATATGTGCTCGCCACATTTTGGAAGGAAATCCTGTTCTTCATCGTGCAAGCTCATTACCAGCGCTATACGGGATATACTGGAACGTCGCTCTACGAGTCATGGAGTTTGACTGTGTTCAATAGTGCTTTCACGTCACTTCCTGTTATCCTTCTTGGTATTTTCGAGAAGGATTTACAGGCCAAGACTCTGATGAAGGTACCTGAGCTATATACGTTCGGTCAGCTCAACCTTGGCTTTCGATTCTCTCAGTACTTTGCATGGATGATCATGGGTGTTGCGGGCAGCTTCATAATCTGGTATTTCACGTGGTGCGTCTACGATAAGACTTTCTATGACGAGGATACTAGTATTTTCGCTATGGGCATGGTCAGTTTCACTGTTGCTGTTATTTTCATCAACATCAAACTCTTGTAAGTTTCTTTTCGTCCCATGACAAGGCGTGCGCTAATCTTTGGTAGAATTCTTGAAGTTCACACCAAGACAGTCATTACCTTTGGCGGTTGTCTGATATCTGTTGCTGGTTGGTTCTTGTGGATGCTGGCTCTTTCCGGTATCAAGCCCATCAGCTTTGGACCTTATATTGTCCGAGATGCTTTCATTGACAATTTTGGTCGTACACTTCAATGGTGGACAATTGTTCTGCTTGAGCTTATCACACTCATTGTCATTGAACTGGTAGTCCAGGCCGTTCGAAGAGTTTACTTCCCCTCGGATCAAGATCTGATGCAACGCATCGAAAAGGATGGCAATGTGGACAAGGTATTTGGTGATGGCAAAGACGCTGAAGAAGGCGACGCCGAGGCAGAAGAGAGGGTTAGCCCAGAAGCAGCTCCTGAGAGTGAGAGAGTACGTGAGAGAAGAGCAGGCCGGGCGAGCCACGATGATTATCAGCCAGAATTTTTGCCTACGGCAGAGGAAGAGAGGGAGAATCCGATGGAACAATGGCGGCGTTGAAGTTTCTTTTGTAAATGTACATGTTTGACATGTTGGGAATACCAGTGGAGTTATGGGATGGGAGCATAGAATGCTGAGCATGCGCATTACGCAGGTATCATTATAGTAGTAGTATTTTAGCATGATTGAACGAGTATTGTTTTTATCATTTTTGTCTTCGTCATGATCCCGCGGCTGATAACCCGAGACACCGCCATTGAACACTGAATTTAAGGTCATCGGAGTGATTACCGAAGCATGTGGAGAAGCTTGATCAACATGACCTCGGCGCCTGAACAAGGATCAAAGTACAACCAGTCTTTCTTATAATGCTACCTCCCCTCTCCAACCAAGTCTAGAGAATGTGATAATTCCTGTTTTCGTCATCCTTTGCTTTTCATCAAGCTGCATCAACCAAATGGGCTCTTCATGTCCTCCAGCGACACTTGTCGCATTGCAACCACCGCTCAGACAACAACAGCCATGCGCATCATCAATACATCCCGCCTTTTTTACAGACAGATTTCGAAGGGCGCCGGCGACTTTGGCGGTGGGATCGTTGGTTAATCCTGTTACGCAGGGTTATGTTTATCAGGAGAGTGAGAGAAGGAAACCAAAGTTGTGATGGACTGGCCTCAAGGTACCATGGCCGTTTGAGCATAAGGGACGAAATTAGCAGATCGTCTTATGCTATTTAGGCTATGATTTTAGGTCATTCCCTAAAGCCAAGAGGCCATCTTTTCTGTTATCGGACCGGAGACAAAACCGATGCTTTGCACGCCAATGCATGATGAAATACGACACAGCGACAAATCGAAACGGAGTGAATCTAGGGATTGATGGAGGTGGGAAGCTACGACAATTTTTCACGATTACGAACACAAAAAAAATGATATTCGGGGTATTAGTCATATTGATGAAAGAGGATCTTGTTGCTTAATTATACCCTTTTGCCTGGGTTAATCCCATCAGTTCGCCTTAGGAAATACAGATAGCTTCGAGAGAGAAAGAAAATCGAAAAGGAATGGCTCGACGCTCAAGAGCTCAGGATAACAATCACACCCTATTTTACCTTAGGATCCATTCTTGACCGCAATGACAATCGCCATGATAATGAGGAATATCACAAGACTCAGTAGTCCCATCAGTTTGACATTCTTCCACCACATCTTGCGCTTCAGACCGCGACTGCGCACGCGAAACTCGTGCGCGCTACCGCCCAAGCGATCGGTCTTGTCGACCAGCAAGTCAAGGCGCTCGCCGCGCTCGAGCAAACTCTCAATGTTCTTTGTCATTATTCCCCTAACGTCATCAATTTCTCGCTTGGCGTTTCCGATGGCGTCGTCGCGGCCGCCGCTCGTGGTACCGTAGTCTACCATGAGGGACTTGAGCTCCGAATTGAAGGAGGCAGCGCCGTAGTTGGGCATGTCGGAGAAATCACTACTCTCAGGGAATTGCTGAAGGAAGCGCTTGCGGATCTCGAAGAGGTAACCGAAAGGGACGCGACGGCCGAGCGACGAGTCGGCGATGACGAGGAACGTGAGACCGCCGGCGGATGGGTAGTCTCGGTGCTCGGATGGAGACTCGGCGACGTAGTGGATCTGGTGCTGGCCATGGGTGTAGGTGAGCTTTTGAGGGTTTGTGTGTTCGATTTTAGGAAGGATGAGGGAGGCGAGAGATGAAGTCTGCGACGAAGCTGAAGTTGTGCATTCTGAGAGGATGGTAGTGTTGTGGGCGATACATGAGCTGTAAAGTATTAATATTTGTTGACTTTTGAATGGTGATGTTGGACGAACTAGAGAAGGGGAGTTGATGGAGTTGATGATGACGCCATGATGGGCGATTTGATGCGATGGAATTGTGTTGATTTCGCAGCTGGTTGAGGTTTTTGGTGATGGATCGAGTACTAAAGATGGGGGGAGTTTAGAAGCTAATGTCACTCACTACAATGACGCCTCAGATTCTGGTGGCCAGGCGTCTCATCGTCATGCTCACCAAGGTACAAGTGGGTCAACTGCAAAACACACCTCAAGCAGGTATGACAAAAGGAATTGGCCACTAGAAGGTTCTGCTGGCCAGACAAAATGCCGATCATTTCTGTCATCCAAAGCTGATCTCAACCCCACTTCGAAGTGGTCGCAGCGGATTCGGCAAAATAATGGCCCGGGCTCAATGGAAATTTTGAGACTGAGATTGAACATGATGGCGACACTCAGTGTATTCGAAGAGTGAGACAATCTTTTGTCGTTTTTTTCTCTAGTTCTGTCTTTTTCCAGGGGAGCATGTTGAGCTCACTTTTGAGTTTTTCATCATGAGGTATCTGCTCCGGACAGGAGCTGTGCGAGCTCCTCTTATTCCTTTGTCCATTTCAACGAGGTCGCTTTCTACGACACCTCGACTTGAGAGACAACCGACAAAAGGCAAGCCTAACCCTAAGAAATTCTTAGGGAAGAAATTAGGTGGTTCAAGAGGTGGCTTAGTATGTTGTTCTCCCCCCTGTTCAGGAATTGCAATACTAACAATTTTTTTTAGTTGGGCCAGGGCCAAGATCCAGCATCAAGACTAAGACTTACCAATGGCAACAATGCTAATGGTCGCCATGGCATGTTCCGATCAACTTGTTTTGCGAGGTTCCAAAAAGTGCTTGAAAACATAAGCAACACGACAGTGTCTATTGCGGGTGTCGGGGAGGATGAGTTTCATCGACAAGGTCATGAGTTTATGAATGTGATTGACGGAGCTTTCGATCTGGCTGAGCAGAATGTTACGGACCGCGCCAAAAATCCTTTATTCTGGAATCTCCGTGATGCATTCCTTCATAAAGATCTTAAAGGTCTTACCAGCGAACTTCAGTACTCCTTCCAGTCATTCATGATGAAACAGAAACTCTCAAAGGGTCTGGAAGAAAGTCATAAGCGATTACTGGACTTTCGATTTCCCTACGAATGGTTCCCTGCGACCAGAGCGATGCAGCGAACAATTCATGTTCACGTTGGACCGACAAATTCTGGCAAGACGTACAGAGCGCTTAAGGCTCTGGAGAATTCAAAGCGTGGAGTCTATGCTGGACCCTTGCGTCTGTTGGCGAACGAGGTCTACCAGCGTTTAATAGCCAAGGGTCTGCCATGCGCGCTGCTAACAGGAGAGGAAGTACGGGTACCCTCAGATACGGATACGTACTTTACCAGCTGTACGGTCGAAATGGTTCCTGTGAACGAACAATACGATGTAGCCGTCATTGATGAGATCCAAATGATTGCAGATGAAGACAGAGGACAAGGTTGGGCGACAGCTTTGTTGGGTGTTCAAGCCAAGGAGGTCCATCTTTGTGGTGAGGAGCGAACTGTTAAGTTGATTGAGAAAATCTGCGCATCTATTGGCGACAAGTGTATCGTGCATCGATACGAACGTCTGAGTCCCCTGGAAGCCATGAACGATTCTCTCCACGGCGATTACGGCAAACTTGAGAAGGGCGACGCTGTTGTTGCTTTTAGTCGCATGAACCTCCACGCCCTGAAGCGAACGATTGAGGCTAAGACAGGACGACGATGTGCCATCATTTACGGATCTTTGCCCCCCGAGGTGCGCGTTCAGCAGGCAGCTCTATTCAACGACCCCGATAACGACTACGACTTTATTGTGGCCAGTGACGCTATTGGTATGGGTCTGAATCTCGAGATTCGACGAGTTATTCTCGAGACAGTTGCCAAGTACGACGGTAGCCAGAACAGAATGCTCTCGTACCCCGAGCTGAAGCAGATTGGTGGTCGAGCAGGTAGATACAAGACTGCTCGTAATGCCACTGAGGGAACAGATGACACAGTCACAGAGATACGCAAGGTTGGCTACGTCACAACCATGGATAGCCCAGATCTCAAGTTGGTCCATCAGGCTTTCAAAGCTGATGTTGATGATATCGAGTATGCCTACATCACGCCCCCCGCTGCTGTTGTTGAGCGTTTCTCAACATACTTCCCCAAGGAGACGCCCCTGTCGTTCATTCTTATGCGAATTCGAGAGTTGGCATCTGTGAGCAATATGTTCAGACTTCATGTGCCTGCTGAAAAGCTCGAGGTTGCCGACCACATTCAAGATATCCCCTTGACTATCTACGATCGACTCACCTTTACCAACCTGCCCATTGCCACACGCGCTCAGAATGCAGTACCGGTTCTTCGTGCACTCGCCAACATCGTTGCCAAGAATGGCAGCGGTGAACTTCTCGACATCAAGGAAATTCCCATCGAGAATCTGGACATTGACTTGAAGACCTTTAAGGGAACATCCATGGAATATCTCCACAGACTCGAATCCCTCCACCAAGCCATCAACCAGTACATTTGGCTGTCGTATCGTTTCAGCGGCATGTTCCGAGACCAATCTTTGGCGTTCCACGTCCGATCGCTCGTCGAGGAGAAGCTAATAAGTACACTGGAGAGACTGGACTTTACAGAGGGTCATCTATCCAGCTTCCGACGAAAGGTTAGAGCGGAAGCTCAGAGGAGGATTGAAGCGCAGGAGGAGTTGGGAGAGGTTGGTGATAAGGGTGTAGAAGAAACCGAGTCAGATGACACGCCAATTGGCGACTTGGACACGAGAGGACCTGCTCCAACGTCTGGATGATTATGAATGAAAAAATGTATAGTAGTACTGCAGGGGAAAGATGGAAATGCATGGCATAATGATGCTTGGCGTTGGATTGGGACCTGCATAGAGAATACTCTGGATGTAACTTTATTATTAGAAACGTTGTATCACCAAGTTTGTACAATATTAACTCGAATTGCACGTGCATTTGTTTCATGATGTGTGTTGGTCCTTGAGACATGATGAGATTAAGTTTTGGTGACATTGTCAGTGAGATTAATTCTTCGAGCCCTACCTTTAATAGTAACTTAAAGCTGAGCCTTGTAGGGAGAAAGAGCGGGAGCCTGGACCCTGGACCAAGATCAACGTCATTCACTAACTCAACCCCTGCCTATTGCCCTGTCTAGTGGGTGGCAGCCTACAAAGTGGGGGAGCTGATCAAAAAGGTTCGGGGCCAGCTGCCTTAACATCAGCTCCACTCCTTAGGTCCCGTCCCATCGCATTTCACGCTGACAAAAGAATCTTGGACCTTGATTTAATTATCACAGGAACTCATTCAAGGCCTTTGTTGTATCACCCGACAGACGCTTCCTTGCATACGTCTTGTACTTGTATCTCAAACAAATATTCCGGCTTTTCGTACTCTAACGACACTTTTCTCACAATGGAGGATGAGATCGGTAACCCCCCATCCATTGTCGGCAACACCATGCCATCTGCTCCTTACTCGCATCGAGCACCCAGTCCGCCTTTTATTCACATTCCTTCCACCGGACACTGCGGGAACATCATCACTCCAAACCTGGTGCCTTCTTTCGAAAACGTTGACCCGGCTCAGTTGACGGCTGAAGATGTTCTGATCATCACTCGCAACATGAAGCAGACCGCGACCGACCGCACTTTCGACTGGTCTTACGAAAAGCGCCGCGAGGCTCAGGAGCTGACCGATTTTTTGTATCTCGGACCCAACTGCGTCGCGAGGGATCATGACTGGCTTCGTCGCACGGGAATCACCATGATTTTGGTGGCCAGGGACGTTCGCATGGGGAACACCAAGCTCAATAGTGTTGAGAAAGCGGCTGCAGCTCTTGGCATCACCTTGCAATACGTCAATATCGGAGGCTGCGCGGAACTCATCTCAAACTTTTCTCACGCCGTTCGCACCATCAACCACCATCTTCTCTCAATCTACCACCGCCAGGTTCAAGAGATCACCAATGGCGGTTCCACGATAGTCGACAGCAGCAATTTCACCCGCGGCAAGGTACTGTTCACCTGCGAGACCGGAAACGACCGCTCAGCAGTTCTCGCGGCGGCGTACATCATGGCAGTTTTTGGAAAGGACATGGTCACCGTCCTTCAATTCATTGGCATTTCACGATTCTGCTGCACTTTCGACGAGGATATGAAACGCAAGCTCCAGAGCTGGGAGGATCTTACCCGTGCACGTGCCCAGGTGGCCAACACGCCTCAGAGCGTGCCACAGGCGAAGCGACAGATTGACGACTACTATCACGACGATGAATCTGATTCAAACGACATGCCTATGGATGTAGATCGGGACCGGTTTGAGGGACGTAGCACTTTTGCTCCCTTTGTCGATATGTAAAGGGATGATGGATACTTCTGATACTCTGGCATGAGTAGAACAGACATAGCATGCATGGCGTTGGGGCACGGAAGATACCCTATGATTAGTGCTGGTGTTGGGTGTCAACGATTTTGTAATTTATATTGATTTTACGATTTGTGTGTATTCGTTTAAGATGGGAGGGATTCATGTTGCGGTCTGGCATAAGATAGGAATTGACCAAACATTGAAATGACAGCCTGAATGCAGCGAGTGTTTATTCCCTCGAGTGTTTATCATAAAGTTTTTAATTGAGTTAACTGACCTTTGTCAATGTATGCAATTTATCACTTGGTAACCTAGTGATTGTTGTTGTGGTTAAACTTTGGTCGATATTTGCGAAGTTAGTTAGATTGGGCGTGTGAGTGCGTTGCCAGATGGCTGGCAGTGCGAGCAAAGGATCAGGAATTCAATATGTCGCGACACTCACACACGCGACGAAACAATGATCGCAATTCAAACAGGTCTGTCGTGTTTACTTCTCTTCTGCTGTTCCTTGCATCAAGAGCGCATCACTCCTCTCCTGCCTATTCTCTGTTCTCAGGAGTTGCACTTGCGCGCATTCACTCCATTACAGCCTTCACTCACATTCAAACACTGCCTACTTCCTTGTCTTGCCCTTCAAATTTCGGACAATGCTGTATTGCAAGTAGGTGGAGATTCATTGGCTCTATCGTCACTGTTATACCTGACAAGCCCACTCAGACCTGTTTGACGACAAACCTCAACTCCTTTTCTTCACTGCTACCCGACTTGAACAGGATGTCAATCGTATACTCAACAAATCTATAAAGGAATTCGATTGCAACGAGGGCGTTTCCTGGGGGCTCGCATGTTTGGTCGCGATACCTTTCTCGAGTGTTTACAGCCCACAACCACGATTTGAGTCACCACCTCAAGTTAGGAATCACCTCAACCTTATCACTCTACGTATCCTCAACATTGCCACTCCTTTTGTACTCAAACTTATCACTTCACTTGTCTTTCTTGCCTCCGCAGGCCTTCCGGCAGGTATTCGACACGGGAGTTACTTCTCCATATCGACTTTCGCGTTTGCATACCTGTCTTCTCCAAACTCAACTCAGGCTCGCGACTCAACTTCGCGACACTAACAAATTGGATCAACACTATCACCAGCTGGTCTCCCTCGATGGAATATTTTCAGTTTTTGAACTGGGGTGATACGGACAATGATACATCGGACGACGGTCAACTATGGTTCGGGCCAGCCGTTTACCATCCGGCTATACGAGAAGTTGATACTTCGCAGGATGCCCACATGCAGTCTAAACCAGAAGAGAAAGTGATTGAGAGTACTGAGACACAGGAACCTGAGCAGAACCCTCCCATGAAAAATGGAAAGAAACGAGCGCGCTCGGAACCAACACTTCCTCCTAGCATCCCTCAACCACAACCAGACAACAGGAGACCAGCGAACCCTGGCACAGCACTTCCTCCCAGTGCCCCTCAGACACAGCCAGGAGACCTCTCTAATGATGAGAGGGTACGCCGTATGTTTTATATTCCAGTAGAGAAACGGTATTCACCCAGACAGTTTGAGAAATTCATGTTGCAGACACACCATCAGGATAGCTTGGTCCGTCATTGTGGGTTGCCCCCGGCCTCTTCATACGCACAACGGCCTAAGAGATCTGATGCTGGAGATATCAATCCTCCTGTCAAGAGACCTAGAGGGCGACCGCGCAAACACCCGCAGCCTGGGGCGAATCTGTCAACTCAGATTAACCCACAGGTCCTGATAAACGCGAACGGGAATTTGCCACCACCACCACCTGTACCAGACGCGTCGCGGTGGTTGAACGGGCACGAAAGTCAAAATATGATCACTAACGCTCAAAATACACATCGGCGACCTTTTTCTCCCACGGCTCCCATGCCTTTCATGCCTCCCTTGCCCCCTGGCCCGTTTGATCTTCAACGTCCCGGCAGGGAGCAGGCCACTGGTGGACTTCCACCAAGTGCATCTAAACTTGAACAACAAAGAAACCTTGCATTCTATAGCCAAGGTTTCCAACAACGGTTTGATTGTTCTAATCCGCATCTGAATCCAGGAGCCCATGGACCCGGGGCACCTGTCAGAAACGGGCGACCTATCGACTACAGAGCTGTCGCCCGCATGCACTATTTCATGGAAATGCAAGAAAAGGCAATAGAAAGGCGGATCATGGAGGCTGAGGATACCCTGAGACAAGTGCCGGAAAAGCATGATGATCTTACTGATGAAGAAGTGGCTATGGCCAAATCGCTGTTTCGATCAGACGTCGAATGGGTATAGAATACCCTCGCCGAGGCGAACACAGGCAGCGACGGCCTGACACAACGCAACGAGAGCTTGAACAACCATGTAGAGACTTAGAACGACCTCTCATGGGGTGTCAAGTGGGTTATTCTATGGATTCTCAACAAGACAGACCGTTTCGCAAAGATTGTCACTTTAATCTTGCACCTTGGACACCGCCAAGTCCATGAATTTATTGAACAATATATCCGCCAGCATCTTTTCTGGGAAACTTGGAAAGAGAATGTTGAGCGGATTCCTCATGCTGCACTTCTGCAGTATGCATTGGAGAAGAGGCAGACTGTTGCTGAGCTTCTACAGCAGTATCGCCCACTTCTTTACACCGAACAGATGACTCAACAAGATGAAGAAAAAGGGGCCGATTTCTTATTGAGTCTAGGTCGCCCTGGAGTACTTGAGGAATTTAAAGCATTTACGAACGAAAAACTGTCCGGTTTCTTACGCTTGGACATTGAGTGGGATTTCATCCAAGAGGTCATTGACAAGCAACAAATCTTGGCTTCAGTTGGACTGCGATGGCTAAACCCTGAAGGAGTTGGGAAAGTCATAATGAGATCTCTACCACAGGAGGATTCAAAACCAAAATCTGGGTTAAGAAACCCTTTTACGAAGATCACCCTTTTTGGTCCAACCAACGATGATGGTCAGGATTCAGATATGTCTGAGAGCAAACCCACCGACAACGATCAAACATCACACATCAGCAAACAACCTGTCGATCCGGAGGCAACCGATAAGGAGGCAGACCCCGAAAGTCTTCTCTGCCCTGAAACTCCTTTGTTGTCGCTCATACCAGAACCGCATGGCCTGATGGCAATACCCGCTCACCAGCAACTCCTGAGAATTGCTATACACAGGACAGCACCTGAGAGTTACGGAATTGTGCAAGGCACTTATGCATCCAACCTTGTATCCACTCATTTGGAAGAAGAAAGAGGTCTTCTCCCTGTTCACTCCTCGTATCGTCCTAAGGGCTTTCCCTTTTATGCGAAACATGTGCCAGGCATTATTGGCTTCAGCGACGAAGACCCCGTTGGCGAAGTCTTTGGAGGTACCATGAGTCAAGATGAGGGTTTGACTGAACAGCAATTGATGAGGCATGATGCCTTGTGCGCGAGAGGGAGAGCCTTTACTCAAATCGCTGAGAGCGGGCAGTTCAGTCCTGGTCTACAAACAGTAGGTAGGCCTCAGGATGGCCGAAACGAGACAGGGTATTATCGCGAGTCCGGACTGAATCGTGTCGTCAATGCTCCTTCTGTTGAGTACACCGTTTCTGTCCCCTCACCAGGCCAATTACACGAACGGGACGAACCGCCAACACCTTCTAAGCAACTCCGTCAGATGCTCGAGAAGTATAACGGCTTTCTCACAAAGAATAACCAAGAAGAGAAAAGTTCCTCCAGTGATAGTGATGACGAGGCTGCGATGGACATCAGCGATATCCCCCTTCCAGAACCCGAAAAAGATGAAGAGTACTGTCCAAAGAAGAAGTCATCGAGGAAGCCCCCGAGGAAGAAGGCTACCTCTACCAGGAAGGTCGGCCGACCCAGGAAACCGGCTGTCAGGAAGAATGACAATGTGACCCCAAAGAAGGTTGAAGGGCTTCAAGGTCATGGAGGTCAGGCTGATACTGGATCCGGAGAGAGTAGCATGCAGGCCTCTTTTGACGCACAGAAGAAGACACCAACAAAGGATCACACGGGAGACAATACCCCCAGCAGCGGCCCTCCTTCCTCTGGCCGTATCGAGCTCACCATCAGGCCATCCCAAACGCCCACCCCAACCGAGCCCAGCAACCCAGAGCTTGAAGTTACAATACCCAGGCAAGATCATGCTACCCCTACGCGCGCACCTATCCCGAGATCGAAACATGCAGTTTCTGCCAGATATGCGACATACGCTTCGGTATCAACACATGCGCGTTTCGCCCAAACAGCTATTCGCAGCGCCAAGAGGGGTGTCGATGCCACGACAACTGGAACTCCTAACAACATTGTTGATCCGAATAAGCTCACTTTGGAGTTTTCCAAGATCAAACGGTGTGGAAAGCAGTATGCTGACAGAGCTGAGTTTGCTTGGAAAGCGGAGAGGGCTGAGTATGCAGGGGCGGCTTTTGAGGCGGATTATGCGTTGCATATATTGGGACAAGGTACCTCTGAGTGAGGTTGTACGTTATGTTGTATTTACAAACACGATTTCGTGGGGTTGGATTGTCTGTTGGTGATAGCATTTGCTGGATTGGCTTCTTCTAGGTAGCAGGTAGCAAATAGCAAAATGAGCATGGGAACTTGCATAACACAAGCGATTCCACAAGTCGTAGCACCAGTTACTATAAGGACTGAAAGATTAAATCTAATGCCGATACATCATCTGGCGATGCTTGTAGCTTCGATGCCGATTTGGCTCACAACCATGGATGGCTGAGATCCCTGATGTATACCTCACGAGCCTTGGTACACTAGGGGAGTGCAACAATAAGTCGAATGATATAACGTTCAGTGAGGTCATTTACGATGTGACAAGACATTCCACCATTTCAAGAAGAAACAATATACTCCAGTGGGTAGCAGAAAAAAAGGCCTCCTAAGTCTTAGGGTATAAAGATAAGTAGTCTAAGAACCGTAGTCTAAGCAGCATAAAGTGACTACTAATTTCGTCTCTTGTGCTTCCAGCGTTCAATTTTTCTGATACCCTGAGGATACTTTATAATAAGCTTTCAGTAAAAAAATAACATCACAGGACCACAAGGCTATACTTTCAAACAAGATTTCAACAAAACTCTAGATCAGAATGAAAGGTATATAAAGCGAGTCTTCCCGCCCCAAATATTCAACTGATCTACCCAGATCATAGTCACGACATCGATTTCCTATCGTCATACCATCGACCCAATGTCCCTAGCCCTACAACTAGGTAATACACAGGACAGTTCCAGTACAGCTATAGCCAAGTCGTCGGAGCCCTGTACGCAAAGCCAACCCTACCCCGTATAAATCTATGGATAGATTGGAAGTAGACTTGGCTTGCGTACAAGCCCCTGATGATCTGGCTATAGCTATATCAGAATTGCCTTGTATATTGCCTGGTCATAAGGCTAGGGTTATTAGTTCAGATAGTACGGCAATATGACATCGACATCGCGACTATGATTTGGGCCCGGTAAGGTCATAAGGATTTACAAATACTCATTATTCTTTCCTCTGCTGAGTCTGGTCCTAGGTTTGTTGTGAGCGCTCTCCTCATAATCGACCACACTGTAACCTCTAATATCCACGCATCAGGGCATTGATATCCTGACAGTGAATCGCCATCTTAACTGCTTGTGCCTAAATTATGTTTGTTATCGTATGTTTCATGTTTGATCACTTGATTGTTGGGTGCTGTTGCCTCGCAGTGCCTTCCGTTTGCTAGCTGTAGCACTAATGCATCTATCCGCTCGAAATCCTTCCCTTTTCCCAACTTCCACTCCCGCCATCTGCTCTTTTTTTTTTTCTTCCTTCTTCTTTCTTCATTAAACCTCAACATGGATAACGACTCTACCGACAGTGAGGACGAGATCGTCCAGTATCGTCTCACCGTGAGGCCTTCAAAGCCTCGAAAGATTACAGAGAGGAAGCGCCGAAACCAACAAATTTTGGATGCATTCGCGCGAGAAGCGCATCCTGAGAAACCGAGGCAAGAGGAAACCATCAATGCCCCGCGAGATTATCAGACAGAGCTCTTCGAAAAGGCCAAGGAGAAGAATCTCATCGTGGTTTTACCTACAAGTATATCTTTCTAACTACCGTTCGCGCATTGTTGCATCATTGGTCTTTTCCACTAACAAGCACAGGTTCTGGTAAAACATTCATCGCCGTCTTGTTGCTACGACACTACCTCCGCGAGGAAGTGGAATCCTGTGCCCTTGGAAATCCGAGAAAGGTGGCTTTTTTCTTGGTAGAAAAGGTAGCCCTCTGTGAGCAACAACATCGTGTCCTCGATAATCATCTCGGCGGTCACTCGACTGCCATTTTCACAGGGGACACCACCGCCCTGAAGAAGGACAAGAAATACTGGGATACTCAGTTTGCCTCAAATATGGTTGTGGTCTGCACTGCTGACATCTTGCTCGACTGTCTCAACAACGCCTTCATTACCATGGAACGAATCAATCTCCTCATCTTCGATGAAGCCCATCATGCAAAGAAGAAGCATTCTTACGCTGAAATCATGCGACGATATTATTACTCGACCGACAAGACTAAACGACCTCGCATTTTTGGAATGACCGCTTCCCCTGTGGATTCCAGAGCCGGAGATGTTGTGGAACTGACACTTGAACTTGAGAAAACCCTTGACAGCGAGATCGCAACACTTTCCGACAAAAATATGAAAGACTTGGCCAAGTTTCAAGTTCATGTTGAAGAGACAGTCAAGTACGACACACTTGGATTACCGGACGAGACCAAGACGCAGCTCTGGGAGTCGGTCTCTAAGCTAGTATCACGAAATAAAGAATTCAAGGCATCTCTCGATTTTACCAAAGAGGCCTCTTCAATCCTAGGACCCTGGTGTGCGGATCGGTACTGGCAAATCTCGATTGACGAGATAGAGATCAGGCGACTTGCCGACAGAACTCGCCTGGCCTTTTTCGGGACTGGAGAAAAGGTATTAGCACGAGCAGAGAAAGCAGTAGAAACTGTCAAGGAGGTTCAAAAGCTCGTCGCGGCTCATGAGTTTGGCACCATCAGTCCTGAATCGCAGAAATTATCAAACAAAGTGAAATGTCTGCACAAGATCTTGGTTCATGCTTTTACAACCGATTTCACGCAGCGCTGCATCGTCTTTGTTGATCAGAGATACACTGCTTGCCTACTCTCGGATCTTTATAACCAGGCTTCAATGGCAATTCCCGGAATGAATGCTTCATACATGGTAAGTTCTCCTCGGCTTTCAACGGCAGTACCTAACCACAGTAGGTTGGACACCAATCCAGCGGTACCAACCTTGGCAATATGACCCTGCGAAAGCAATGTTCGACACTCAAGAACTTCAGGGACGGTATCACCAATTGCCTCTTTGCAACATCGGTGGCAGAGGAGGGAATTGACGTTCCCGATTGTGATCTTGTTATTCGATTCGACCTCTACAATTCTGTTATTCAGTATATTCAATCAAAAGGGCGTGCCAGACACAAATCTTCACGGTACATCACCATGTTGGAGGACGGCAACATAAAACAGATCCGCAGTCTGAAGCAAGCAGCCAGAGACGCCACAGCTCTTCGAGAGTTCTGTATGAGACTACCAAGCGAACGAAAGCTTCAAGACGATGTGTTCGACGAGGAGACGGAAAAACAGATCCAGCAAATACACTACAATGTGTACGAGTTATCCGACACCGGCGCACGGCTTACATTCCCTTCCAGCCTTCAAATACTGTCTCGATTCATTTCATCCTTGGGTACAGCGGAAAACGGTTTTAGTAAAGCCGAATATTACATCTACAGGGAGGGAACATTTTTCACGGCGGCTGTTAATCTACCGCCAAGTTCCCCTATCATCACCCAAATAGGTTTCCCACAACGAAGCAAACTTCTGGCAAAATGTTCTGCGGCTTTTGAGACTTGCATTAAGCTCATCAAAGGCAAACACATCGATCACCATCTTCAGCCTACTTTCGTAAAACGTGCCCACGCAATGCGCAATGCTCGTGTGGGAATCAGTCCAAACAAGAAGGCTGAGCATGACATGCGCCTGAGACCAAACATTTGGAGTATCCGAGGAGAATGGACACAGTTTTTCCCAACAAAGATTTATCTTGGAGGCGAGAATGGAGGAGAAGACAGACCATTGATTCTTCTTTCGCGAAGTCCACTCCCAGGACTGCCTTCAATCCCTTTGTTCCTCGGCAATGGACGCTCAGCTATCGTGAAAGTGGCATGTTTTCAAGAACCTTTGGACATCACGACCAAGAAAGCTGAAGGATTGACTACTTTCACATTCAAACTATTTGCTGACATTTTCAGCAAAGAGTTCGAGGCCACTTGTGACCAATTCCCATATCTTCTTGCCCCTTCAGCAAAAGACACCAATCTGGGCCAAATCCCACAAATTGACTGGGATACTGTCTACTTTGTCAAAGATCACGACACTCTCGAATGGGAGAACGCGCCCGACGAGTTCTTTATGGACAAGCTTGTTGTTGATCCATATGACGGAGGACGCAAGCTTATACTCAAGGGCATTGACAAATCGAAGAAGCCTTCCGATCCTACACCAGATGGTGTACCCGAGTCGAGAAGTCGTGCTTACAGGACTGTGGAACAAACTATCAAGCAGTACAGCAACAGTCTTTTTGCCAAGTCTCGACTGGCGGCCCAGTGGCGAGATGATCAACCAGTTGTCAAAGCTGAGCTTCTTTCATTGCGACGTAATTTGTTGGATGAGTTTCAAGTTGACGAACAAATCAACAAAGATTGCTTCGTCATTTTAGAACCTCTCAATGTATCACCTGTAAGTTGGGAACCTACTACAAGATTTACCTATCTAACAAACGCAGATCCCGATGGACGTCGTTTCCATGGCACTCAAGTTCCCGGCAATCATCCACAGAATCGATTCTGCTCTGATCGCTCTCGATGCGTGTGAACTTTTCGACCTCTCCATTCCGCCAACACTGGCACTCGAAGCGATGACCAAAGACAGCGACAATACTGAGGATCATGGCAAGCAACAGATCAATTTCCAAGCTGGCATGGGTTCCAACTACGAACGGCTGGAATTTCTTGGAGACTCTTTTCTCAAAATGGCCACTACAATCGCCATCTTCGTACTCAAGCCCAAGAGTAACGAATGCATATACCATGTAGAGCGCATGCTTCTCATCTGCAACAACAATCTATTCAACACGGCCGTAGATTGCAAGCTTCCAGAGTACATACGGTCCTTGGCATTCGACAGAAGAACTTGGTACCCTGATCTCACGCTCAGAAAAGGCAAAGCTCTCAAGACAACAACGCGGCAACGGCTAGCTGACAAGAGTATCGCGGATGTTTGTGAAGCTCTCATTGGTGCTGCTTACCTCTCGAGCAAGGATGACAACTTGAACATGGCTGTCAAAGCTGTGACGCGGATGTGCAACGCAAAGCATCATACTATGTTGGCGTATGATGAGTATTACGCATCTTTCAAGGTCCCAGGTTGGCAGAAAGCCAAGTCAAACGCCAACCAACGTAGACTTGTGCAGAAAGTGGCAGATGCTATTGGGTACGAATTCAAGTCTGCTCCGCTACTCCAGAGCGCATTCACACATCCCTCCTACACGTATTCGGGGGACGTTCCGAACTACCAGCGCCTTGAGTTTCTAGGTGATGCCCTCATCGACATGGCTATCGTCGACCATCTCTACCATAAGTTCCCTCTCGCGGATCCTCAATGGTTGACTGAGCACAAGATGGCGATGGCCTCAAATCAATTTTTTGGTTGTCTCTGTGTCAAGCTTAATCTACACCATCATCTTCTGTTCAACACTTCGCAGTTTCTTAAGGCAATTCGTGATTATGTGCTCGAGCTTAAGATGGCTGAGGAGACAGCTCGCGAAGAAGCAGACGAAGAAGGAACTCCGATGCGTATGGACTTTTGGATCAACGCAACACCGCCACCAAAAGCGTACGCAGATTCCATCGAGGCACTTATCGGGGCCATGTTTGTGGATTCTCAATTCGACTATTCTGTCGTTGAGCGTTTCTTTACCAAGCTTATCCTCCCGTACTTTGAAGACATGTCTCTCTATGACACCTTTGCAAAGAAACACCCTTATACACGCCTTACCAAGATGATGCAGCAGGAGATTGGGTGTATGAATTTCACCATGGTGTCGGAACCTATAGTCCCTGAAGTTGAGCGTGGTATGGCAGTTTTGAAAGAAAGTGATATGATGACGGGATTTCTGGTGCACCAAAAGATCATCACGAGTCATGTATCAAAGAGTGGACGGTACAGCAAGATTGCTGCTGCGAAGGAGGCACTTAAGATGTTGGAGGAGTATGGTGGAGATGTGGTCGCGATAAAGAAGATGTTTGGCTGTAATTGTGATTCTAAAGCGATGAAGATGGATGGGATAGGCCATGGAACGGCTGTCTAGGTTAATGTGGGTGTACAGTGCACATTTATTGTCATAACAGCAATTGAGTAAATAGCGTAAGTACGACAACTTGTCTATAAGATAATGTTAGTAGCTATTGTTCAATGAAATTGCATTCCCAGTAATCTGCAATACTTACATAAAATAAAAATGGAATAAGTTGGCGTCAGTAATTGGTCCAGAAAAAACATTGCGGTCGGAGTCCAGCAACAACCACACAAGGTTTGGTGGCATCTATATCAACAATCTTGTGTTCAAGTAATAAGAAGGTTCGGGACAACTAGGATTTGAGCCGAAAACAAAAAAGCATAACAGGTTAATGTGTAAAAAGCAAAGTGACAAAAGACAAAAAGATATTGCTATCCATGCCTCGACACCGGATTGAACGATGGACCTTCGCATTACGAGTGCGACGCTCTACCACTGAGCTATAGAGGCTGCTAATAACTTGGTATGGAGTATGCATAATCTACAGGGTATATATAGTAAGAACAGAATCATCGACTTTTACATAAGCAAGATATTGCGCGATGTCGAAAACTGCCAGTGCTTTTGTCTTTTTCATGATTTAATTTTAATTCCATGTCAATAATCATTCTTGGCGTTGGGCATCTAGGCGTGTATTTCTGTCGCTGCGGAAACGGTCATGGTCTACAACATGCCGATCTCGCAAACATTGGACAGGGGGCATTGCAACATCAAGGATAACCAGATCAAGAAAGACATTGGTAGGAACAAAAAAAAGATTGAATTGGTATCGAGTGTGCTATCAAATCCGCATATGTCCAAAATGCTGCCGTACGAAGACGTGCTATCCTGAACGCCAAAATCCAGTATACAAAAGAAACCCCCATCAAATGTCGTCGTATTCCATCCTATAACTCCATTCGCTGGTTCATATCTCATTCAATGGTCCTCTACATCAGTCGCATATGCCTCTTCCTCTTCCTTCTGCTGTCTTCTCTTGTTTTTCATCGCCTTGCGAAGTTTCATGGCTGTCTGCATGTCCACCTTGGCATCGTCGGCGTCTGTCAAGCCGAATTGGTCCCATCCTAAATCACGAATGTTGATACCGAGATCGGCGAGTGAGACGAAACCAGGAACTGTGGGTGCAGAAGGAACTTCGTCTTCCCAGGAATCTGAATCTTGGTCGTCAAGGGTAGATGGTTGAGGGATGCGGCGAGGTGTGTTGGTGCGGCTACGGCCCTGTCGCGACTTTTGTTGTGATCGCTGGGGTGTGGACTTGCTACTCCGTGTGCTAGGTCGTAGAGGTGTTTTGGGTCGTTTAGAAACAATGGGCTCAGACGGGGTCTGAGGAACGGAAGGAGGCTCAATTTCAGCCTTGAAAATAGGAACAGGTTCAAAAAGACCCGGAAGAGCTGCGCCGTTAGTACCGTAGTGGTCCTTCATTAATAGACCCTCTTCGTTGCGACGTTTCTCCTTCCAAGCGACAAAAGAGTCCACCGAGTCCTCGCTTGCATCAGAGAGGTAAAGATCTAGGTTGATCCCTTCGTTCATGGGATGGCCGAGATCCCGCTCGACTTCCCTCCGTGAAGGGACCAGTGTATCAGCGGAAAAGTCATCATCGCCTGGGTTGTAATAACTAATCTCGTCCAATGTTTTATTCTGCTCCTCAGGATATATTTTGATGGAGGGGGGAAGTGATGCATCAATAGATGTACTTGGGGTGTGGTTGCCCACTGATTTGGGAAATTCATTGCTAAACCCAGAGGACATCGTCGATGGTGTGACACAGGGTTGTGCTCTCCATAGAGATGATGTTCGCACAGGGATGTGCTCGTTGATGTTGTCTAGGCGCTGGCTGCGAGCGCTAGTCATGGTGCGGGTCCGGTTGTATGATTTGTCCATGGATGAAGAACTGGACGGACGTGGAGGTTGAGACATGTCGTTGCGGGGGAACGAGAGAGCCAGTCCTCCATGATATGATTCAGGTCGTGCGTTAAGCGAATCGTGACGATCGTAACCATAACTTGACTCAAGGTATGAGGTGGAGCGTTGCTCGGATAGTCTGAACCGCGACGGCACACTTGGAAATGGCGCAAAATCCTCGTCGTCTTCTGCAACGGTGTCGATCTCGACGCGACCAAAACCCCTTTGCCGAGTCTGGCCTTCGCTTGTCTTGGGTCTGGATCGCTGAACTGAAGGCGGCGATGCTGGTGGTGATATGGGTGGTAATAGAGTTGGAGGTGACAGGGGTCTTTCATAAGAGAAGCTCGAGATTGACGGGTGTAGACTGAGGGGTCTTGGTTTTGGACGATCATCTTCTTCTTGTGGAGAAGCGAATGCATTAAACGATCTCCTCCGGTCCTGTTTTGACAATGGCGCTGGTTTGAGAGTTGTCAGGGGAGACTCGGACCGTTTTTCACGAAGATGTGATTTGCTGGGTCTCGATAGATCGTTAGCGACTGAGCCAGAATATGATCTCCTCCAAGCTGATGAACTACCAGACTTGGACCAATTGTCTCTTTTTGTGCCTGAATCGCCATGCGGAACACCAGGATAAGGCGCGCAATCGTCATCTTCTTCTTCGTAGTCATGCTCGTTAGTAGGCAACACCAAGCGATGACTTCCAGAGAGTCGGTAGAGTGCTTTTGTGGCGGCGCTTTTAAGGTTCAGACCGTTGTCGCCCAAGTTTCTATCGGCAACGTCTTCTCCGTACTCTCGCGCACCAGTGGCTGTAACCCGCGAGCGAAAGTTTGAAGGCCTGAGTTCGCCCTGCGCATCAAGAATGTCGACGGAGGAATTGCGCTTGTGCTGAAACGAATCGAAGGAACTCTCGCGCCGGTGATGAGTCGGGATGGAGGGTACTGGAGGTAGTCTCTCGGAACGGCCTCGTGCAGGTTTTTCCGGGACGCTCCAGGCTGAATTTGAGCTTCGGATACTGCGTGATAAAGAAAGTGGTCGTGATGTCTGGATGTCGACCTGGTTTGGTGCAGTAGTTGGTCGTGAGTGGGATATGCCTCGGAATCGTGGGACCATAGGAGGAACAGCGCTCAAGTCATCATCAAAGTCGACATGTCGTGGTGTGCTTGAGAGTTGAGCTTGGCTGCGTTTCCTGACTGCTCGTTGCAGTTGGTCCAAGACGTTGGGGCCATTTCCAGCGACTGGATATGTTCCTGGATCCTTGTTAGCTTGGTTGTATGGGTGATCTATTTGGGGACATACCTTGAATTGGAGGAATCGAAGCTACAGTTGAATGGTAACCTTGGCCCTTGATAGAAGCCCTCTTCGCATTCGACTTGCGAGCAAAAATATTGCTAAAGAAACCCATGATGACCTTAACCCGCCATATGGCAGGTCGGCATCAAAAGAGGTGTCGGCTTGTTATGAAGGAAATGGATTAGGAAGTTTAGTAATGTAGAGTAATTAAAAGTGAGTGAATATGAACATTCCGAGCTGAAATAAAGCAAAGTAAGAGAGGGGGCCAAGAAAAAGGAAAGTACAAAGGCGTACTTTAGTAGAAACAGAAACAAAAAAAAAACAAGAGAAGGAGGGAGAGAGACAAGACAGTCTTGATGAGGGACTAATGCAAGCCAAAGCAAACCTGGGGGCATTAGACTTTTTGACAAAAGTGTCACGACCCAAATAAATGGAGTAAGTTCTAGAGTGTCATAGCATCTAATGTCCCTGGTTCTAGAGAATCTTCCGTGCAAGCTTCCTTTAACAAGATCCTTGACTGTAAACGGACAAGAGACTTGATAAATGGAGTCAGGAACAGGGGGTTAAGGGAGCTAGCGATGACGCCAACCGAAGCGATAAAGGCCCGCTCTCAGATGCGAATGTACTAAAAAGGAGATGATGACAGGCCACGGATCTACTGTATCTGTGCGTTTTGATAGGTAAGATCTTACGGAAAAAATGCCTCCTTTCTTTTTGATGGTATTCAATTCATTCTCATCTTTGATTCCTCACTGAGACATTTTCCTTTGTCTCAAGATGATCGAATCACAGCCAAAAGATGGTCGATTGTCTGCCCCAGGATTCGGATCAGGGGGCGTTTGACTTGCAGCAATAGACCACTCACCGACCAGGGCCCCCCCTGAACTTTATGGCGTCTCCTCCCTGTGACAACGCCCAAACTGATCAATGCAGGGACCACAACAGTCAATGCTCAGGGGCGTGAATGTCTGAGTGCCACGGGGACGGGAATGCTGTGCGCACGGCATGGCATTTGGATGAAGAAATAGCAAACTACCATGACTAAAGGGAGAAGAGACAAAAAGAGTCAAATTTTTCTGTTTGTCTCAATGTTTGCGACATTTAACCTGCAACCGTTTGACCGACTGACGCCATCATCAGAGTTTTGAAACGGCGTGGCGACATTCTAAATCGAGAGCCTGACCAACCAAGTGTCATTTTGGAGCCACAGCATGAAGCAAATAAATGAGATATGACTGCGTCAGCTATATCCTCTCCGGCTTATAATGACCGTGTTTCCGATTTTACGTGGAGAATAGTAAAACATCCCTCTCCATAATACGGCATTGACGATACATAGGCGAGTCCAGCTACTTGGTTCGGGAGTGCAAGATTTCAAGGGGGGGAAAGTGAAAGAATGGACATCTCCGTTGTGGGTTTATCGTCACTTTACAAGGCTGACCCTTGACCGTCCACAGGGGACAGATCATGTAGATACAGTTACTTTTAAAGTAAGCGAAACGAAAAGATGGATTGTCCGAGACAAAGAGAATTGTATTACATTGTCGGCATCCGAGTCATTGGATCGGTTGTGGCAAAAGACAATGCAGCCTTTACTAGCCAGGGCATCTGCGTTACATTCGCACAGGAACGGGCCGCTACTTATGAGTCTGATGATACCGTATCTTCGTGTATAAATTGCCATGTGGTATTGTATCATGTTTGTGTTATGTTTGTGTTCATGCTGATGACTGTTGAGTAACATTTGCAATACCAAGCGGTAAGCACACAGTAGCTGATCATCATTTTGATACTGGCGTGTAATCCGACTGGGGGGTATCAGAAACACTGACAACTGGGAGCATAAGAGACGAAATTATTAGATCAACTTATGCTACTTGTATCATAGTTCTTAGACTACTTATTTTTGTACCCTAAAACTTAGGACTACAACTCTTCTGCTACCCTAGCCCGACTCCCCGATGGTCAGGCACAAAACTGTTCGATTGGTTGTCGTCAATGTAGCATGAAAAAAAATGGGAAAAGAAACTTGAGCAATGAGATCTATCACATTTGTTTCTTTTTGTATCCGATAAATATACTAATGTTTCATATCCCATCTTGTTTACAGAAATGTAACGTCAACATTGCTTTTTTCGCGATTAAAGACAAATCTGTTTCCGGTCCGACATGATGCTTGTCATTAAACACAAAGCCCAAACTAACGGAAACTAAAAATGGCATTTAAGATTTCGGTGCTGATCAAGCCGCTAAAGAAAATCAATCTTAGGAGAATGGGATCAGCAGTCAATGCGATGCGATGATTCTCCGTCGATTGTTCCTGGACCGACTTTGACGCGATTGGCGAGGCTAGTTGATTACCTAGTGAGTGGTTTGTACTTTGGTGGTGAGATTACCCTATAGCAATTGTCAAAGTTCGTTGAATGGGAGATTGCGAGAGACGTGGGAATGCTTGTTTTGTATTCAAAATTGCAAATCAGGAGGGTAGATTAATTAAGTATGCACTGAATAATGTCGCACTCTGTAGATATGTGCCTGAGGTGGGAGTCAGTGATTCATGTGCATGTTAGTGAATCTTTCCTCTTAATGAGCGAAGCGACGTCATCATTGCAGCCCCGCCATTCATGTGGGGTTGACCTGCCTCAGCAGCTTCAATCACTCAAATCATCACTACCATCATCAATACCTCAAGATACTACACCTAAAAATCACGTTGAGCAGAAGTCAAGATGTCTTTGACAACAGATCCCGACCCTTCCGGTGGCTGCCCGGCCTTTATCCCCCTCGAAGCGAACCCGCAGCTCATGACCTCCCTCATCCATAAGCTCGGTGTCTCGGACGCTCTCGAACTCCACGACGTATACTCCTTGACCGAACCGGACCTCCTGGCCTTCATCCCGCGTCCTGCGCTTGCCCTTTTGCTCGTATTCCCCATCAGTGCCGTGTACGAGAGTCAACGCATGGCCGAAGACAGCTTGGTAGATGAATACAAGGGCAAGGGAGACACGGAGCCCGTCTTGTGGTGGCCCCAGACGATCAGAAATGCTTGTGGTCTGATGGGACTGCTGCACGCTGTTACCAATGGAAATGCACGAAGCTTTATCCGTACGTTTGCACCTGTTTGGATACGAGAATGAACGCTGACATCCGACAGAGGAGGGCTCAACCCTCGACAATGTCATCAAGAAGAGCATGCCTCTCGACCCTCGCGGCCGCGCAAAGGTTCTCGAATCGACACCCGAACTAGCCACCGCTCATAAAGAGGCTGCAACTCAAGGCGACACGCCCGCTCCTGAAGCTGAGGACGACACCGAACTGCACTACGTTTGCTTTGCCAAGGGAACGGATAACGGACTTTGGGAACTCGATGGACGACGAAAGGGACCTATTCGACGAGGCGACCTGGATGATAACGAAGACGTGCTTAGTTCAAAGGGTTTGGCACTAGGCGCGCTCAAGTTCCTGGAAAGGGAGGGTGCGGATTTGAGGTTCAGTGCTGTTGCGCTGGCTGGGTCTGTTGATTAGACTGAATGAGATACCCAGGATACGAAGAGACGCTTGTAGATTCACATTTCATTCGTCTCAATAATTGCACTCTCAATTCCAAGTATGGTCACGACGATTCAACGTGGATATTCGCAACCTGGATTGGACTGACAGGCCGGTGTGGAGATAGCGCACTCGGTTATTGGAGCTCAAATGTACAAGGCAGATTTGAAGCCACATCTAGCTCAGCTCCCCACTCCAAGGCAGCGACTTTCTGATGGGTATATAACTGTCCATTTCATCGGAGACAACCTGTTATCTATTTCAATCGCCAATCATCAAACATCATGAGTAAGTGTACATTCGTATTTCAGGAACAAATGCTAACAATCCAGGAATCGCTCGTTGGCTATTGAGAAGAGGCACCGAACATGTCGGCCTGGTGCTAGGGAACGATGCATCTGGGAAGACAACGTTCCTATACAAACTATTGTTTGGAGAAATTGTCCAGACAATTCCGACCATCGGCTTCAATGTTGAGACAATAGAATATCCAGATGGAGACAAAATCACACTATGGGATGTCGGAGGTATGTTCAATCCCAGAGATCGCCAACTTGCCTAACAGTTTAGGATGCGATATGATCCGACCCCTCACTCGACATTACATGCTCAATGATCGCTTTATCATTTTCATTCAGAGCTGCGAAGACTTGGATCCCGATCGAGTTGAGTTCTCTCTCGAGTATCTGCGCATGGCGATGGGAATGATGGAGAGCTTTGGAGCGAAGAACATGTTTATCCTATTCAACAAGCAGGATAATCTCTCGACTGAGGAAGCAACCAAAGTCGTCGAAGATCTCAAGTCGCAGATTGAGAAAGAAATCAAGCCTTATGAAGACAAGCTCGACATCAGGATATTGGACTATCCTGGCTTGAGCGCGTTGCATGGCACACATTTACATGCCGCCATGGAAGAGATCAGAACGACACTGAAACCTGCGAAGCCAACCCAGAATGTCAAAGCTGAGATTGAACAGAAGGAGGAAGGCCCGAGTGAAGATGAACTCATTAATCGAGTCAGACAAGAAAATGCCCGAAGCGTCGACGCGCAAACGTTTTGGAAGAGTTTCTTGGATGGTAGTCTCGAGCCCTGGGATCATTATACCCATCTTCGAGCAGGTTTTTTCGTTATGCGCGATTGCTTCGCCAGGGGATTGGGTCTTTTGGATTGTGCCGAAGAGTTTATGGCCCATTTGAATCGACTGAGGCAGGGCAATCCAGAAAGATTTCGCAACACTGCGCACAGGTATGTCTTCATCCCATCTGCTGATACCTCCATCACTAAACTTTGCAGGACAATGACCATCTTTTGGCTACACCAGATTCAGGTCGCTGCCATCGAGTATCAAGCGAATAAATCATCCGACAAATTTCCTGAACAGGAAGAGTATGCAGATATCGTCTTTTCAGCGCCTCATCTTATGAACTCTGGTCTATGGAGGGCTTATTACACCAAAGACTTGCTCTTTACGCCTCAAGCTAAGGCAGATTGGCATCTGCCTGACATCCAACCTCTGCCTACAATTAGCCAAGTCACTGAACGACCACAACAGCAAATGGCCGACAATGATACTGATCGACTAACTCGATTTGCCTTTTCCGTTGTCCAAAAGACGCTGTCGTCTAAATTGAGACGCGGAGGAATTGTGAAGCAAGCCCTTGAAGCTTTGCAGTCATCTACCATGCGCCTTCGCGCCTCAGACTCTTCCATACCTCCATACTCCGAGACGCAGGCGTATTTCTGGATTCAGATTATCCACGCCTACCTCGGGTCTTTACAAATCCAAGACTCTTCCCGAGAAAGCCGCTTCAGCGGATCACCTAAAAGTCTGACCTTTGAAGCCTTTAAATCTCTATTTGACATAACAGGTGACGAGTGGCGTCAGTACTACTCGCAATCTATATGGGAGAGTATCCCAGCTCGAATGAGTTTCGTGAATCCTGATAAGAAAGCTCTACCGAATATCTTTGGTATGCCTTCGCAGGCTAGAGTGGATCTCGCTCATTCAAAAATGGTTAATGCGATAAGTCATCGCTTCGATAAACACCCAGGCCTGCCACCTCGTGAGGACATGGACTTTCTAGCAGCTGTGTTGATCTACGAAGCCAAGCTTATGCCCGAGTCCGAACTCAACGTCGCTAGCCACGCAAGTCTCTTAAGCTTTCTTTTCAATCGTATTTCCGGCAAAAGAGAGTCTGCTATTGAAGAAGTCAAGAAAAGTCCTACCTCGCTTGCCTCGTCCACGGCATTGGAGGTTGCTCAAAGGATTGGCTTGACGCAGAGTACGTTTTGGGTGCAACGGGTCCAGATTGAGTTGGCAAGAAACAAGGACATTGAAACGTTTGATGAGTTTGTCAGAGCGAACTCGTACTTGGCATTTGAGGATCTGCCATTTGCATACTACTCGCCTCAACTGTGGGAGAGTGCTGAGGCGAGGGAGGCTTATGTGCCGCCTGATAGACAGTCGGTTTCTAGTATTGTTGCAGGGAAGATTTGAAGGGATGCTTGAACATGACAAAGAAGAGGAGGAGAAGAACCCATGATGAGCTTCAAAAGGGATGTGAGGATTTGGAGTTGAGGAAGGCTGGGAGTGACACTGAGGCGGGTAGGAAGGCACAAGGATCATAGGAAAGAGTTAATATTAATGGAGCATCAGCGCTTGTATTTATTGTACGGAAACTGATTTCATTTGATTGCAAAACAAGAAAGAACGCCGCCAAATTTCATGTTTAATGGAGCTTCACAATCAATCAAGGTATCCGTGGGCTGCTCATCACGACAGTCGTATTTGTTTTTTATGATCTCTTAAGCTTTCGCCCAGACCTTCTCAATTTCCTCTAGGTTTTCAACAAAGGTTAATCTGTCCGCGCAGACCAATTTATCAATAAATCTTCATATCCAAGGTTCTCTCAAGACTAGGTTTTCTAACCAAGGCGTGACTCATACGGCTTGAACTCTATGATGTCGGTGACTTATAAAGGAAGCACGACAGTCGTATATGTGTCACGTGAGGTGTTGATCAGGTCATCCCTAACCTGCCAGGAGCTGCTGTCTGAACCAATCACAACAGCTTGTGATGACTAGCAATCGGCATCGCATATAGCATATAAGTGATGGTAATTTTTATTTCTTCTATACAGAAAGTAACAATTCCCAGCTCTTGGCGACCCCAGCTCGAGATCGCGCGGTCCGACTTATCTTATCATTCATCCTATCAGTTATCTAATCGCGGGAAATGTCTCCAGTTACCCCAAGCGCAAGTGCTCGCCGAAGTTCCCTTATGTAATATCCATACGCATCATATCAATAACCTCGAAGCATGTCTTTCTCACAAACAGGGGCAGAAGGGCGATGTGGTTCTCATGTCACATCAAGTAAACACATCTGCATCTGTGCATGGATTTAAACAAGCTCATCGAGACAGCGGCAGCCCCATCTTTCAGTCTATCGTGCGGCTATTTGCTGTGTCATGTCATCATGGACCCTGATGCCCGCGATGTCTGGGTATAGCGACAAGGCTCTGGCCGTCCTGGCCATCCTCGTTTTTGTACTCTGGCTCTATATCCCTTGGCACGGGCGACGGTTTGGATTGATACTCTGTTACAGGATATCCTACAGCGGGAACGCTTACACTACCGAAGCATTAACCACCAGTTCTCGACGCACCGCATTTCAATTAAATTCTATGAAAATACCTCGTCATTAAGCATAGAATAAGTTTTCCCGAATTACTTAACTATTGATTTCCTATAATGTTACTTCGACCTGACCACTATTATAGTTCTTAAAATCTCAATACTATAGTTTTGTATTGAATCTTGTAATAATACAGTTTCTCGACGAAACCTTATTGCAATCCCTTCCAAGGTTTACTGATCAGCCTACCGTATATAAATTATACTGTCTTTCCTTTAATTTTTCTCTTCCCACTCATTATTCCCTTCACCTCAATCCACCAACTCAGCCCATACTATCCATACGCAACTCTTAACATGGTTCGCCTCAAACTAGAACCACAGTTCTTATCGCCCTGGACTCAACGCTTGGCAGACCGATACCTCAGAAAGGGCACCTTGCATGTTCCCGTCTTGGGAGTCGAAGAAGAGGTGTCCCTGTTGGATACATCGATACCGGAACATGCAAATCTTGCAGTACCTCTCGAGCCCCAGAAGTTAGAACGTCGAAAGAAGAATTTGAATTCTAGACTATTACAACTCCCACGCGAGTTGTTGATCCATGTTATTTCCTTTCTACCGGAACCTTCCTGCTACATGGTTCATCAAACTTGTCGGGTCCTTCGTGGACTGACCGAAACCTGTCCGTTTCAAGATTTTTGCCGGAAAATAATGCACCGCGAAGAGCCTTTCCACATCGACAACGCTCTAGACTTACCGCTACGGGATATAAAGTACCGCGAAGAGACTTTTTACATCGACAACGCTCTATGCGGACAGCTACGTGATATAAAGCAGATTTTTCTACGAAGATCCTTGTGCATACCATGTGGCAGGCTTTTTGACTCGGGCGAATTGGAGGAAAGAATGAAGAAGCTCTGGCTACCAGTCTATTGCACCGAATGCCACACCGATCACCCAGAACTAGTTTTCCCCCAAGGGGGCAGAACATATAATATTTGCGTGGGACTACTGGGTGAATTTGCCCCCTGCAAGCACCTTAAAGTCTCAGGCAAAGCCCAGGCAGATAAAAGAGGGGATGTTGATATTGTATGCTTACACCCGGACCACTTTCCTGCGGGAACAGTGGACTCTAAAGAAACAGCTCACGCCCGTATACAGTATCGCCCACATCTCTATACCTGTGAAACCTGCGCCGTTACTGGCTTTTCTGGCGGTTTGAACTACTCCCGAAGTATTCCTTTGGTCAAGATTGCACCTCAACAATACCCTGGAATGTCGGCGTTGAAGTCGCGGTTGTTCAAACAACTAAAGGAATCTCAAGATGGACTCTGTCAGCATGCCTCAACTCAACTTGACTCTATTATATCGTCTTTACCATCAGACAAATGCGGTTGTTTCCCAAGGTGCGGTCCACCTGCCCTTCGCTCCCTGCCCAAGACCGGGGCTAACTATCGGTGTGGCCACCACGGTTACAATTGTCGACTATGCGGCGCACGTTACTGTTGGTACCACTTGAACGGTTATATTACCCTCGGAGTTCAAATCCGGTTAGCCAACAACAGTCTATACGGCATGGACTACACTATGGGCTGGATCTCTAACATCAAATTTGATCCCGATAACCACCCTGTCCATCTAATATGGAACGAAAGCTCGAAAGGTGTTCTGTGGTGCAGCGATCCGTCATGTGGCACCGGATCAGGCAATCGTTGGCTATTGATGGTCGAGATACTGAAAAGGGCTTTGGTCCGCCGTCAAAGTCAGGGATACCCCGGGCTTCCCCCACGGGACTATTCTTGGGCCGCCAAGTTGCCTTACACACTGGAATATCAAGTGTTCCAGAATGCGGCAGACTGGATGACGGAACCAGACATGCTAAGCAAGGACCTAAATTCCCCTATGGCTATTGAATTTCGTCCTGTACCTATTCGCCAGGGCTGAGCCTAGGCTGAGTGGCGGAGGGAATGCGTTACCACGACAGGATTATTGAACTCCTGCAAGAAATCAATGACGTGCTAGAAGAAATCAATACCGTCCTAGCAAAGATCGATGCCCGCATGAATGAAATCCGTACCTTCCTAACGGACATTGGTGTGTCCTTAGCACCGGTCTATTTCTCGCATCTCGGGGTATGGGTTTGTAGGGAAGGATTCAAAACATTAGAAGGGATTATTGGGTAGGCGTTTTGTATGTATTATCTAATAGAGCAGATTGGGTTATCGATAACAGATTGCCATGTCCTTCCTTCCACTATTGGGAATGACGTCTTTCCTAGGTACTTGCATTGATTCACAGATGATCCGGCCTTCCCATCAAAACCATGCAGGATCAGTAAATCGTCGCGTCCGGAGAGCGGGTCAGATACCATGCTGTAGGCAAGTTCCATTGCACTCGCCCCTCCTCTCTGAACCAGAACCGTCAAAACAGGTGGATACACCAAGTGCACAATCAGACTCAGGGGTCTCTTGTCCATGTCCGGATCGCCTGATGACAGCCATTTCTCGTGAATTAGAGGAGTAAACAGTCAAACTCTAGTAGTATGCTTTCAGACGGGTCACTGATAGCGTCTTCAATGGCTTCGTCGCCACCGTTTTCGAAACTGAATTCGAAGTCATGTTCCAAGCATAAATAATGGCAGATCCGGGGCTGGCGATTGATCGTTGCAAATGTGGGAAGGTTGTATTCCCCGTACCGAAGCTTCAAAGGCCGAGTCTTGCTCTTTCCCAGTCGGCGATGGAGGCTAGGTACATCTCCCTCAAGCACAGATTAGAAGATGGGGCTGTCGTTGATATCTAGATAATCAAGGGTTTGTCTGCTTTTTCGTTTTGTGACCTCTGACATCCAATCTGCACATGGAACTTGAGCCGGTCTCTCTGCAAGTTCGTGCCGTATACCACCCAGGACTGCCTCGAACTTATCGTCGAACTACTCGGTCAAGCTGTAAGAAAGTCCGTTAAGGAGCTAGGCAGTTGCGAGTTCCTTCCCATAGTTGGGGTTGCCCTTCTCGCCTCAATTGGCGTTATCTTCTTCAAGCAGGCAGGTACTGACAGGACCTGTTTCCCACTGAAGCCATGGACAACGAACGTTATTACCCCTACTGGATGGGAGGACGCGTTTGGATTTTCTTCTTCTTCAACACCACCATCACCACGACCAAAATGGCTTGGCAGGTAATCTACGAAGCGGCTATCAAAGCCTTGACCGGGGTCGCCGCCTTTGCGACGGCAGCAGAGAAGGGGTCCCAGTTCGTCAACTTTATGAGGGCCTGGATAACTGGAAGGAAGAAGCAGGACGGTATGTATCCCTGGGAAATGTTTCTGTTGAAATTCAAAACAAAAGCATCATATCCGATACTTACACTATTATTGGTGACATGTATACTGACTTCAAATAAAAGATGCAGAGTCGGATATGGCAAACATCCGGCCATCGGGAGCATCAGGTGGCGAGCCTGGTGCGGCGATCGATAATCTTCTCGCTGCCCGCCAAAGGGAGAACGAAGACCTGGTGCGTGAGCTGGCAACCCTCCGGGAGACCGTAAACGGTTTTCAACGCCAACTCGGAGAAGCAAGCGCCCGGTCCGTCCTCCTGGTGGAGCAAGTCGGCGTCCTCCGCGAGGCCGCAAACGGTTTCGAAAATCGCCTCGGAGTAGTCGAGATGGAGAGAAATGAGCTCCGGGAGATCGTCAACGTTCTACAACGCCGGCTCGGAGCGTCCCTCCCGTATCGACGAGTCGACGGAGTTCGGGGTCGTACGACCACCGGCTCCAGCATTGCTTCTTCCCACAACCACCAAGAATAGGCACCTCCGTGTTGAGAGAGACAAATCACGTTTTAAAAAAACCTAGAGGGTCGAGACGTTGAACTAGCAGGCATCTGCTGCTCGCGCGGCAGTGTAAGTCCTGGCTAGCCCGGTCCGCGGGTCTGTAGGTCAGGCGCTTTCGATCACTGGTCTCTCAACCATTCACCATGACCATATCGTATCATCAAGTGCACCTTGTCCGGGTCCAGTAACCAGCATATCTCTCTCTCGACTGCTGGCGAAGCTAAAGCAGCCCCATTACCGTGTTGTTCCCACAAACAAAAACATATCGGTATAAAAACGACATCTCCCCTCTGGACTCAGACACATCTTCATACGTCTTCGAGTCTTCTTCGACTACATCTTTCTTTCTTTCCGTTTTTCATCTTTCTTTCGTTCCCCTTTTCATCTGTCCCAAAATCCTCAATTTCATCGTCGCCTCGAAAACACCCGTCCAACTTGGCTGCGGTAACTCGAGCCTTTCAGCTCCAATCATCCGCGACCTTTCGGCAACTTACTGCGACCGACTCTTCCAAGGACAAATCCCGTCCTAAATCGCCAGACCAGCCAAAGAAACAACCACGTTCTCTGTTCTCTACCTAGTAGAATATCGACACCCATGGACAGCACAATCATGAAACCAAACGCGTCAATACACAGATCCGACAGAAATACCAGATATCAACATCATTCACACCGCGATTACCCTCGTCATCGATGCTCTGGTTGCCCAAGTCCATCAGGTTGCTCTTCTACTGTTCCAGGGCCTCCCAAGGAAGCTTGGCCCCTGTCAAAGGCTCAGTCTCCTCGCCCCCTCGAGCTCGACGTGGATGCTACGGTCTGTACCCGTTTCCATAGCTGTTCGACGCATATCATGTGCCTTTGGTGGCCTTTCAGGATCTTTTGTCAAGGTCAATATCCACTACATCACCTTTGCGCGAAAAGCAGCTTTGTCTGGTATTGAACCTTGTCAATCAAACGACGGCTGTCCATTCCGCAAGATTATCGCATTCTCCAACGGGTCCACCTTCTGATATATTCATTCACTATGTCAACAGCGGCGATCCCAAATTTGCATTCACGACTAAAACATCCAATCATATTTGTGTACTCTGACGTCATCTCTTTCGGCCGGGGCGATGGTACAGATTCTCGCCTTCTGTCACAGAACATTATACAGCGTAACCGCTGGCACCACCAAAGGATCCAGCAGCACCAACAGGGGCACCAGCACAAACAACAAGAGCAGCAACGATGGGTTATAATGCCGTCGTTGACAAGATGCTCAAGGTCCTCGCCATGACCCCCTCACAGGCAACAGCCACAGTGATGATGGTTTCTCCGGACGTCGTCGTCGATACTATGATACCCGCACACCTGATCACCATGGCCGTCAAGCTTCATCACATAAGGGACTACTGAGATGCCAAGGTGGCAGCCCTATCGATACCCGGGAATCTTCGAACTTAAACGCAGTATACTATATCCTCTACCGACTTTGATATCCACCGAATTACTGTTGCGCGTCGAGCAACTTTGTGGGGTATTAAACCTTATCAATCAATAGACGGTCTCCCGTGCCGCAAGATCGGGTCTACGTATCGTTCGCAAGACCATCTCAACGACCTATCCGGGTGCCTATATACAACATCTGTGTTTGTCGTTGCCCGGCTCAATCATTAAAACCACAAAAGCAAGAAGGTAAGTAGAGCTCATGATAGAAGACCGCCTCCTTCGCGATGACGCTGACCGTTTAGTTATCTTTCCGGACCAACAGGAATCACGACCAATCAACGAAATGCCATCATCTACGACAAAGCCATCTCGGATCACTCTATGATGGCGCTTGACAATAGGACTTATCGACCACGGCACTATCACGGTCCGCATAGAACGCCCAGAGGTAGGGCGCGTAGGTAAGGCAACGACTTGATGACAAGAGGGGTAATACCTTTTATAGGAGGTACACGAGATGTAATGCTGGCAAGCATTGACGGCAGTGTGTGGGTGTAGATCCATGACTCGTCGAGTGGAGGAACCTTATGAGGGGGATTCGTGCTGACTCGGCCCCAGGGCTAGGATCTGTTGCGATATGGCTACAGCGTGGCAGATACAACACCCAGCTCGTCCTGCATATCTGCAACTACAGCTGGGAAGTCTCCGCTCAACGAAGCAGCCCGTAACGGATCACGTCTAGTCTGAGCTACAAGCAATACTGTGATATCCGCAATCCACTAACAATTGACAGGCATTGGAACAACGCGCAGACGGTGACGAGTTGGAGGCGCCTTCGAACTTCGACGTCGAAACTGTGAAATTTCCTCAGGCAGGGGCGATGTCCATAATCAGGGAAGCAGAATGCGTGGTGAAGGCCAATGATAAGCATAAAGAGGCATATGAGGACCCGGAGTTGACACAAGGCTGGGGAGTGGTACTGGGACAATAAGGACGGGGCGATGGAAGGTAGCTGCATTCGAGAACAAGGATTTTTGATGGTTTCACAGAGCGTCAGCGAATGAAAATTGTTTTCTATGACAACTGCTTGCGCGTGAATGTAACCTTTCAATACAAAAACAAACACCCTCCACGAAGCTCTTTTCTTTGATGGGAGTTTGCCATCAATAAAGATATCAGTGGACTGCTTTTATCGACGGTTGTACAGGTATTATACGAGGTGTTGATCAGGTCGAAGTCCCCAGCCAGTGGGATTGTGAGGCTGGTGGGTAGTAGAAAAGTTAACCCCCTAAGCAAACCATCAAGTCAAAGTGCATGCGCCTTGCCACAGCACAACTCTATTGTTAGGAGCTAGGAGAATGACATCAATTATTTATTTATGTCACTCTCCAAAAACAGGCCATCGATAGGACACGCTCAAAGCGATATGAATCGGAGAGCAGTAGCATAGTCAACAAGTAGGGATAGATACCTAGGAGAGGTTTAGACTGTCAAATAACAACCATTAACGACACCAGTGAGAGCATAACACAATGTAATTCTTGTATCTTTATATAAGGTTGTGGCTAACATTTCCCTTACTTCTTTGGGGCTCTTGCCAGAACCGTACCGTACTTGGAGTACGTGCCATCAGGCGATGGGACGAAATCATCCACCTTCAAGCCAGCCTGTGGTTGGAAAACACAAATCACGTCAGACCCTCCAAACTGGAAGTATGATATTTCATCACCCTTGTTCAATGTATCTCCCACCCGGGCGGTCATCTTGACGGACGAAACTTGTGCCATGCCAATAGGCAGGACCGCCACGAGACCCAGGACAGGGTTATCAATGACGCAGAGACCGCGTGTCTGAAGGAACTGGTATCCTGGAGTGTCTGGGGCATCTGGACCACAGACAGTGCGAACGGGTTGACATTCCGCGTTCACCTCCATGTATGCTGCGCCTTGAATGTTTTCAATCTCGACAACCTTACCTGAGACAGGTGCATGTTGACGATGGTAGTTAAAAGTGTTGAGGAAGGCATGCATCCAGACACCGCCGTGGAATTTGTCAGCGTACTGACTGCCCTTGAGAAGTGAAGAGATGGTCCATTCCAGACCCTTGATTTTGACAAGGCCGTCAGCTTCAATATTTATGATGCTGTCTTTAGGAATTGATCTGTCAAACGTGCAGTCGGCTGGGTATACGATAACATGATCGTCTTGGGGATCAGCGATGGGTCGAACGCCAGCTTTAAGCTTGCGAGAGAAGAATTCGTTAAAGGTGCGGAATCCACCAGGAGGAACTTCAGCCTCATGGTAGCTGTACGGGGGCGAGTCTTTGAAGCTCTGGATAGACTTCTCAGTGATTGAAGCAGGTGTGTCCATGAACAGCCCAATCAGCTGTGCATATACGACAATCCAAGATGATAGCCAAGTGAGGGGCATTCCCACCTGGTCAGGATTGATCTTAGTCTGAAGACCAGACAGAGGCTCCTGATCAATGACAAAGTAGAAGACACAAAGAATATCGTAAATGTCCTTGGCTTTGTAGTTCTCGTGGGGTGTCCACTTGAGAAGGTCATTCGCAAAGTCCAAGAATGATCGTGCATCGCTGATGTTGAGCTTGTCCATGAAGTCGGGAATCTTGGAACGCGCATTCTTGACTGCTTTGTCAAGTGCACCAGGATTGACAGCCTCAAGGTAGCCCGTGAGAACAATGATGATCGGATTGTAGATGACGGGTGGCTCACCAGCTCCGGGGATGGGAAAGGGAATGAGGCCAATGAGACCCTTTGGGGCTTTCAAATCATAAGGGGTTTTGGAGGCAGGGGGCGGCTGGAAGCCTAGCTGAGTATCGGGGCAAGTGGGAAGACCGGAAGGCATTTTGGATAGTTTCTGTGTGTGTGTATTCTTTGGGGGTAGAGAGTCAGGTTGGTAGTTGTTCTGTCAGTCAACGTGAAGGATATGGAGGCTTTATAGTCATCGCCATCTCCGAGGATCCCGCATCATTGTCTCAGGTCCCCTCCCGGTATCAAGTGAGATTGATAGCGGTGAAAAAGCTCGACAGTTGCTTCTCGGTGATGATACGCTGCCTCAGCAGATGTACAACTCAAGAAGCTCCATCATCGAGATATGTCGAACTTGCCGGTCGTTAGAGCCTTGACCACTACGGTCGATCCAACCTAGCTTACCCTGGTGCCGTAATTACGTCTTGGAATTCGTACTATCTCACGGTATCGAACGAATTGTGAAGTGCCACGTTCGACGATCTGAAAAGGTTTCATGCTAGGTACAGGAAGTGGCTGCATGAATGGAACACTCTTGGTCAACTATCAAGTATCCAGAATTGATCATGTACCTCGATATACAAGTTTAAATAATCTAGTTGGCTTAAATTAAGTTTTCTCTTTCCTTGAATGCTGCATGTCTTTGTGCATTTGGATATCGAGTCCCTCTTTTCGAGTATCATACATGATGTAGATGCAATGCAACCAGCAAGCGTGATGCCTCCAATAGGATAAGTTTTCAAAGTGGACCGGTAATATCTCCTTCCTCTCCAGTGGTGAGACATTCAAGTGTCTAACGCATCGGAACGGCTCGTTGTATGCACGTCTCAGCCTCACCTGACAGACCTTGTACTGTTTTAGCCTTTCAGCACGCCACTCTTAATGCAGTTTGTATTACATGCTTGAATGCAGTAGGTGTAAAAAATGAGAGAAATATTAGACCGGTTAGACCGTGTAGATCAGAGGGAGGTGTAGTTGTTTAAGCGACCGGAAATCTCGGGGGTGCGAGACGATCTGAGCCGAGAGAGGGGCAGAAAACGGGGTGGGGCCCGGAGACCGGCTCCGTCCCTTTTTATACGGTACGGCACATAATCGACATTGCAAGTAAACCATTGTGGATGAGCTCCAGCCTTGGATTTTACTGTCTGTCACTATGCTTAGCGACTGAGAATAGTTACAATATGGAAACAAGTGCAGAAAAGAGGTGAGAGTATTAGAAACATTACCGATTAGGTAGTAGTGCCTAATTCAGTTGAGTATGCAGTATTTGCTACTTGAGAATAAGTTTAAGACTATTACTACTATTCTTTTGTAATTTTATCATGATAGAGTAAGTATTGCATGCACGTGATTTATTTATTTGAATCTTTTATACCTCTAGAGAAAAAAATTACGGATGAGAGTCACTGAAAATAGAGGTTTCGACCCCAGAAAGCGAAAGCTTTTACATGGGATGAAAGAACCCAAGTGAACTCGTCCGAGGCTTCTCCGTTAACTTAGCCGCACCTGGTTTCGGATCATGTGATAAGCAGTAGTGTCAAGGGTCTATAGAAACGGTCGGCGACGGTACGAGAAAGTGGGCATCATCATCCTCCGTTCCGGTCAACGTTCCTTACCATCTCTGTACCCTTTGCCTAGGCAGTGAGATAAATTAAAGTGGCCTTGTCTGTGTCTCTCTGAAGCCTAGCCGTCTCCCTGTTGCCCCTCTAGTTCAGGCTACACAACATTTCGCGCGGGTGACACTAACATTTCTACCCATTGCCAGTTTACACTAGGCACGGCCCGGGCCCATTTGGTCTAGCACAACGTAGCAATTCAAATTGGGCGGTCACTGCTATCTCTCATATTCCACGGCTAACAATGTGCGATTTGTCGCTTTACCCTCCTTCCTTCCTGCCTATCGTCTAACCTCAATAAAAATTGTAAGCACTGTCCTAAGCCAAATACCCGGGACTTTGTTGTCTTCAAACGTATTCCTTTTACAAAATCACCAGAGGATGTGGGAACAGGAGACGGACAGTCTCAAGTTTCACGACGAGACCAAGCACTTTATGTTGTATGGACAGCTGCGGGCGGGGCGTTTTTGTGATGGACATGTTGGCTGCCCACCAAGCCCTGGTCACAGCGACTGGTAAAAGCGGTCACAACTATAAGGGCTGAATTACATGAAACTAGATCAGCTCGGTTTATGCTGTATTGGGATAGTTACATGTCCAGACATGGCGAATCTCTGCTGGAATGGTAACCTAGGAGCTGATGTATTCCCGTCAGTTCCCTCGTTTCTTTTCGCCCCTCACCGCAGTTCTACATTGCTAGTTTCTACCTCTGTTCTGGGACCGCGACCCTTTACAGTAAACAGTAGCACTCGACAATATGACACCGCAAGAACAGCCGATGATTGAATCCGTACGTCTTGTGCCTTCCTTTCAAAGCTAAAGGCCTTACGCGGGGTTATCTAACGTAGCAAGCTCAATAATCTGGGCTTGGACATCACCAATTAGGCATTCTTTATCATTAACCTTTTTCTCTCCCACAGGATCCTCAGGTTATTGGAAGGCTAGACAACGAAGAGAACGATGAATCTGACTCTATTGCAGATAGCGCCAGGTGAGTTGACCCAGCGCTTTATTTTCGCTGCTCTTGCTGACTTGATATGTGAATAGTTTGCGAGACTCAACGGCATCGATAACCTCCAGTATTTTAAGTTATCGTACCATCAATGGCAGGAAGTATCAGTCTTCCAAAACTACCGAGTACTGGTATGATGGCCTCATATTATCCCGCCTTATCCACCTACACTCCTGTGACTCGCAATGTTAACAGGTTACTTTTTTGTATCAGGGCCCCCACGGGCGATCAACATGTCGAGGGCTTTGACGTAGCGTAAGTCGTCTTGCCATCACCCCCTCGTCCAAGTCCTGACGCGTACCTTACCAACCATCACTTTACTACGATGCTTCTGGATGATAAGCTATTTTCTGCTCCAATTGTGGATAATCCCCAAGTAAGCAGCTTGTTAGGATGGAATTTTCCCCACTGGTACTGACTTATCTCGGGCTATTTTGGACGTCGGGGCTGGTACAGGCATCTGGGCAATGTAAGTTGAAAACTAGATTCTATTGCTTCTGAAAATTCGAGCATAACTTACGTTGCATGATAGCGATGTGGCGGATGAGTATCCTTGGGCCGAAGTAATCGGCACTGATATCTCTGCAGTTCAGCCGGATTAGATACCTCCCAATTGCCACTTCCAAATTGAAGACGCACAGTTGGACTGGACATTTAAGCCAGATTATTTTGATCTCATTCACACGCATTATCTCTATGGGTAAGTGCTTGATGACTGGCACAAGTTCTACCATCAAGCACTTACCCACTTGAAACCAGATGGATATTTCGAGCATATCGACTTTGATCTTGAAACACGATCGGAAAATCCAAAGTTCAGGGATGACCCAGAACACATTTTCAAGAAGTGGGCTTCGTTGTTTTTTGAAGCTGGCGACAAAGTCGGGCGTACGTTTAGATGGCCTGTTGATGGCCGGCACGTCCAGGAAATGAGAAAGACAGGATTTGTTGATGTCGTCCACAAACAGTGGAAGGTCCCAATTGGCGGTTCGCCACGCGATCAGATGTTGAAGAAGATTGGGCTTTATAACGCGCATTACATCGATCAATCTCTCGAAGGCTACGCGGTTTATCCAATCGGAAAAATTCTAGGCTGGAGCTTCGACGAGGTTACAGTGCTTGTTGGTAAGATGCGGGACGCTATCAGCAACCCAAAGTCTTTGCCATACTTGGTTGTGTATGTTATTTTCCCAAAATACCTCTGGTCCCTTTGATTAACTTGTTTTTTTAGACACTCCGTAGTCGGTCGAAAACCATAAGGCATGATATCACCAGCTCAATCACCCGAGGAGGCCCCTAGTTCTCCGACCGAGAATTGAGACAAGCCAAGTGACATGATGACGAAATGATGTTCCCCGCTTGACAGATTATCACAGCCTTACCTGTATCAGCCTGGGCCTTGCTAAGTCGAGCAGTAGAAGGTCGATACACCAATAAGGAGAACAGGGCAGAGAGCGGAAGGCTGTAATGCTAGGATCTGGCAAAGGTTTCATTCCTTCCACCTTGCCAGGCTTTGTCTCAGTGTAGGCGATCCCATAACCTGAGAACAGACCCTGTTGAATAGAAAAGATGCCCAGAGAATGTGACCTCTTCTTAGCGAGGTTATCGTACATTGTGATCAGTAGAATGTCTAACTAGCGCAATTTGCCGTCTGAACACTAAGCAACATCTGCACTGGGGCGGACCAGCTCAAGCCAAGATCGGGGGCTGCGGCTCCCGTAGGTAGGTGGTAAATGGTAGTATGGCACCTTTAGATTGAGCCGAAGGCAATGATAAAGAAATACTGTATTTTAGGTGATGGAAAGCGTCCATCCTGTGCCCCATCAAATAGACTCGCAGTAGGGATGTCTTGTTCAGCAATGTAATCCAGCCCCCCTTCTATCATTAGAGAACCTCCCTATTAGCTGGATGGACCCATCTCCGGTCGTAATATTCCTTGCCCTTATTGAACCTCCACCCTCGACGATTATCGTCTGTTGGCTCTGTTTACCGACAGTGATGTTCTCTATGTTACAAATAGAATTTGTAGGTCCCAGTTTGCCATCAGGCATAGTTCCTTGCCGAGTTGAATCACACAGGCAATCTTTATCTCTTTGTATGTACTTGCTGAGAAGTGCGGTAGACTCTGTTAATAATCTCATGGATCTCTCGAGTGAAGCGATAGCGGTAGCTTGAAGATCAATTAGGACTTTTAAATCATGCACTGAGGGTTCTTTCCGATCCTAGCATCTTGGCCGTCAGTTGAATTCAACTAATTGGACACGCATCACAAATCCACCTTAGATTGCTGAGCAGGAGCTACAGTTTGCGGCTGTTGCATATCTATGTGCATTGGTAAGGAAGCGTTTGGTCCGATGCTCAAGCTTTGGTTTTTGTCCAACATCTTGTTCACTAATCGCATGAATGGTGATGCTTATCGTCAAGAATACCAGTAGAATCAGTTCACTGTGACCAGACGAGAGGGACTGGAGATTTAAATACCTGTGGGTTTTATACTTTAGTCAATATATAGCTTTGATCTGTCGCAATAAAGAAAAAGATCACATCGCGGCATCATGGACTTTCGATGAACTATTGGGATAAACATCTACTCAATAGTTTTGCATCCGTCAAGAAGTTCAACCCTGACGCCACGTAAAGATTCAGTGATCGGATAATTAGTAGAAAGTGTTGATGTTGGCCCCGAACTATTTTGACCTCTAGCAATGAAAGAAGAAAAGAGTCTATGACGATGGCCTCGTCAACTTCAAACAACTCGAGAAAAAGGCGCTAGGGGAAGCTGAAGCGTCCTAATTCAAGACCTTCGTGACGAGATGCTTTTGGATTTCCATCATGCTTGTTCTACAAGGTAAGACATGTATATGCCCTGCCGAACATTTTCCAAGTGGCTGCGCTACTTTTCTTAATATGTATAGTACATCCTTGCGCTTTCAAAAGGGCCAGGAGCTTTGTGCTAGCTTGTAACAACGGCGAATTGTTTGCTGTGAACAACAAAATGTAACTGTTGTCTTCACGCCAGTGAAAGCGTTACTTCTAGTTCTCCATTAACATCGAGGAGTATCAAGAGAGAGTGGGAGAGCAGTGATCGATCACTGTCTTCTCGACGATTGCCTACCTTACTTAGTTGACCCTCGTCTTTCCTTAGCATAAACTCTGATTATAAAAATCACACGCACCTGGATACGAGATGTAGTAGGTGATCTGTTGACAATCATCCCAAGAGAAGCATGGGTGCAAGAACTTGAACACGGCCTTTCACTACGACAGCCTGAGAGCCATAGGTACAGGTAAGCGCTTGCCTACGTACTCACCAGCTACGGTCACGTGTGTAGCCAGACATGCTGATGTGGCATCTATACATTGTAGGCTGACAGCAACAGTATTCCCCCCACTCAGATCTTGACTTGCGCTCACAGGTTGGGCTACATAACATCGATCTAAGACATCATCATACGAACACTCTTGTCAAGTGACGTGCCGCACCTGCTATTTTGGTGACCCAGGGTAGCTAATAGGTTCGTTACTTATTTCAGCGCAGCCGAACCATAACAGAAACACTCTAGAAATGAATGCCGGATCTATAGACGCCTTATTGGCTTTTGGAAGGAAACCCATCAGATATTTTCCTTCCACCAATTTGGTGTGTTCATTTGGCAAGCCGAGTTTACAAGCCTTTTGGCTAATAAATCGCAGGAAGGGTTTGAGTCACGAGAAGACCCAATTGTGAACCAACCACCTCACACATCTCTAGGATCCTCGCAGGGGTTAGATTCAAGAAGTTCGATGAACGATTTCGACACAACCAACAGCCCGAGTTCATACTTTGGAAACTCCAACATAGCCTCTACGGAGAGCCTTCAGCCATCTCTAGCCCTGAAGTCATTGTTGGCGCCGGCATCACTACCTCGTGACTTTGAAGTCGCCCTGTCTTCCTTCCACATTGACAGTTGTTGAGATACCTACGTATTCAAGCCTTGAGACAGCAAACCGGTAGGAGCACAATAATTGCAAGGATTGTAACTCAGCTGCAGAGACCTCGCAGGCTGCAGGTATGACGTGATAGGGTGAGCGTACATGTGCTGCGTAGCTAGGATACTCTGTTGGTGGTTGACGGCAAGACGAGAGAGGCCAAGTTTCAGTGTTCTTTCAGAGGCATGCGGGTTCGCGCCCGGTCGCCCCGGAAGAAGGCTGGTGTATGGCTACATAGATTTCTTGTGAACAAGGCTCTGGCGGTGGGAGATTGTAGTATTTACTGGGCTGGATGGTATAAAAGGGGCTGTCGACACCCAATTCTCGTTACTGGTAGTCTTCGAGCGGATCCGCTTCACACTCGCTCCTCGCTTTTCCCCTGTTCTTTTACTTTTTTTTCAGTATGAGCCAAAGCCGTGATCGCCTGGATGCTGGTAAGCCTCCTTCCATGATGCTTTCTATGGCTACCATTGCTCTGACACCCTCCATGACTCATCGCTCAGCCCTGCATCGAGTGACAACACACAAAGGATGAATCGACTACTATAACTTGTCCGGATAACCCAAGCACCTGGCAAACTTTTCAGCACATTTTTGAGGTTCGAGACAAGGATCAACAGTCAAATAGACGGGAAGGCGACGTGGTACATGAATTGAATCCCTCCAGAGGTAGCGGAGGCGAGGGTGAATTGCACGATCAAACTGCAAGTGTTCGGCAAGACAGGATCCAGAAGTGGGCGGAAGGCGTACCTCTATGGGGTTCGGCATGTATCCTCGTTCACCACACTAATCAATAGACTTGGCTTAATTGATCTTATGATTGACTACCCATTCCACACGGCTCCTCTGTGCTCCGACAGGCTTGACCGTAAGCTTCTCAGTGATCATGGTTAAATGACAAGTTTAAATAGTAGCTAATCCCCCGTGAGCGCTGCGTTTGCATTTACGCCTCTCCTCCTGATAGGTCTGGACACCCCATGCGTGTCTGAATAGCTGACCTATCTCAGCAGCCTACCGTCACATTATATTCCCTAGAGTACCGATATATCTGCCTTCCATAGTCCCCACTGCTGCCTTCTCCGCCACACGTCTCGCTCCACGAGATTTGCGACAGATTCAGCGAAGTGGTACGAGCGTCGCGGCAACGGCTACCTATGCTGATCCGCATAACAGAAAGATAACGTGATTCTCGTTATACGCATTGCGCTAGAAAACAAGAGAGATTGCCAGGCCCCCATGAGGAAAATATGATCCAAGCGTTCATCGTGACCAAGGCTTCAGAATCACTGTTGGCTCTATCCAACACTAAATGGTCTTGGCAGTGTTAGAGCCAACAGTTCTCGTGCTTGTGTCTAAATTCGGAACCACTAGCACAGCCTCATGGCCCCCAGGCTTCCAGAGTTGTTGGAATGAGATCAACACCGCTTCCCTCCCCAGGATTTTGCAATTTCCTAGCAAGCACACAGGATCGTAGTGAAGATAACGGAACAGGAAATTGTATAGGAACTTCAAACCACATCAAAATGGGGCGAGAATTATCGTGCCGGGGTGCCTACAAAAACTACCCCTTCTTACACTTGACGCCTATCGACCTGTCAGTCTCGGCTGCGATCTACTTATCTTGCTTATTTGGCTATTATGACCATCATCGACCCTTGTCCCTTGTCTCGCCTGGGTTTACGTAGGGATCTGAAAAGCCTAGGGATATTCGGTGATCTTGCCAAGCGGTGTCAATGAAGTCCGTGTGGAGCAGATAAGCGGCCAAGGCTAACCTATGACTTAGGAGTTTTTGCGTACTGAAGATGCAACGTTAGCTTCTCCGTGCAAATCTTGAGAATGTTGCTTATTGAGCCTCCGCACCTGGACTGCAAGCTCCACCAATTATTTTTCCCATCTTGCGACACTGGCGCGACAGTTCTATTCCCGAAGTCATGGGATTCTTTTGGTTATTCTTTCGACGGTGTTGGCTTTCTAAGTGATTTAGTCGCATAGGTTGCAATGCATCTATTGGTTTCGTCGCTCAAACACAAGCCTTATTCCGCAGGTTCCACTAGTGCGATCCTCTTTGTAATACTGCTCTCGGAACCTGCTCCGTCTCCGATGGTCGCAATCCTAGACGACCAGGTTGTAAAGACATTGTGATGCAATCAATAATCGAACGATAAGTGGGCGAGAAGGCTATATCCGTAGTATTAATTGGTCGATTGTTTTAACAGCACTGTCTATGTGATAGTCCCCACCCCTCTGCTTCCTTTGTTAGAACGGCTAAGTAGCAATGTCGGCTCTATATACCTTGGAAGGCCTCGAAAGTTCCTGTACTCAAACTTCCTCATAAACTTGCAAGCGAACCTAAAATGATAATGGCTTGGATAAGCAGCACACAAGGCCGTTATCCAATACACATTCGACCGGCATTCTTGCTCATTATAGACAAGTAGCGTGTCAAAGAAAATTTGGTTATTCTTCTGGTCAGAAGTTTGTTAAGTCAACGCGCCGTAAGAGCCAACACTTACAGGGTAGCAGTCAAGTAATTGTTGTGGTGAAGCATTAACTCCATCGTGAGAGGCTTATCCAATCGCACGCTAGACATGGGTTCGGGACAGGGAATAAAGTTCCGCGCTCCGGAATTAAACATAGACCTGAACGACAGAAATTGACAGTCGCAGACTAGCCCTTTCAGTCGTGGAATGATGTGGTCAGCCCAACCAACAAACAAAAAAGTGGCATCACGATATCTACATCTCTTGTTCTTGAACGTGAGGGATAAAATATCGTGGGGAACTGTCGATTGTGCTCATGCGCTTCTCAAAGTTATGGTATATGAATAGCATAATATTGTAACGAGACTGTTGGCTTCATAATTGTTGGTCCTCTCGTTATGCTGAGGGTCGGGTTATGTTTTCTGATCGTGCAACGGTGTATGTAAATCAATGATTATACCTCTCAAGCTTCACCCCTGTTTGGACTGGTATGCTAACCCTGACGGCACAGCTCGCTACGCCTTGGAGTTTGGCAGGCGGGCTGAAAGTTGAACGTTGTTTACTGCGCTTCATCCGCAGTTGTAATAGGTGCAGATTTGCCTGTCACCTCGATCGAGAAGGTGGGGAGATAAACTAAATTATGACACAGCCTGAAGCATGTCAGGGCCCTTGCGACCACGTGCAGCCGTTTTTACCACGTCGCTTACTACACTGAATTACTGATCGATAGTGGAGGCTTCGCTTGGCTCCAAACTATCATATCACAAAGCCGAACTGGGTCGGTATAAGCCATTACGAAAAGGTATCTCAAGGCCATCTAGTATCAAGTTTTTGTCCTGAATCAAGAGTGTATTTATTCATCAGTTTTTACTTTTTTTCCAGCATTTAGATCATTTTCGGCTGACGAGCGCCACGCTAAAGAGCTTAGTTTTAGAAAGTGAGCATTAAGGCTCCAAGGTGGTTGTTCTGGGGCTGATTCCTAGCTTGGGCTTAATTGAGGGTGTCAGGTCCACTCAGATGTGATGAGAACTCAGCCGTGTACGAGAAAGGCTAAGATGGTAGTTGTTGGTCCGTCATATGAACCAACAGTGGGATGGGGCTAGACGATAGAAGTAGAACAAGTCAGCATGTCTTTGGCGCTTTAAAACCAAGGAGCCAGCTCAACGACGAAGATATAAGACATGGACTTATAAGTTCGTATCTGTGTATCGATCAAAAACCTTTCTTACGATTCATCTATCTTCCTTGATTCTACCAAAACATGGTTCCTCGACCTGACGCCTCTGCTTTGCGTGTCACTTGCTACAGGGCAATCGGGACAGTGAGAGATGCCCAAACAGTTGTCTCTGAATGCATAAATGGGCGTTGGAATCTGGTTCCACGAGGCCCAAACGATTCAGAAGCTATGCAGTTAACCCGATATGATGCAGTTTTCGTCTTTGAAGTCAAGGGCCAATGTCCCGACCCGACCGAGCGGCTTGAAGCATCTGAGCCAAAATTTGACATCACGACCATCTCAAGCAACGCTCGAGTCGACCTCAAACGGAAATCTATAACAATCACCGTGGATGGCCGAAAGTATGGCGTTGTAGTGATCTACAGATCGCAAAGTCTTACGGAATTTGATCTACGGACCAGACACGACAACCGACTGGGAGACTCTCATTCACAGTTGTCTTGGCCTTCCGAATTAGTTCAGCCCAGAAGCCTTGCGATACCCGAGACGTACATTGGGGATTGTATGGCCATCGCAGAAAGGGTACGACAAGGCTGGAAAGATAATGAAGATCTGAGAAGATAACAAAGACTGTATAAGCATGTTAGGCAAGTGAAGGCGCTCTGACTAGCATCTCCCTTAAATCTAGCCAAACTGGTGTCAATATCGCAGGCGTTCTTATGGGTATGCGAGATAAGGTTACATTATGACGCCAATGGGAAGAATTTCTGAGCTGTATTTGGAAATTTGTTTGCAGAATAGTTTGGGATTTGATATGTAACGTCTATTAATACGATAGTAATGTGATCTTTCGCGCGATGTAATAATAATAAACGATCCCGTGATTGATTTCATATAGAGTATTGACAAAAAAAAATAGCTATTTCCTCCTAAATACTGATCAATTGTAAGAATGGAAAGTCAAGGAGGCGTCTCAGTCCTGCCTGTGAGGCTAGGCCGGGAGGGCCGATTTCTGTCAAACACAACAATTCTTTTAACCAGGCGTTCAAATACGGTGATGCGCGGCAGCATGGGTTGCACTGGCAGTGCTTGCCCGCCTCTAACAGGTCACGCGATTTGTTGTATAACAAGAGCAAAATGCGCTTGTGAGAAAGACGGCGGTTGAATTAAGTAGCCTGGCCCATGAAAGCCTTCCTACCCTATTTACATACAGAGTAACATACACTGAGATGGGCTCGAGGCATGAGATAGATAAAGCTTTGGAAAGCGCGAACATTTCCACATATTTTTGTACGCGGAGAAAGGATCTGCGCTGTCCCATACAATCTAATCGATTCGTCTCCATCGACATAAATCTTTCGTAACAGACCTTGCAAATTGAGAACCTACAGCGACCGTTTTCGATAAGCTTTTCCGGACTCCCCACAAATAACCCGTTCGTAGTGGGACTATAGTTCACAGCCAACTGGGATACAAAATAAATCATGTAAGATAATAAGTCAAATATCTAAGTGGTGGGGACATCGACCACCAAATGAAACCACCTCATAGAGGCAAGAAACACGAACGAATTAATCCATTACCACCACTGAAAATCCAATTTCAGTTCGTCAAACAGCCTCATGTTTATCATAGCGACTCCCTCCAAGCTCATCCCGTTGGTAAGCCTCTAGTAATAGATAGGGTTCTTAGGATCAGTAAGATCAAAGATAACAGAGCTATGGGGTCGGGCGCCACCGCGGCTCCTTGTGAAGATCTTCTCAAAATCAATGGTACGGTTGAAGCTAAGAGATCCGTCGTCGTTGATGTCGATCCAGTGGCCCTTGTAATCGCCAGGAGTGTTGACGATAGAGATATCTCCACCCTGCACAAAGTAACCGGTAACAAGCAAGTTCTTCTTATCGGGAGAGATCTTGACGTAGTGGGGGCCAATGATGGGCTGCTCCTCATCGGGATCATCGAGGCGCTTGACATTGTCGAGGTCGGAGATATCGAGGGCAGCGATGTGGTTGCCGAGAGTGATGGTGAAGTAAGCGAGCTTGCCGTCGTCGGTGATGTCGGAGTAAATAGCCAGAGATTCCTTGGCCTTGTCTCCGAGGTCGTACAGGAGCTTGGCGACACCTTGGTTGCCCTTGGAGTCCTTGCGGAAGGGGTAGATGATCCAGACTTGGCCGGGCCCGACAGCACTACAGACACCAGATTAGTAACTTAGTAAGGTGGCATGATTTTGGGTGTACTCACGTAGCCAGAGCAGCACTCTCCTTGTTACCAGGAATAAACTTGACGTCCTGGATACCTTGGCCCTGTTGCTGTCAGATGTCATACTCTACTGTTTTAACAGGGTAGCTTACGTCAGGAATGGTGATAGTTGAAATGATCTTGCGAGTCTTGAGGTCCCAAAGGCGAAGAGTATCGGCCTTCTTGATACCAGCAGTAGGCTTCAGGATAGTAATGGGCACAACAAAGTCAGAAGTAAGGATAATGTTCTTGTCAAAGTCAACAGCGAGACCGTGAGGAGAGAACTGCTCCTCAAGAATGTTCAGGGTACTCTCGACATCCTCGGGCCACTCGTGGATGATGTTGCCACCAGCGTCAGTCTCAATCAGACGTCCAGGAGATGTGCCGACAGCACTGCCCATGTAGGTGATGAAGAAGCCACCATCAGGCTTGGCTCGGATCTCATCGACGATGGAGCCCAAGATGCCCCGGTTGCTGTGGTCGAACTTGGGGTGGTAAGGGTCGGAGGTGTCGAAGTAGAAGGCCGTATCCTGTGTTTTGAGGAGAGACAGCAGACCACCACCGACGAGGGTCTTTCCATCGAGGGAGCTTCCCAGATGGTGAGGCGAGTTGCCGCTAGTGTTTACATCAGTGATGTGGATGATTTCACCAAAGGTATCCTAAAGTTTTTGTCAACATTGTCTATGAACCCCTTCTAAAGGGTGACTCACATCGTCTAAGCTAGCAGTGACAAGGAAGTCGGCGTGCTTGTTGTCACCAGCACCGGTCCAGAAGTACCCGATCTTCTTGGGCTTGATATTGGACGTCTTGAAAGGAGGGCTATCCAGAGGAGGAGTGGGGACCTGAAGGATGGGCAGCGGAGGAGCGTTATCGGCCAGAGGCTCAGTGACACCCGGGATCTTGGGGATCAGAGGAGGCAGGCTGAGTCCTCTCTTGTTGAGGTCAGCTGGAGATGCTGAAATCTGAGATGCCAGGGCACCCAAGAGGGCTGTGAAGGAGACGAGAGAGGGCATTGTCCCAAGGATGTGAAGAAGAAGACTCAGTTGCTGTTATCTGATGAAGAAGTGAGCAAGTTGATGATGTGAGTTGGATGATTGAGAAGGATTGAGGGAGTTTTCGAGATGTTATATACCTCGATCATGCCATCGCTTGTAATGCCTCCTTTCTACAGATCCCCTGAACACCATCTCTGACCAAATTCTTGGACTTTACTCTCGACAATTGCATCTTCAAGCCTCAAGAAGACATAATTGGACCTAGTGATGAGTTTCTTTTCACGCGACTATCACAATTTCCGCGTTCTTCGCCTTCAACTCTTCAGCTTTAACTGTACTTTCTCTAGCCTCAATCGTGCTGGCAAGAAAGACAGGCAGGCAGGACGGAACTGAAGCTCCCGATCCTTAGCGGAACTGATCTGCAAGATTTCCATCTTAAGGAGTCAAGCTGAGGCTGCAATATATAAGGCTAATTGCCGAGAGCATGGTCATCTGGGCAGATAGTTACGGGTTGTCGAAGATGCCAACTTGGGGTGACCATACTACTCAATTCGACCCTGTCTAGAGGCTAAACTACCCCCATGTGCATGCATTCAAAGTACCTCAGAGCTGAGACAAACATGGCTTTAAGAGTTTGCGACTTGTTTAGCCTGAGTTACTCAGTGCTGTTGGACTTGAGACATTGATGATAGTCGGCCCCTACGTTCCATCTCACGTTCTCGTGATATTTGGATCAACAGATCGAAAGAATGACATCAGTTTCGAGTGTTATTGGCCATGATAAATTCAGACAGCACTGAACTAATAGAGCCAAAGTGCTGAACCATACAACTTACCAGGTCAGGGGTTATCAGCCTTATGTTACTAGCAATCTCTCTTATTCCGACTACTACCAGGCACCCACGAGTTCTCGGCACTTATACATGCCGCTTGGGATTCTCCACAGACAATATTCCCCTTTGGGAGGTTGCTAACTAGTTTGTTGTCTTACCAGTCTTGATTAGTGAATGATCTTCACAATAGTTTAACTCTTTGGGAGAACGCCATGTTAGTTGCGATTGCGACTATCATCCCTGCGATACTTCTGGATCCAGACTGAGGGACTGACAGAATTAAGTCAAGCCATGAAATGAGTTGTCAAGTTCCAATTCTTACAAAATATCGGGCGATGAAGTCCGTCATGAGACTCGTATGTGTGTCTCCGATATGGTGAACTAAGACCTAAGGGTCCCTTCCAGTTAGTTACCCTCACAGAATCTTAACAAAACCCAATTCGACCATCAGGAACAAGCCACTCCTCGGTAAATAACATCATTATTCGTTACCATAAACTTATGCTTACAACGTGGAGTCTGATTCGTCCGCCCCGGTTTGAGCCGCACTAAAATGGTAGATCAATCACGTAACTACACTAACAATGTCGTCAACCCCAGATTTACATTAACACTCACACTCAACGTAAGGGGAATAAGCTCGCTTGTATCCGTCTTGGCAAGAGGCTTGCAGATCATTTCGGCCGGAAAGCCCGTGCGCCGGGATAGCTTCACCGTGGTGGTTGCAGTCTGATAGCCACGAGATGCGAAGAGTAGCATTTTGATGAGAATACGCAATTTTAAGTAACTATCTATTGGGTATAGTTTAGTTAATTGATAGCTTCATGCAGCCACGAAGATCGCGATTTCTTTGAGCGAGATGATTTCTTTCTTGTAAGTGCCGAGAACGATTAACCTGCGACTGTCATAATTTCCAGGCTCGAACGCCATGTATGACCGCATGTCGTGATAACAAGTGCGGTATTGGAGGTATAAGTCATCGGGTGCGACACCTACCAACCCGCGTCTACATCGTTTCACACCTCCCTTGATTTGGTCGTTCGCGTCTTCTACATTTTATCTTCTTATCAATCGAGTTCTAGCCATCATGAAGGGCGCATCATTCTTATCCTCTGCGCTGGCCTTGTGCCTTGGAACAGGTCTTGTCGCTGCTGCTCCTAAAGACGCTCAGAAACCTGGCTTTGAGAAGGGCCAGCCATATGACGGAAAGGGCAAAGGTTCCGTTATTCTAGGTAATTTCCATCTACTCACGATCTTCACTATAAATACTCATGGCCTGATTAGGCGGCACCAATGAGGAACTTGATCTTCAGAACCCCGACAACCTCGGACGCCAGCCAACCGACAACGGTGTTGTTCCTAACCTCAAGTGGAGCTTCTCCGACTCCAAGACTCGCCTCTTGAAGGGTGGATGGGTTCGTGAGCAGGTCATTCAAGACCTTCCCTCTAGTCATGACATCTCTGGTGCTCAGCAGCATCTTGTCAAAGGCGCCATTCGCGAACTTCACTGGCACCGCGTTGTGAGTTCCACGGTCCATCGCTCCAACTGAATTGAAACTAACTGCAAAAGGCCGAATGGGGCTTCGTATACAACGGGTCTGTTCTTGTCTCTGCCGTTGACGAGCACGGCCGATACCAGGAAGAAGTTCTCAACTACGGAGACATATGGTACTTCCCAAAGGGAGCCGCCCACACCATCCAGGGTCTCGCGGATGAGAACGAGTATCTCCTGGTCTTTGACGAGGCCGACTTTGACAAAGTTGGGTAAGTTCTATACGCGCGACGAACTTAAGACATATGTTGATGTATCAACAGCACCACTTTCATGGTCGACGACTGGATCACTCACACTCCTAAAGACATCCTCGCCAAGAACTTTGGTGTCGACCCGTCAGTCTTTGAGAACGTCACCAGCCCCAATCCCTACATCCTCAACGCCGAGGTCAGCAAGAGGAACGTCACCGACGGCCCAGCCGGTACACTCTCAGGTAACAGCTCTTTCGTCTACCGCACACTCCAGCACGAACCCGAGAAGATTGGTGGTACAGGTGGTAAGTTCTGGAAGATTGACTCAACCAACTTCCCTGCTTCCAAGACTCTTGCGGCGACTTTTGTGACACTAAAGCCGGGTGGTCTACGTGAGCTTCATTGGCACCCTAATGCTGAAGAGTGGCTGTACTTTCACCAGGGTAAGGCCAAGGCTACAGTGTTTATCGGCAACGCTGCTGCTCGGACCTTTGACTTTTCTGCTGGTGACACTGCAGCGTTCCCCGACAACTCTGGGTAAGTAGTTGACGCGTTTTTCTACTGTCCATTGATGCTAACTTGATAGTCACTACATTGAGAACACGTCTGAGGATGAAGATCTCATTTGGATCGAAGTGTACAAGTCCGACCGCGTCGCTGACATTTCTTTGACCCAATGGCTTGCTTTGACGCCCCCCGAGGTTGTTGCTCAGACTCTCAACGTATCGATCAGCTTTGTTGAGAGTCTGAAGAAGGAGAAGCAAGTTCTTATCGAGTAGAATACAATGCAATAATTGAGCAGTAGAATACATTTCAGAGCTTGTTATAAGTACTCTAAGATATTATAGGTACTTAAGTAAACTTTAGGATAAACTTGAACAATAGTAGTGTCGCATTTTAATATTATCTTCGAAATTCCTCTAAGAACACGCTATTGTCTAGTCCACCTCACTCTGTAACTATGGGACATCAGCCCACGCTCAATTGTCCGTAGGAGCAGGAAGTCCTTGACGACAGGAGGGCACTTGGTGACAGTGTAGACTTCATTATGTCGCCACCACGCGATAAGTATATATATAGCACACACACAGCTTCATGGTGCGGCTATTGGCACTGTAGAGTGCCCAAACTTTGGTTAAAGGAAGATTTGAGGGGATGCCTGATCATGACTTCTTGCTGATGGTCCATCAATGGTACTCGAATCATTTATTGACCTCTTAAATACGACATTCCCTCGTCTGCGTATAACTTGTTTGCACATGAATTTCGTGCTTGGATCTATCTTCCGTCGAGACGGAGCTACCGCAGGGTATATCTGCAGTGGCAGGACCAGCCGTCACACGATTTGTCAACTCAACCTCGTCATCGTGATCTCCGAGCCTCAACCTCTCACCACCACCGAAATACTTTGTCCCGCCATATGTAAAAAGGGGCCCATTGGAATTCGATCCGCCATCCTTCCACACTTTGCCGCCAGTTAATGTCCCAGTTCCGCTTCCTGTTCCTTCGGCGCCAAAGGCTGAAGAGAGCTTTTGACGGAGGATGTGGCGTAAAGGTGCTAGGTGCGGGAGACAGGCGGATACGATGGCGATGCAGGGCTCGAGGTCTGACCAGATGAAGATGGGACCCATGGCGCGTGTGACGTTTGTTGTTTTTGTGAGTTCTGTTAGGAAGTGGATTCGTACTGCACTAGCTGCACAAACACTGTCGAGGTTGATTAGCATGACAAAATCTTGTGGCATAGCGTAATGGTTGAAACGTACAAGCTACCGAGCATCATGATACCAGTAATCCCAAGTCTTTTCCTCAATGACATCTGTAGCTGGAAGATTTGAGGAATGGGTATAAGCAAGATATAGAAGTCGTTGACCATATTGACTATCCCAAGAGCAAGGAAGAACGTGTTGATATCGATGCAGTTTCCTTGCGTCCCCGCAAATTGTGTCCAGAAGTGTTCAAAGGGTCTGCACGCGTTTCCCATCGTCACCCAGACCACCACAGGATAGGAGAAGGAAAGGAAGTAACCAAAGATTATCGAGACTCGGAAGAATAGTTCGGTAGAGGGAAAGATACGGTGATAGAAAAGGAGAATGGAAATTTTAATGACGGCACAGGATGCCGAGTAAAGAAACGTGTAGGCGAACAATATCTAAACATTCGTTAGTCTAGCTTTATTTTTTCTCAAGTTGACTGTACCTTGTAAATCTGTTGCAAGTCACCCATCTCGACGGCCCATATGTGTTTGCCCGCTCCGTAGAAACCACCTTGTGACTATTAGTACTTTGCCAACAGTATATATTGTCGCTTGAGACATGCCGGCCATAGCTAATCCTGCAGTTCCACCCACAAGTATCATGCCCAAAACGATGATCCAGTCATCCAAATGCACCCTTGTACGTTGAACTGCTCGTGCAGCGAATCGAAGCGTAATGGCTACCAGAGCTAGAATCAGGATTGTGATGATGGCTGCCCTGTCGGAGGTAGCAGTATCGGCATCCAGATCAATATCTGAAGGTGGTGGACCAGCAAAGGCGACGATTCGGGGATCCATTGGGGGATTCATATTAAGACATTACTTGAAGAAGTGGCGCAACCGTCAAAAAGGAAGATGGGATGGCACCTGTTGTCAACAGCGCGAATTTGTACCGCCATTAATAGATAAAAGGCGATGCCAAGGGCAGAAATCGTAATTTGCGGATGTTACATCCTCAGGAGAAAATGCAGGTGAATTATATATACCCAATATGCAAATACAGAAAGCTGGGATCCCGGTCTGAGCAAAACTCTGCATGACATGACTGAAAGATGCGTATTTCGTCGAGAGCTTTACCTTCCTACCAACTGTCAAATCTACAGCCCGGTCTTATTTCCACAAGGGTAAAACGGGAACAGATTCCGGCAGTAGATCTGCGCCATGCATGCTGTGCCGCTAACTATGACTCCACGTCGTACCATTGAACCCCTGCAGTGTGCAACGTTTACTCCTCGGGTAACAAGGTAAATGTTGGATATATATCCGTACGTGAACCAACAGATAATATGAAAAACAGCTCAAATAATGTGTATATCAGCCTATTGCACTGTATGATAAAGGGAATGATGTATCGGTCGTTCGTCACGTGTGTTGCAAATTCATCATAAAGGAGTGAACCTTTGCAAGTGAATCCGTTGGAAGTGAGAATAGACTCATGTGTCGCATGCTCCATCAAGTCTGCGGGAATATCAGGACTCCTCTGATCTCCACTTGGAATCACACATGGCGCAGGGGAGATAGAGAACTGGCCAGGTCAGGGTTGAACCAACAGTCTCAAAAGTTCCAGCTAACCTCGCTTAGTCCTGTGCATAAATAATCACAATAATGTCACTCGCCGCAGAAACATCTCCCAGTTATTACCAACATCTTTATAAACTTCTATCTTTACCAGCCGAAATCATGTCTTCGCACCCACCTTTGAGAGACGTCCCAGAACTGACAGCTGTAGAACGTGCTGGCCCCAGAGGTTACCTCCGCTATGTCTTTCCGATGCGTCTGCCAGATGACTACAACCTCGATGAGGTCTTAAATGTCATTGAGTCTGGTTACAAAGCTACGTGCCAGAGAATTGGCGTCATGGCGTCTGAAGCGGTTCCAGACCCTGATGCCAGGCAGGCCAACACTCTGAAACTTCAAAGGCTCCCCAATGACCAAGTCGGTATTGTGAGATACAAGGACTTGAGGGATCCAGAAGTGTACTCGTGGGACTACAAGGCCTTGAAAGCAAAACACTTTCCCATAACGGCCTTTGATGCTGATCTACTGATGCCTGGCCCCTTGTGGCCTGAGCCTGGAAAGCGACTCCCGATATCTCTTGTCCAAGTCAACTTCATACGGGGCGGTGTTCTCATCGGATGGAACGTCTTCCACATGGTCGGTGACGCAACGACATACCTAACGTGGACAAGAATTTGGGCTGAAGAATGTCGTCGCCGCCAAGGCCTTCAGATACCCGATCCATTTGTTATCGACGATGCTATGGTGACCGATAGACAACGTGTCACACAACCATCAGGCAACAACAAGGGGAGAGCAGAGGATCACCCTGAGTATACAATTCTGCCCTTCACCCCCACTGGTGCATCCCCGGCTATGCTGAGCACAACCTTTCGTGGTCAAGTCTTTTACTTTTCTCCAGAATCCCTGTCTGCTCTCAAGGCCGAGGCAGCGCCTGCAAACGCAACCATAGAGACAAACCAGCAGTGGATTTCCACTAATGATGCTTTTTCGGCTTTGATGTGGCGTACCGCTGTGGCAGTTCAAGCACCCCTTGACAGTCTTGCGGAAGATGAGGATGCGTCTTCGGTATTTAACATGGCTGTCAACGGAAGAACCCGTACGGATCCTCCTGTACATCCTCAGACTCTCGGCTGTTTCCTTCAATACATCAGTGTGTCAGCGCCCATTCGGGACATTTTGGGAAGTCTGAGTCTGGCCGATCTTGCTATAATGATACGGAAGGAGATTCTTTTGCGTCTCACCAACCAGTTCACCGACGATGTGGTGACACTCATTGATAAGCTCGAAGATGTCACGAGACTCGTTCCCACGGCATTTTTGGATGTCCTTGGCAAGACATCTGTGCAGACGTCGTGGGCCGAGTTCGACTTGGCCACTGTGGAATGGGGTCCGCTTCTAGGAGATAGGATTGAAGCCGTTCGTTGTCCAAACACTGGTATCCTGCCAGGAACACACGTTGTTCTGCCCGCCCTGCCCAATGGTGGTGTTGAAGTTGTGTTTGGGACAGAAGGAGAACTGCTGCAAAAGGTTCTGGAAGATCCTCTGTGGGCCAAGTTTGCTGAGCCTAGGTAATATACAGACAATAAGGGAGAATGTTTCTGCGTTATTCTTAATTCGCATTAATACATCTATTTACACGGTGCTGCTATTGGCAATTGGCACTATATGTTGGTTACCCTCTGGTCAAAGCTCGTGCCTATTAGCCACATCTTTCAATTCTATATTCTCACACTTCCCAAAGCCAACGAACTACATCATGACCACACCCGACTATAGAACATCTGTATCTCTTCTTCAGAAACTTTCCACACTCCTATCTGTTGAACGAAGTTTTCTCTCGGTCATAGGGGGAACAGGTCATTATGCTGGGATCATCGCTGATATCCGCGATAAGTTAAGTTGGAGACATCGCCCTATCGACAAAAGGATCAAAGTACGTGTTTTCGTGAGGATTGATCAGCCAGACCCCGGACGTTATATATGTCTCGACAAGGAAGTCCACGATTATCTCTACGGTGATGGCCCCCCACCTTTTGGTGTTGATGGAAGTGGCAGTGGGTTTCGTATGGTTGAATTTGGGACTGGCATGCAGTATGATGAGTTCGATCCGGACTTCGCTCAACCTTTCTTATAGTGTATTGTCTTAATAGTGATCAACCGAAACATAAAGCTAATGATACAAATATAAAGACATACCCATGATTCATAGAGTCGAATTAACTTGGATATCATCCATACTACATACATCTTGCCTCCACTCGCGGTACATATCGCCGGCACAATCAGCTCCTTTGTCAATCAATGCGGACTACCAACCCAAATTACCACAGTCTGTTTTTAATATTGCCATCCGACACATCCTAGTCTCCAAGAGGATACGCGTGAAGGATCTGTCCATGGAAGAGCGTAGCATCCTTGGAAGCCAAGAATACAAAGCTCGTCGCGATCTCACTGGGTTGTCCGACACGGCCCAGCTGAGACTGCTTTCCGAAACCCTCCATCTGGTCAGCTGGTCGAGACGCGGGCTGAAGGGGTGTATGCACTGGTCCGGGAGCAACAGCGTTGACCCTGATACCCTTCTTGACGAGTTGCTTGGATAGTGATCGTGTGAATGCCACGATGGCGCCCTTTGTGGAAGCGTAGTCGATCATGGCAGCGGTACCGCGGAATGCAACGACGGAAGTTGAGTTGATGATGCTGAACCTGTTAGCTATCTTGGATTGTGTCCGGCAGAGTAATACTTACGAGCCACCAGTCTCCATATGATGAAGAGCGTATTTCGTTATGGCAAAGATTTGAAGGATGTTGCTTCGGAAAGTACTCTCGACATTCTCCAAATCGATATCCTTGAAGTCCTCGCACATGATTTGTTTGGCAGCGTTGTTGACCAGCACGTCAATCTTTCCGTACTCATCAACATGCTTCTGAACAGCGTTCTTGCACGTGTCGTTGTCCATAAGATTGCCAGGAACGAGAAGACACTTGCGACCTTCCTTCTCGACCATTCGCTTAGTCTCTTCGGCGTCTTCCTGCTCTTCTGGGAGGTAAACGATTGTCACGTCTGCGCCTTCGCGAGCGAAGAGGACGGCGACTGCGCGACCGATTCCAGAGCTAGGAGGTGCATTAGAATTGAGTGAAAATTCATGGTGATGGTACTTACTCTCCGCCGGTGATGAAAGCCTTGGCGTTCTCGAGCTTGTTGGCACCGCGGTACTCGTGGAATTCATTCTTGCCTTCTAGCTTTGTAGATTCGCTAGTAGGGTTCATAGCCTTTTCGGTTCTGCAAGAGTCAGTATTTTGGTTTGGAGGAGATGTAATCTTGTGACGTACCCTGGGAGGTTCTGGGCTTGAGCCTCAGGAACGGGATGGAAAGTACCATCTTTGCCGGCTTGAGACATGATTGAAGATTATTGTATTAGTGAAGAATTATTTGCGTTGGTGTTTGTGTATGAAATGAAGAAGAGCAGAATGCGAAAGAATGGGAAAGAGCGAGTTGAGTATTTATCACGGTTGTTGATGATGTCAGTATGCGTCCATGTCGCGGGGCTGTTGATTCATCACGATCGCATCACGATCTCCGTTCCACGATAAGAAACGCATTCATCAATTTATGGAATCCACCACTCAACCCAATTGCAATTACTCGTCAGTCGCGTCATGTCACCCACCAAGGACGAAAAAGATATTGAGTTGCCACCATATGTTACCTTCCCTCAGTGACGACCGCTGCACAGTCTGCGAATGCCCTATAGACAAATTAACATCAATCGCAATCTCTCTCATTTGCCAATCAAGCGCCATTAAGTTCAAAGACTCGAAGATATCGTTATTTTGTCGAAGCTTCTCAATCTGCCGAATCGCATCTCTCCTCCAACGCCTGACATCCTTTGTGATGCCCGCGCTCTTCGTCATGACGTGCTTGACACCAGCGTCAATGAAGCGCTTACCCATGAGAATTGCACTTTGAGGATATGATGTTCTTATAGAAGACAATCCTGGTTATATCGCTTCATGCGCCAAATTGAGAGCCTCACTGCCTTTGCAGACTTCAAATTGCACCCTGTCAACGATCCGGAGTCAATCGTCATGCAGAAAGGAAATGGAAACAAATCGACTTCGACTAGATCCCAACCCATGCGGTTTTGTCCAGAAACATTGTCTGTTACCCAGCCTGGGTTGGACCGCGGAAGACCATTTTGCACCCATCTGTCCTAGTACATGATCAATACCGTCTTCAGTATGGGCGAACCAGGTTACTTGCTGTGGACACATTAACATTGCACCCACGAGCAAGGTAGACAAGACAGAGAATCGGACGTCGAGAAGGACAAGGAGTGATTTTGGAGATTATGGCCGAGGCTCGTCATGTCGTGCAAGCAACTCCGAGAAGATTGGTATGGAACACTGCTCAATTCTGTGCATTAATCCACGGAGGCGGTGTGGTTCGGTTCAGTCGAATCGTCTCTTGCACACTGATCACATCCTTTATATGTTCCAAGCCTCTTTCGTATGTGCTTGTGAAATGCTGAAGTTCCAGTCGTACCTACTGACGGTCGGTCATGACATGTCCAGGCGATACACGATCTATGGTCGTTAAGATTGAGGATACAGAAACGAACGACTCAATCTTGGTAAACAGCTGGCTTGCCAGTATTGTCTTCAGTTGCCATGGTATCATCCTCGAGCCTGGAGGAACTGACCGTTGATGACAGAGTCTCAGAACACAGTCTATGTCTTATCCGGATGTGCTGACTGCATTCTCCAGTCTCAACAAAGAAATGTGATGAGAAGCCACAATAATTCAACATGTCTGCATGTTTCAACAGATGGAGAACAAATCTTTCAGCTCTTACCTTTGGGTTTCTTCAAATGCTAAACATTCAATCCGACCCCGCAATGCTTGCCTCTATTCCGAGACATAATCGCCGTATTGGAGCTAGCCGTCGATAGTGAGTTTCTAGCTAGCCAGCCACGTTTCACTAGCGCATCAATTGGTGAAGCAACGCATGTCGACCGTTTGGTTCGTGTCAAGGCGAGCTAGTCCTGGACGGCCCGCGAGACTAGTCAGATCTAACCCATCTCGCGGTCTGGACTCACCTCAATCTTTACGATCCAATAGCAACCTCAACAGTTCACCGGTGGGAAGGCATGAAGCTATTTGCGGAGAAAGTTCAACTATGTTCCGGTATGTGATGAAGATTCACTAACTGCGGGGTTGGAGGAGAATGCAGATTGATGTCGACACAACCCGTTCCAGAGAATTCAGCTCGCCACTTTGTCAACGATATGATGAACTTGCTGGGCTGAGTCCCTAAAGCCAGGTCGGTGGATGCTGGGAAGAAATGCATAAATAGATAGCGAATTCCCAGGAGACTCGGAATCACAGCATCTCCTCAACCTCAACCAATACTCTGACTTACACACCGTTCATCATGGCTACTTTGAACAACATCAAGGAGCATCGCCTCCCAACCAAGTCTTATAAGCACATGTGGGCTCGCTATGTTGCGAAAAAGGCTTTCGATGAAGACATCAAGGCCGCCTCAAGGCGGTTGATTGAAGCACAGAAGACCAACCCAGATCTTTTCTCTGCTACGATCAAAGAAGATATGAAGGTGGGTACAATCTTGGCCAAAACACAGGAGGAGATCGGCACTGGCCTTGTTCCCAAAGATCCCAAGAAGCTAGACATCGGAATCATTGGCGCTGGTGTTGCTGGACTCTTCACTGCCCTGGTCTTTGACTGGTTGAACGAAGAGTGCAAGGATCAGGGACTCAAGATCAACTACGATATCATTGAAGCAGCTGAGGACAGGTTGGGCGGACGTCTGTATACTCACAGGTTCTCTGATGCTGAGCATGACTATTACGATGTTGGAGCCATGCGATTTCCCAACAATACCATCATGAGGAGGTCAGTTACATTCTACCTCACACTGCATATTGCTTACCAGCTATAGAACCTTCCAGCTATTCAACTACCTTGACATGTAGCCTGGAAAGGGTGGATTAATTCCCTACTACATGAAGGACGTCGATGGAGTTTGCCCTACGTACTTCAACGATATACGTAAAGTGGGCAACGTCTGGGCTGAGGGGACGGATGATCCTTTTAAGATCAACAGTGGGCTTGAAGAAAAGGACAAGATCCCCGAGAAGTAAGTGTACCAAACAATCGAAGGCAGCCGCTAACAAGTTTAGATACTTGAAGGAGGATCCCAGCGATCTCATAGAGGCAGCTTTGGACAAGTTGATAGGCAACACCAGGGTCGAGTTTGAAGCGGTCGTCGACGAGAACGACGAGAATGGGCAAAAAGCGACCGAGCTCTGGAAGAAATTGATGAGAACTGATAAATTGAGTGTTCGACAGTTCCTTGCGTTGTGAGTTGCCGAGAGAGACATATTTTCATTTGCTGACGCCGGACAGGGGCGAGCATGATGTACCCAGTGGACCTGGATTTAACTACAACACGATCGAATGGCTCGAGTCAGCGACATAGTAAGTGGTGCAATGAGAGTTGATGGTCAATTTCTGACATCCTTCAGCGGCACTGGCTGGTATGACCAGTCACTCACAGAATGTGTCCTAGAGCAGCTCGACTTTGCCACCCCAAAGCAAAAGAAAGATGAGCCTCCGATCAACTACTGGTGGTGCGTTGACGGAGGCGCCCAAACAATCGCAGAGAGAATGGCCAAGAAGGTTAAGAATCCTGTTCAGTTCAAGAGCCAGGTGGTCGCCATCGACGCTCAAATCCCGAAGCGCAAGGAGAAGAATGACTACACGCCCATGAAACTGGAGATCTCGAACGGCAAGTCAACAACGAAAAAGGATTATTTTGCAGTATTCAACAGCACAACCCTTGGCGCACTCCAGCGTATGAATCTCAAAGACGCTGGCCTTCTTTGGGGTACGAAACAAGCCATTCGTGCACTCGGCTATGGTGCTTCATGCAAGGTTGCTATCAAGTTCAAGACTGCGTGGTGGCAGAAGGAACCCTTCTGTATCAAGAAAGGTGGCCTTGCGCACACCGATCTTCCGCTTCGAGTTTGTGTCTACCCATCCTACAACATCGAGGCAAACGAGGGAAAAGACTGGAACCCCGATAAGCCCGCTGTTCTCTTGTGCTCATACACATGGGGCCAAGACGCCCAACGCATGGGTGCTCTGATCTCTTCGGATTCTCCAAAGAACGAAGACCAGCTTATTTCAGTGCTCCTGCATGACCTTGCTCTCCTCCATGCCCCCGAAGAGAAAGGGGACTGGGACTACGAGCACCTTCTCGAGATTCTCAAGCAACAGTATCAAGACCATCATTCTTATGATTGGTATAGCGACCAGAACATGTCGGGCGCTTTTGCATACTTTGGACCTGGCCAATTCTCGAACATGTGGCAGGAGATCATCAAGCCCAACGCTTATGGACAGCTGTACCTGGTCGGCGAAGCATCATCTTCCCATCACGCTTGGATTGTCGGCGCTCTGGAAAGTGTAATTCGCGCCGTTTATCTTATGTTCGAAGGTCTTCAGAAGCAAGAGCCTGAAAATGAAGCCTACAAGAAGGTCGTCAAGTTACTGAGCCAGGCACCCAAGGTTGACCCAGAGACGGAAGGTGGTGATGTTTTCGGTGGGTTCGCTGGCGACGAGTCATCAAAGCCTCAAAAGATGCCGTCGGGTCTTCCGTTCTTCCCACTCCCGGAGGAGATGCCCGATCGTCTTTTGGGTGTATCCGAAGACAAGAAGGTGCTTCGAGACCCATTGGGTAAGAATGACGAGTACGTCGAGGGCGCGGCCATTCTGTTGTCGGTGGCCATGATAGGAGTGTCTCTGCTTGAGAGTTGGATCGACTTTGAGCTAGATGATAAGACAAAGCCACAGTAAACAGATATCAGTCACGATCTTCTACGGCTAGCAATTAATATACACCTATTTCTTATGTTCAACACAGATCACACAGACTAGGCATGCTAGTCATTCTTTGGAATGAAGGCAAAGCAATCTGTCTACCATTGGTCGTAAGTGGCTGTATTGACAATGGATGAAAATTTGACTGGACAAAAAAGGTACTGTTTGTTGCCTGCTCACCTTGTGTTGGCACCTGCCAAATGGTAGATGGAGCCAAGTCACTCTTGCCATGTGTGGATGTGAGATGGGCACGTTGGTCACAAAGAAGGTACTTACCCACCTGCCGACAAGATACGTTTCTCAACTTGCCTTTTGTCTGCGATCCAATTAACCCTCTCATCACAGCTCCTTTCATAGAATCGTCTTTCAACAAACAATCCAGTCGAGAACCGTTGTCTCCAATGTCAACAAAAGCCATTAAGACAACGGTTCTCGTCCCTTGTGACCAGTCGCTTGTCTGAGCTCCGGTCTTTGATCTCAACATCTTTGTTTGCACAAAGTTTTTGGCCAACCAAACACACTGTTTACTGTTTTCATTCTCTCTCGTCAGTGAGTTGCTATGCTATCTAGAGATTATGCCTCCGCTAACTTCTATGCAGTGACCCGTAGACCCTCGAAGTCCAGAACCGCTGGTGGTGATAGGCGGCCATTGATAAAACGCCGAAGAGAGTCACCTGTCAGAAAACGTTCTCCGCCCGGTAAATCGAAATCACCTTTCACAAACTCGCCGTCTGGTCGCTCTGCGTCCTTTAAATCGGTAAATTCATGTTATTTTCCCATTAGTATGGGCCTTAACTTGGGTTTCACACAATATAACTTCTAGGAATTTACCTGGTACATTAAATTCTCCTTCTATAACCTTGCCGTCCAGTCGCTCTGCGCCCGTTGAATCAGCAAGTTCATGTTGGAGTTTCGTCGGCATGGGTGCTAATCTTGGTTTTATATAACGCTTGACAATTGCGGCAGTTGGACGTTCTTTGGTTCCCGCTCTAGGAGAGAACTTGTCGCCCGGTATAACGAAATTACCTTCTACAAACTTGCCGTGCGACCATCCGACTCACTGCCGCCCAGTTTTCACTTGGCCGCCACGCCAAGTCTAATTACTCCGAGGAACAATCGTGAGGCAAGTCTTCTATCCTTTCCGGTGGAACTGGAACTGACTTGGTAGGGTCACTCATCGTCTGCGTTTTCTCTATCTTCTAACGCACGTCCGCAAAAGGAAATCGACAAAAAAGCCGTGCCACAAAGAGTACCTGAAAGATAAGCAGGTAAATGGTAACTCTTGCATGATGATTTGCTTGGTAGCTGACTTGATTGCTGCAGAACAGCGTTGAGCTCCGAAAGCAGGACCTTTGGGACCGCTGCCGTCGAGACCCTCTATTATGCGAAGAGATTCTGTCTAGAGGGAGGGCACTACCCACCACGACGGTCGGATTCTGCCGTCCTTCGAAAAAAGTGCCGAACAAATCAGGGGGCTACATACAACTTAGTTACGACGGTCTTGATAAGCTCGCCCTCCTGCATGATGTATTAGCCTGGTCGCGCGGCCTTGTACCGAACGATGATTAACAAATTTTACATCTCTGCGGAAACTTAGTATGTTTAAAAGAAGAACATGTATGCTTAGAGACGGCTGTAGAGAACAACGCCCGTAAGGGTTACGGACTGACAATTCCATGCTTCTGCGACAGCATGTGCACCAAATGGAAGTACACCTGTCCGCACAAGCCACCGTGCGTGGGAAAGGGAGTTGGCATCTACCATATCACGTTTCAAATCGCTATCAGTGGTTATCAAAGCTGGGAATCGTGGGCTAGTGAGACATTGCATCGGGAGAGCTGTTGGGATCTACCAAGATGCAGTGAGGTGGCGACAAGGGGGTAGCGGAAAACATAAATAATCCAAGATCCTCGTTTAAAGAGCATATACTTACTTATTGATTTCGTCTCTTATGCCTAGAGCAGTCGATCTTTCCGGCACATTAAGAAGCCATTGCCGTCTACTCCCATCCAGTCTTCCTCCCAAGTCATTGGTTGCTACTTGGAATGGCTCCTCTCCGCCCGACATAAGGGTCGTCTGATCTAGTCGCGTATCTGCATCTTTGGATTTGTCGGGCTGCATCTCAATTCGCCACTAAGCTTGAAAACGAGAGTGCGCTTCATCTCAAGTTCGGCGTTCTCGTTCCGTATATATGTCATCCCAAAGCGAGCCCTTCAAAGCACGATCTCTGATCCAGGTTTTGTACATGTCCAGTTCAAGGTACTCGAGACCTGTTATAGTGGGATTGTAAGGCTGATCGAACGGTACAGTTGTTATCCTAATACGATTGTCGGGGTCTAACTTTCCACAACTGTCGGTGAATGCATGGAACTTGGAAAGGTAATGTTTAAAATAGACCACGCAGACTAAGCATGCTGATCGCTCTATGGGCATAAATCCCAGTATTCTGTATTTACATCATGCCATAGTGAACCCGCTAAAGCACGATCTCTAACCAGTTTTTTAGGTATATACTGATAATGGTCCACCCAACGCGGATCAAATTGCACATTAGTGGTCTTGATACGATTATCGGGGTCCAGCCTTTCCCAACGCTCAGTGAATGCGTCGAAACTAGGAAGGTAAAAATCCCAATCACCGAACACTATAGTGAATCTTCGTCCTTGGTATGGTACTCTCTCCTCGAAGCTCATCGCTCTCTGGAAGGTTGCTTCAGTCCATGCTCTAGACCATTGGTCTTTGATGTCCTCTTCCGCGATCCGCAAATCTGGAGGATCTGCGCGTGAAAGAACAGCCATTTCCAATTGAGGGCATAGAGCCATGTTCTGCCACAGTTCGGGACCTATCATGACATTGTAGAGGGCCAAACGCTGGATTTTTGGCCATTTGGTCCAAATCTCTGGCTCGCTGTGGTCCTCAGTGGTATCCAGATAAAGCTCATCGTTGATGCTGACAAGCTCTTCAACATTGACTAGCGCCTCGAAGCCCTCTCTGAACAGCCTTCGGATACCTGTATAATCATCCTCGGGCCTGAGAGATCGAAGGGGCATGTCTACAATGATGGCTGTGAGGACTGGGGCCAATGTGACGAGAACCTCATTTACAGCCTTGGCTGTATCCATATCCTTGAGCTCCGGGTAATACGGGGAGGGAGGTGAGTCCGCTGGAGAATCGATAGCTTCTTCGCCTTCTTCTTCTTCATCGCTCAAGTCTGTCGCAGAGCTTCGATCATGTGGGCTCTCAAAGGGGGCAAGAAATAGCTTAGTAGAGCCATACGCTTCGCATGGTCTCCGACCCGTGATTATACTCTCCCGCGAGATGAAATTACGGAAAAGGCGCAAACTCTCTTTCGATCGAATTTGGAGGCAATTCTGCCAAAGGAGCCGTGATGCAGTGGGGTAAATTGTTTTGGAGACCAAGGTCAAGTTGAGGAGTGTCTTTGTGATGATATTTGCGGCGGAAAGAATTGGCCGACGATGAGTTATGTCCGAAATCAAGTTCTCAGTGATCATTAGAATGATCTCCGTAGGCAGTCTGGCCTTGCCAGTATTGTCTTTGCAGTCGTTGTTCATGTTGCTTGTTGGGTGAAGATGGGAAACAATCATTCGACAAGTTACGGATGGTTACACAGTGATAGGTGGAGGGCAGATGGATGCTAAAAATATGGGTAAAACGGTACTACAGCTTGCACGTGTTTGGATTGGTACAAGGTTGTTTAGGTGCCCAATTGTTTTGTCATCCTTTCTACCATACAAGGTAGCACCGCCTGGTCAACTCCTTCACGGCATGAGTCACTTAGCTCCATTTACAGTTTGGCATGCGCAAGGTGAGCAGGCAACAACACATTCTTTCTTCAGTCAAAGCCTTCACCCCGTGTTTCAAAGGAATTATCTCTGCCCTAGCATTGCTGATGCTTAGACATACTCTCAACGAGCAACCAATGTTCTGGAGGACCTAAATGATAGAGGACGCAAAGGACGGCAATGACCGCTCCTCAGGGTATCAAAAAGTCAACCACTCACTCAAGGCATGAGGAACGAAAATAGCAAGTCAGTTTATGCTGTTTAGACAAGGCACTTGGGCCATTTATTCTTTATACTCCAACGCTTAGAGCCGACAATTGGTGCACCACTCATCACACGCCTCCCAACTTTTGTATATATCAATCGCCTTTTCAACCCAATTACAGCCTGTACTTGAAATGACATGATCCTCCTCCGGCGCTTCTGTTGCCGGTTTTTGAGCCCATCACATCTCTTATCTCGACTTCCAAATATCTCTACCACCATCCCCATGATATTAACAGCCAAGCTTTAAGACGAGATCACCCGACCCGGCGACGAGATCACGCCAGGTACATCTCACGTGACATCATGCGATACTTCTCACAAGATGCTGATGCCCGCGAGGCATTGAGAATGCGATACCATGACAATGATTGTGATTGAAGTTGGTTCAAATAAAAAATGTCGCTCAATCTACCCTACAACTAAACCAGTGTTTTCAACCCCAAACCCCCAAGCCATCCAGCCTGATTGCATCATAACCAGTAACTGACTGCCACATGCTAGCCAGGTAGAGAAGTCATTTCCTTCGGATCGTTGTACTGTATCAATAGCCTCATCACATGGCGAGGTTAAGCTAAAGCGAGTGTATTGGGGCAATTAAACTTCATGCATTATCAACTCAGGTTACACGTAATCATGACCTTGAGCCACAGGCGTAATGATTATAATTATGAGCACCAGTCATAACCAATAATTGTTGGGTTTCGTGGTCTAACGGTTATGACTGCGGATTCTGATTCCGCCAGCGAGGGTTCGACTCCCTCCGAGACCTTTATTTTTGCATTTTTTTTTAAATAAATTTTTTGCTATTGCTCCATCTTTGAACTATCGGTGCTTGGAATCATGAGTATTGTCTTGTGGTCCAGTTTAATTGAGTATGACGTCGGGTAAAGGTTTTGCTTTGTCTCTTTGACTCCCTGCGTATCATAAATTCCAGTTACATCTTATGATAACACGTTGAACCAGCATCATAACAACCAGATACGCCTTTCTCCGCTTGCAAACTTGCTGGCGCGCCTCCCGTCGTGGGGTCCAAAAGCAAGCGAGGTGTTGTGTAACCGGTGATTCCTTTTTTTGACATATCCTGACCAACTAGGTCACTCAATACTTGCCAAGCCTGTGGGCATAACACCATCTTCCCTGTTAATACAACGTAGGCTGCAAGAGACTTGTAAGCACATAGAAATTACAGGAGGCCTGGAGTACTTAATTTGTCAATCACAATTAGCCTCTCCTGCAGATACCTGGTCTTCAAATGCAAATTGAGATGACCATGTATCCCAGCAGGTTAGACATTCAGCCAACAAGAAGATTGTATGCAGGACCAACATGCATCAAGAGATAATAAAGGCACGGATGGAGCTGCGCCTCTAAAGTCGTCGGCTGGCTGGTCCCCGTTCCCCGTTCCTCGTTCCCCGTTCTTCTCCGTTCTTCGTTGTCTTTTTAAACTTACACGGTTTTGCGACGACATTCTATCGAGCTTCAGTCGTATCAAATCGCGATGAGCCAACAAGCTCCTGAAAGCGAGGGCTTGCAGGTTGATACTCATGCTCAGCAAGCTGCCAAAGCCCCCGAGTTTGTTCCCTACAGTCAAAATGCCTACGGTCAAAATGGCCAGGATCACGTTCCCGAATATGAAGCTCCGACTTCAAAGGGACAAAGACCTCCATTTGGTCTAGGACTGTGGGCATTTGCTGGACTTGTCGCGTTATTGACAGCCGTCATTGTTGGTGCTGGAGTAGGTGGAGGACTTGGCGCTGTTTTGAAGAACAAGTCGTATGTCTTGCACTCGAGCGTGGATGCCGGTTATTGACCTGGTGATTTAGGAGCGATTGCCAAGAAGAAACTGCGTCTGCATCATCTCCGGCCAACGTAGAGCCGACCTCATGTCCAACACAGAGCAATAGCACATCCGACAACGATACAGCCCCATATGTTCCGAAACCTCCTTCTGAAGTAACAGCTCTGCGATTGACATGCCCCGACGACAAGCGGAACGAGACAAAGTACAAGTCGCACAAGGGTTACGAATTCAGGTGGTGGTGTGGCGTGGACGCGCCAGAGGGTCAGAAGTCAAAGGAAGGTGGTGACATCTATGACATCCCTATTTTCTCTTACACAATTGGCGACTGTATGGAAGCTTGTGCCAATATGTATAAAAAGGGCTCGGATAACAAAATCGAGACGAATTGCAGGAGCATTGTCTTTTCAATGAGAATGGCTCGGTACTTCGATGATCATAACGCAAATTGCTTTCTAAAGAACGGGTCAAAAGCTGTGTAAGTTATTCCATGACTTTGCCTCACGATGTTATGCTGACTTGTTCTTAGAGGTAGCAAGTGGACTTTCGACGACGAGTACTTTGCTTATGCAGAGATTGTGACTTAGAATTGCGACCAAGGGTTTATGATAGCAAAGAGAACAATCGAGCGTTTTAGTTCCTATGATGCAGCTGCCTGATATTGCTAAGCAGAGATTATCACCTGGCCCAGCTCAAGTACGTCGGCATTAATCCATGGTGACACTGTACGGTGGTATCACCAGGGAGTTTGGAGACGTGATTGCAGCTTCAAGATGACCGAGATGGCGTCCCATCCCGTAGATGTAAAAATATGCGAAATGAGTGAGGTTGGCTGCAATGTCGGACGACTGGATCGCTAATCAGAGTCACTGACAGCAATTGCTCCATCTTCTGGCCTCGTCTAGAGTTGTATACAGTTGTCCAGGTGGTCAGATGAGGCGTCGAGGAACTACTCAAAGTCATCAACTTTGATGGGAGGCTTCTCAAAGTATAATTGATGCAATGAGGGCGGTCTCAAACTCATCAGTAATATTTCATACCTATGTTGGACTTATCTGTAGTTGTCCAAGTTGTTAGATAAGGCATGGAGCTAACTATTTTAGATGACAGTCCAAGCCTCGACAATGACGCACAGTCGCACACTAGTCTCGGCAGTTGAGCATCCGACGGCATTCAATTCTTCCGTTCGTTTTCGGGTGAATTAACTTTCCGACTCTATTCGCTGTCGGGTTAGTCGACGTCGTAACGGAAACACTATTAGCTGACAGAAAGTTACTGTAAGCTTTGACAAGCAAAAAGAAACAGACAAACTGCGGGGGTTAAACGCTACAAACCGAGCGGTTAATTCTGTCATCCATGATTACTCCACCCAACGTTTCTGATACTCCAAGCGAGATGGGGCTATGCATCCGAAACGCAATTGAAGCATGTGATGAGACGCGAGTTTGACTATCGAAACGCAAATCCAGTATATAAAGAGTCGACATGTATCCATTGAAACAAACAAACAAACTCCAAAGATGGCGCCCATTCCAAAAACTCAAAGAACTATTCACGATGACTCTACCTCAATTGGTAGACGCTTCGTTGATCTTGCCAAGGTACGTACCCTGTCTATACCAAGTATACACCACTAACAAATACAGTTCCTGTCCTCATTGAAAGGCGACTTGGATCTTGCAAATGTCACGGCCCCTCCATTCTTCCTTGCTCCATCTTCAGTCGTCGAAAATCCAGGAAGCTGGGCTCAACGACCATGTCTTTTTACAGCCCCGACCAACGAACTTGATCCAGCAAAGCGAAGTTTATCGGTTCTACAATTATTCCTTGCAGGTCTTCGGAGTCAATTGTACGTTGCTGGTGCACCCAACGTTAGCATCAAGAAGCCTCTCAACGCGTTTCTCGGCGAATTGTTCCTTGCATCATGGAGTGAAGGAGACAGCAACACAAGATTAGTCGTTGAGCAAGTCAGCCATCATCCACCAATCACCGCCATGCATATTGCCAGTGAAGGGATCAGAGCCGATGGATACGGACGAGTCGAGATGACGTTCAATGGAAACATCAACATTCGCCAGATGGGTCATGCGGTGATACACCTGGACAAGTTCGACGAGGATTATCTTGTTCCACTTACCGATGTCACTGTACGAGGATTCATGTCTGCATGTCTTTACCCAGAGATCATTGGCACATATACCATCAACTCAAGTTCTGGGTATGTCTCGGAAATAGATTTCTCAGGAACGGGCTTCTTTAGAGGAAAGAGGAATTCCTTCGAAGCAAGAATCTACCACAAAGATCAACCAAAGAAAATTTGCTACAAGGTTTCTGGAGTCTGGAGCGAGGGCTGGAAGATCACAGACGCCAATGGCGTGGTGGAAACATACACTGTTGAACCAGAAAAGTCATTCATGGATATCAGCCCGGTCGAGAAACAAGATCCACGGGAATCAAGACGAGCATGGGGAGATGTCATTTCGGCCTTGCAGCAAGGAAATTACAGAGATGCATCTGCAGCAAAGCATACAGTGGAGGAAGCTCAACGACAAAAGAGGAAAGAAGAGAAGATGTCAGGAAAGACATGGCAGCCAGCCTTGTTCAATAGTGTTCCAGGAGATGAGCATGATGTCTTTCATCGGTTATCAAAAGGAACAAAGTGGCAGCTTTACGATGAAGAGACAAGAGGAGTTTGGAGAATTGATGAAGAGAGCTTGCGTCATTTAGATGCGAGACAATAAGGTGACCAACAATAGATACCCGTTTAGATTAATTACATGCGATAATTTTACTCTTTACCTCATTGTCACTGAAGCAATCAACGGTAACATGCTATTCTTCAACAGAGTACAGCAGCATTCAATGTTGCCATCTCTCCAGGAGTGTCCACCTACTGACAATTGATTCGACAATTAATCAACAACAATCCTTGTCATACCTTGCAAGTGCCATTTTTAGGGCTGACGCTTTATCGTAGTGCAGATCCACTCGTATTCGCTATGGCCATGTACCCCTGGACTAGTGCAGAATACAAAAAGTGCAGATCTTCCCGCTCGGGCATCAAGAACATTGACCGCTAGCAGTATAAGAGATGAAAGCAGTAGGTCAGTTTATGCTACTTCCCTAAGACAGCCACCTCTTCTGTTGTCTACTGCGTGGCCATCACGATGTATCGACGTTTGTTTCTCGGGACAGTGCTTGTTGCACTTTTGGCGTTGTTATTCCCGCAGCAAAAGGATGAACATCCACCGTACGTGAAAGGAAAGAACGGAACAGCATTGTTTTTGGTCAATCAAGAACACGGTGTATCAAACGTGCTTGTTGCAACAGCCTCAGCCTTGTTGGAGAACTACCCTGACATTGACGTCCATTTCGCCTCATTCCCCAAGCTCAAGAACAAACTTGAAAGAGTCTCCAATTTCGCTCGAAGAAAGACACCTTCGGCTCGCAACATCGTTTTCCATCAACTTCAAAGTCCTTCATACGCGGACGTGATTACCAATGCAGGAAGAAGTCTCGACGACATTCCTCATCCTCCAGGTCCTGCTGGCATTTCTCATTTGTGCAGAGACATTCAGCTCTGGATATCGCCATGGTCTGCCGATGACCACTTTTCCATCTACGAGGAGGTCGTTTCTCTCATTGATGAGATTGATCCTGCCGTGGTAGTGATCGATACTCTGTTCAGACCAGGACTTGATGCAACAAGAGACAAGAATCGACAGCATGCGTTCATCACTCCCAACCAGGCTATTGACAACTTTCTCGGAGAACAGCCGTATGGAAGCATGTTTTGGAAATATCCATCGATGAGTTCGGGTTTTCCATTTCCAGTGCCATGGAACAAGATTCCCGAGAATATTTACCTCAATATCCGGTTTATCTACAGTGTTTTGAGAATGCCAGATCTTGCTGCCAAACGAAAGGCACTCCGCGAGAGAGGACTCAAAGATCCTCTCAACTTCTTCGGCATGTACCGAGATGATGTGCCGTGGATTACTGTCACAGCCGATGGCGCTTCCATCCCAGTAGATTACATTCCGTCGAACGTCACTACCACAAACCCGATTGTTCTTTCTGTTGCCCCGGCTGCTGAACAGGATCCTGTGCTTGTTGACTGGTTGAAGAAGACACCAACAGTCTTGATCAACCTCGGCAGCACCGTCAGCGTATGTATTCCGCCCGAATTGTGTTCAACGCTGACAAGATAGTATTCTGAGTCTCAAGCTTCAATCATGACACAAGCCATCGCCAACGTCCTTGACAAGGTTGACATTCAAGTCCTTTGGAAGTTCAACAAGGTCGGCAACTACTCGGATGACGTTTTTCTCCCAGTCAAGCAACATCTTGAGAGCGGCCTTCTCAAGTTGGAGAGGTGGCTCACAGTTGATCCAACTTCGTTACTCGAGTCGGGTCTCATCGTTGCGTCAATTCACCATGGAGGGGCCAACTGCTACAACGAAGCTGTCTAGTAAGTGAATCACACACCTGTGGACAAACAAGGCTAACAACTGCAGTGCTGGCGTTCCTCACGTCATTCTACCTTTATGGGCTGATCTCTATAGTTATGCAGCACTTGTTGAAACCATTGGTATTGGTGTTTGGGCATGCCCCAGCACAAGCCCGAAGTGGACAGTTGAAGGACTTACCCACGCCTTTTTGAAAGTTCTCGACGGTGGGGAAGCGAGTGTCAGTATGCGTGAGAAGGCCAAAGAAGTGGGGGATAGAATGCAGGTAGCAGAAAAGGGACGCGATGTTGCTGCAAGAAAGGTAGCCGAGCTTGCTTATTCTGGAGTGTGAGTAGTTTAACATGTAGTTATGCAGTAGTATACTCTAATACACAAGGTATACACCACCAGACTGATCCACATGGTGGGGTTTTTATATAAATGAAATAAAACGTGCCACTAATCCAATCCCCTCCATCTCTCGCAATCCACTCACTTGCATACAGCCTCATCATTACCAACACAACACAGCTGAGCGCCTTGTTCACCACTACAATGGACCCGAATCTGGAGCTCTGTCGGAGCTTAACGCATCTTACCTCAACCCAGCGCGATCAACGCCTCCAACATCTTCCCTCAGAGGCATATGCCAGGGTCAGGAAAATTGTCGAAAGAGAGCAGGAGGCTTAGAAGTTGAAGGAACTCATTGCAGGCCGGGACCTCGTCCAATTGGCCTTGACTGATCCCTCCGAGATTATAGCGTGTAAACCGCTAAAATATGCACTCCTTGGTCGAGCCACCTACCAATGGGACGAGAACAAGATGGTTACACGCATCACCAACGACGCCGCAAGAACGAGTTCTGTCTTGGTTAATTACATCGCAAATTTTGATCGAACCCCTCGGCCTTTTCGCTTAGATGCCTGGAAGCTAGCCTATTGCGACGTATATCATGTTGATGTCGAAGGAGGGAGTGCTACACTACAGGAAATCTACGAAGAACGCATTCGAGAAGAAGAACTCCAAACCCCTGCTGCTCGAGCCAGAGAGCTTGTGCGGTATAATGAACTTGGGAAAGCTCGGAGGAATGCTAAATGGATGATTCCTGCTATTGAACGTTTTTCAGATGAGGCACAAGCACAGGTGGATCAGGAACGGAGGCAATCCTTGGAACCCTTCTTACAATTTAGCCAAGATGAGGAAATGAGGAAACTCATTTTGGCACCGCAGGGATACCACAAGACCCTAGAAAGAATCTGGAAGTGGGTATCGCCGACGCCGCCAGCTTGGATACAGAAGACCCTTGAGGCTCAAGAACAGTTTGGTTTTATCTATTACATGTCCAGAGAGGTCGAACAGAAGCACGGCTATAACTGGCACTCAGTCTGGAGTGGCATTAACTGTCACGATCTGCCAGACAGGGTAACCAGGTACAGCATCCATTGCCAAGGCCCTGGCAACTCGAATGCGCTGCTTCGACTGGAAACTGAGAAGTGGCCTACGTTTTATCCCAACGAGAGCATGGCAGAAGATGACGACTTGCGAAAGTAAGTTAAAATATGCTTATCGCAAAGAATTTATATACTAATTACGCAACAGACACTTCAGAGGATACAGGGAAGAGAATGAAAATCTTTTATCTGCTGGAATTCTACGGAATACCTTTATCGTCGTTCCTATTGAATTAACTTCAGAGGAAAATCGCCAACGTCCAGAAGATGAGCTTCTTGATCCTTACTGGGTTTGGGCATATGATGCAGACTGGGACAGTTCGGAAGAAGAGACTGTGTTCAACGGGGAGAGATACCAAGGGCGTGTCAAGGTGGCCATTTGGTCGGTTAACTCGTGGCAAGGAGCTGAGCGCATCGCAGCAATTACAGTCTGCGATAGAAGATGGTCGCTCAAGGCTGGAAAGCCTCGAGCAGCAGCTCCAGCCCTCGACTCACCGAAAGGTAATGAGCCGGTTTGGTGCGCGTGCATTCAAGTGGCCCTTTGAATGTAAAGAGGTCGAGGGAACCATTCAAAATCTTGTGCGTTGCAGAGAGAATATTTCTTTGGCGTTGAACATTGACCAGACGTAAGTGAAGTGCTTCGAGGAACAATGGCTGAGCTCACATGAGCCCGACTTAGTGTAATCCTTCAGAACGTCGATGAACGAACGACTCTCAGTCAACTGCCGGCCGCAGATGGAGCTTCATTCGACTCCCGTGCCGAAGAACACAACCCAACATGCTTACCCGACACTCGTGAGGAGTTGCTTGGAGAAATCGACCACTGGATAAATGACCCTAAGTCAAAGACAATATTCTGGTTAAATGGTAAGGCCGGAACGGGAAAATCGACCATTTCGCGGACTGTCGCCTGGTCGCGATCCAGGCAGGGCGATCTCGGTGCGAGCTTCTTTTTCAAGAGAGGTGAGGTCGATCGAGGGAACTTGTCCAAGTTCGTGTCCATGGTGGCCCGTCGACTGGCTTGGAGCACGCCGGCGGTTGCGCCGTTCATCAAGAGTGCCGTCAATGCTGATCCAGAGATTGCTGACAAGGCTGTCCGGGAGCAGTTTAAGAAGCTTATTCAAGAGCCGCTGTCAAAAACGACGGTAACGTCATTATCTCGGCCGTTGGTTGTTATTGTTGTTGATGCACTGGATGAGTGCGAGAAGGATGATGACATCAAGCTTTTTCTCCAACTTTTCTCCAACTTACGCTCCGCGGGTCCTTTACGTGTTCGGGTGCTCGTTACTAGTAGACCCGAGCTTCCTGTACGTCTTGGCTTTTCCTCTATCGGTAATGCCCATCAAGATTTGATACTGCACAAAATCCCGCTGCCGATCATTGAGCACGATATATCTGTCTTTCTTCGGCACGAGTTCGCCAACATTCGCAACAGCTTCAATAAAAACGCAGTAGAAGAGCTGAAACTACCAATGGACTGGCCTGGGGAAGCCAATCTCGGGAAGCTGACCACGGCGGCGGCGCCTCTCTTTATCTTCGCCGCAACTCTTTGCCGATTCATCAACGACTCATATCTCGGCAGTCCTGATGAGCTTCTACAGAGTGTGCTCAGCGTCGCAGGTACTGGTCAAGGCTCGAAGCTCGACATGACATATTCTCCAGTTTTGAGGCAGCAAGTACTTAATCGGTCAGGAAGCGAGAGATTGGATATCATCGAGAGCTTTCGTCTTATTGTTGGCACCATTGTCACCCTGGCTAACCCATTGTCTATGCGCGCTCTTGCGCTACTTCTGGATATTCAAGTCAGTAAGGTAACCACTAGGCTAAGTGCGTTGCATTCGGTTTTGGATATCCCGGAAACTCTTGATACGCCAGTGCGACTGCTCCATTTATCGTTCCGGGAGTATCTCGTAGGCCTGGAAAAAAGAGAGTTGGCCGAGTTCCGAGTAGAAGAAAGACATACTCACAAAAGCTTAGCGAAACACTGCTTGCGCATTATGCGCGGCGGTCTGCGGAAGAACGTATGCGGTCTATCTTTCCCAGGCATGCGTCGATCTTCATTGGACTTTGGGCGAAGAAATTATTCCATTAGATGGTTATGTATATGTTTCATCCTTTGCGACCGATGGACGTGGCATTATCACAGGTGGTGGCGTATTTGCTCTATCAGACGTCTCACAACCTCATGCAGAGCCTGCTATGCTGCGGCAATCCTCGGAGGCGTCGATACTCACCTGCATAGACGGCACCTGGATCACAGCGGCAGGGGAAGACTTGCTCTGGCTGCCTCCTGAATGCCGCAATGGAGAAGTCACTGTTTCGGGAAGCACAGTTGCCATAGGTTGCCGATCAGGAAGAGTGTTAGTGTTAGGGATTTCTATGTCAGAGGTGGAGCAGTGGACGGATACATGACTACCGAGAAGATCAGGGTGCCCTAAGTTGCAATCAACCCTGGAAGTGGTTCTACAGTATTATGCAAAGGCAGAGATCATTGCATAAGCATAACAATGCTTGTCTATTATCTGGCTACTGACTCCAGCGTCTATTACTGTAAGATGATTAATTTATGCTTCTCGTCGTCTGCTATGAGTACTACAATATGACTGAGTATATTAAAACAAGAAATAAGAGCATTCTGGGCGCCCGGCATGCAGTATAATATAAGACGAAATATGCCGACTTTTTGCGGCCATAAGAAACCGGTTTACCGACTGCAAGCGATAACAGCGGCCATTACGAGAAGATAGGGCAAACCATACCACGCACTGTAACTAGCCATACTAGCGGCACTAGCCACACTAGCTATAACATGGTCCATGCCTAGAAACTTTTTATAGAAAGCCAGGGCGGACTCTGATTTCGGCCCCGACTGTAGAATAAACATCAGATGGATTTTAATTATAATATGCCTTTCTGCCTATTTAAATTAGACCTTAAGTAATACTCTTAAGAACTTAAGATTAATTATATAAATACATTGTTATTAATATATCTTTTATCTCTATTAGCAGAAAATTAATAAATATAATACTAACTTAACTAGAGGTTTTTCTTTTTTATTATTATAGGCAGTTGCTTTATTTTACTTATGCCTATTCTAAAATACAGTTATTCTTTACATTTAAGAGCTTATAACCTATTAATAGCTCCTCGCCCCCCCCCTATTAATATTATATATATCCTATATAGCTAAATTACTATAAACTACACTGACTACTCTTTTAAGTATTTTCCCCAGAATAATAATAATATTATCTGAAATATTAATATTATTATAAAGACTAACATGCACTGTATTAGAAATGATAAGCTGCTCCTGATTGTTCTATTCACCTCGGTGATGGTTGATTTTATAAATGAAAGGGGATAAGAGAAACTATCCCCCTTTACCACCCACCTTGCACGCCGATTCCTCGCCCTCCAGACCAGCTACGGCAAAACGGGCTGCAGCTTTGAAGAGGTTGCTTTTTGCTCTACAGGATAGTATCTTGAAACTTCAAAAGATACAGTCCCCTTCCTCACTTTTTCATTTTCAATCACTTCTCTCTCACACATTCACTCAACTTCACAGGTAAACTCACTCAACTTTTTCAAAAATTTCAATTTCTACTACATCTTACTAACTAATTTCAACCTACCCTGTAGCCATGCTGACTAGTCTAGCTAATATAGCCTACCCTAGAGTGCCTCCCAGCACCCTAATGTA